CATGCTTGCTCTCTCTCTCTCTCTCTCTCTCTCTCTCTCTCTCTCTCTCTCTCTCTCTCATGCGGTCGAACAGTGCTCAAAGATTTATGTCCTCCATTTGAATGTCCCTACTTGGCTGTTTGTGTTGAATGCTGCAATATTTATCATGTTTTTTAATGATCCGAGGGACTTTCCTCTCTCTGTTTTATTGTAATGATAAAAATCCACCCAGTGCTCAATGGGGTGTAATCCCATGAAAAAGTAACAGACTGATTAAAGCAGGCGGCCCCTATTGTGCCATTTGTTTGTTCGGGTTTTTGTTTGTGATTGTTTGCAATTTGAGTGGGTTGTTCTAATATATTTTTGATAAGGAGATGGCAGGCGGGGGGCAAAATAAATAAGATTAAATGGGACAACTGAACAAATACGAGATTCAGGAGGCTAAGAGATGTTCAATAGTTGTTGTTTTTCTTTGTGGTTTTATCAGTGCTTATGAACATGCAAATATGACCTTGAATGTGCAATGCAAAAGCAAACAAACAGACAAAAACATGCAATGTAAGAGAATAAAAGGACATTGAGATGCTGAGTTTTGTTATTTATTGAAACACACAGTTATTTTGAAAAATGTTGGACACGTGTAACCAATTGAAAGTAAATATACTGGTTTCTAACACTTTGCAAAATGTCTTCTTTTGTGTTCATCATAAACATGTAACTCTTAAAGGATTGAAATCACTTCAGGGTAATTAAATAGGAGTAGATTTTAATTTTGGGGGCAGATGTATCTCTTTAAAATACAATTTTTATAATTACAGTAGACCAATCTGCATCATCAATTCCACTGCAGTACCTAGATCCTTTACCTAAATATTTCTCAAACTTTCTAAAGAGAACATGCGTGTCAGAAAAAAAGCACTATAAATACACTATAAAAATAAAAAGAACATTGACTCTGCTAAAAATTGTAAGGCAACTTGCTGCTCAGCTTTGATGAGTTAACTTAAATCAAGTCCTCTACAGTACTTGGGTTAAGAGCCATGTCAACTCAAAAAAAAAAAAAAAACTGCAGCAATTTAACTTAAGTTGAGTCAACTTTTATTTTTTGCAGTTCAATTAATTTGAACTTTTTAGAGAAACTGTTAAAATTTGTTCAATGCTTGTTCAAATCTCAGTTTGTCATTATCTATATGAAATATAGTTTTAGGTACAAAAGGTGCTATTGAAACATGTGGCAGATAATGTTAGGGGGCGGGACATTTCCATTCTAAGCAGGTATTTGATCGGCCAAATATCCATGTAGTAGAGATGCGCGGGTGGGCTATTATTTCATCCGCAACCGCATGACAAAATTCATCATCCGTCCGCCATCCATCCGCACTAACATTTTTGACCAATTTTTAAAACCGCACCCGCCCGCCATCTGCTGATTGGGCTATTTATTTGAATGGCTTATTCTTTTTTATTATTAAATGAATGTTTCTTTATTGATCATTATAGAATAGAGAATGACTTTAATGTAGACATGCAGTTAATCCAAACGTGCAATTGAAGACGCTTTGAAGTGACGCTAAAGATACAAAGATGTGTCTTTTGACTTGATTCGATTCCTCGGTCCAAGAGTCTTTTCCTTGCGTCCTTCCCTCGTACCGTTATCCCGGTGGGAGGAAACACGGGAAAGAAAGCAAGGAAAGGAAACGAGGATGCACAAATAAGAAATGAGAAGTACCCGAGCTCTCAGAATATCAGCAGGGAACTCCGTCTCCAATCGGCGCACAGGGACAAAAATAAATAAATAGCCTAAATTAAACGCACTGTACTATACAACTTTTTTTATTGTAGCCTAATAGAAAACGCATTGACACATCATTTCAACATGCTGCTATTTAGCCTACTACTAAATGCCTATTTCACTTTATTTTTAGTAAATAGATAGAATAATAAGTCATTTACATTATAGCCTAATAATGTTTACATTTTGTAGTTGTCCATAGCAACCCCAAAAACGTACCTGCTTGCCTTCCACATCTAATTAATGGGCACAGTTTTTTGACTATTTTTTAATTTTTTAATTTTTAATTTTTTGCTGTGGATGTTATTGAGCTTGTAGAAATCGGAAACAACACCAGTTCTGCGACACAGATGAACCTTTATTGATATCTCTATCAGACAATACCTATTTTATATGCCAAAAGAAACAACAGGCAGTAAAAAAATATTAACATAAATATCTTAATGTAGGCATAGGCTATAGTCGCATGCTTTGGCAAACAGTTGAAAAAAGTTTTAATAAAAACGTCATATCGTGCCTAAGCCTTGTAGGCTCAGTCACCCCCACAATTAGAAATTAAATTAGAAAAACAGATATGCCATCCCTCTTTGAGCGAACATAAAGTCTGACCAGGCTAAAGTGCATGTATGACAAGTGCCCCAATAACCCATGGAGGATCATCCCCATTCCCCTCAAACTTGAAGCATAACGAAATACTACGCCATTAAAGTTGCGACAAAGAAATTCTGGCAAAATAACCTTAGCCTCGGAACGTAAAAGCGAGGCCAACATGTCTAGAATAGAATAGGCTAAACCAATATGAACGTAAAATTATCAGCTGACCGGACTCAAAAGTTTATATTAAACATATGTGTAGCCTAAATAACATAGGCTAATTGGTTTAATATGCCTGACTTTAGGTCTAGTTTGATTTTTTCTTGGCACAATGCAGAAATAAAATAGCATCTGTGTCAGGATTCAGACGGGAGCGCCTGCATAGCCACTATAATGCGCCCTGCTGCACTGAAGGAGCGCTCGCTCGCAGCACTTGTTGCTGAAATGCATAGAATTCTCTTGGAAAGGTGCTGTAGTCGTGGGAATGCCTGGCCTTATTTCTCCCAAAAGGAAAGTAGATTTTCCTCTGCTGATCCGTCTATACTGAAGTTTGTAGAGGAATACTTCTGTACTTCATCCAGAATTAGTGTATCCGATTCCTCCTCCCATTCTGTGAAGTCAGGTGCGCCAGCTATGAATATAAAAACAGTACAACCGCCCGCCACCCGCCCGAATTTAATAAAATATAATTTTTTCGTAACGTCATCCGCCCGATCCGCGGTTTATCCGCGGAGTCCGCGGCTATAACCGCTAACCGCGCATCTCTACCATGTAGTCCTTGATGAGTCGCTGATTTTTTTTCCTCTGTTTCCCAGAAGAGAAAGACTATAATTTGTGCTCTATTTTAATGGAAGTGTATATTCACACTTCAATTAAACCAAACTCTGGTACGATTTTTCTCAAGCTCCGTTCAGTTGAATAAGGGTGAAAACAATGATTAAGCTATCAAAACTGTAGTGCACACCTAAGACGCACAGAAATGTATGACAAAATGGATCTCAGACTATTTTTGAACAAACTGTGGTGCACTTCAATTTAAAAACGAATGTACGGATCTAAACAAACAGGACCTCAAAAAAATTACAACCGTAAAAAGACCTTTTTTTCTTTCAGATGTTGGCCTTTAGTTGAAGGTATTAGGAATGTTTGAGATTGCAGAGGATTTCTTGGTTAGGTTTACAAAGTTTTACACATTTATAACTCTAAAAGTGCTCATTTGAAAAAAAAAAAAAATACCATGACCAAGTTTATCCTAAAATACATGCACTGTAAAACCCAACAGACAACTTTATCAAATGAAATGTGTAATTAACTCACAAATTACTGAAAGTTTATTCTTCTCACTTGAAAAGAAGTTTGAACTTAGTGTTGAAGGTAATGAGTTAATTAAATATCTTATTACTTCAACTTAAATGGAGTAAGTTCACAGTACTCATACAGATTAGGTTTTTAACTCAAATGGTTTGTAGCAATTGGTTTTCTCAAACGATTTGAGTTGTCTTAACTTGTTGGGTTCTACAGTACTCGGTTGGTTTGAGTTCTCTTGATTTATTTGGCTTTACTGTGCTCAAATTGCTTCGTTTAGTTAAATGGAATAAGTTCACAGTACTCATTAGGATTAGTTTTTGAACTTAAATGGTTTGTTGCAATCTGTGTCCTCAAACGGTTTGAGTTACCCTTTTGGGTTTTATAAGTCATCCATGATTTGGATGACTTATTCCAGAATATACGTCCTAAAATCCTTTTTTCTTAAAGAAAATTTTTAAAGATGACTGTGTTTAACCCTAAGCAAAAGACTATCTAAATAACTCAACGTGAAAGTTTCTTTTTTTTTTCTTTTTTTTTTTTTTTTGGATTCGACAAGTGTGAACACAACCTGACAGTACACACTGTAAAAAGTGATTAGTTACTTTAAGTGAGTAAACCACATGCCTTAAAGCAGCAAGTTGACTACGAAAATATTGCAAGCAAACCCATTGTACCTTGGAACTGTTTTGTTGACTTAATTTTTATAATTATGCAAATTGTACTCACCTTTTTAAAGTCAACTAATCAATTTTTACAGTGCCAGACTATTTAGCACCTCTGTTTTTAAGTAATTTTTGTAATATTACAATATTGCATATTTGGTGCTTCATTAAGTCTATCAAATCTACAATTATAGCCTGCATTGAATTTAGAAGACACACTGGAGTCTACAAGAGCAGATTTATTTTACTGCATGTCATTTTGCTAGATACAGAAAAACTGGGGACAAAGCAAATTGAATAAACATGTATTGGGGAAAAAAGTGATTAGTTTACTTTTGTTTAAATAAAGTGCAAGTTATAAAAATTAAGTACAGTTTGCATAAATAGAAAAATTAGGTCAACTTAACAGTTCTAAGTTACAATGAGTTTATTTACATTATTTTTGTAAAGTCAACCTGTTGTTTTAAGGCAATTGGTTTACTTGCTTTAAGTAACTAATCACTTTTTACAGTACAGTAACATATGTTTGATCCTAAAGCTACCAGGCATACTTAAAAGCCATAAATCTCTCATTTTAAATGACTTGAGTCCTTATGGGAATTTGTTATGGACTGAGGGATGTTTATGATTTACATTTAGGTGATGTTGTGTTGTCTTCCCTGCAGCTGGTGATGGAGTTTTGTGGCGCAGGCTCAGTGACGGACCTGATCAAGAACACCAAAGGAAACTCGTTGAAGGAAGACTGGACTGCCTACATTAGCAGAGAGATCCTCAGGGTAATCACTCAGCTCACTGTGCTTTATTCACTGCTGGAAAGATCACTTTAAGATGCATTTAAACAGAAAGTTCTAGGCATTCAGACTAGCATTAGCAACATATTTATTGTGGTTTAACAGTCCAAACCAACTTAGTTAACTGAGTTAACTGAGATAATCATCCTGTATGTTAACAGATATTCCACCTTCATCAACTATATAGACGAGCTAATGATTTAAAAAAAAATTTATTTCTGCTATGACAGCTGATTTTCAACATAATTTTGCAAGTGTAGTTTCATGTGATCCTCCAGAAATCTATTGTCATAATAGGATTTGGTGCTATTTAATAAATCAATTAATACATTTATAAATTAATAAATAAATACAATTATTTATTTATGTATTTATTTTTGTTTTATTTATTTCCATCTATATAATTATTTATTTGTATCTATATGTCTATTTAGTTTTTATGTTTTACTATTTATATATTTATTTATATCTGTTTATTTGTATTTATTTATTTATTTCTAATTTATTTATGTATTATTATTATTATTAGTAGTAGTAGTAGTCATAAACAAATAGTTGCGCTGTTTAATATTTCAGTGAAAACCATAATACAATTTTTAATTTAATTTAATTCAATTCAATTCAATTCTATTCAATTCTATTCTATTCTATTCTATTCTATTCTATTCTATTTTATTTATTTTATTTTATTTTATTTTATTTTATGTTTGTTTTTGTTTGTGTTGAGCGGAAATCAAGCATTTAAAGAGCAACACTGAAATATAAGCCTTTTATAACCACATCAAGACTTTTATCAAAATATGCATATGCAATGGTTAATATATCCGCTTGTTAAGTCGGTGATGTATGGTATCATTTTTCCAGATCCAAGCTGCTACTCATTTAGATTGAGAAAATATTTGTTTATGACCACTTTTTAGTCCCATGTCCCACCATACATTAAAGTGAATTTTCATGTGCAAAAATCATGGTGCACACAACAGTTTCTGGACTTGCTGCATCACAGCTAGCAATATTTTAATCAATGTATGTATCACTTTCTGGCCATCGGATATTAGGCATGGATGTGTATATATAGCGATCGTGATTTTCAAAAGTATTACATCGATTTCTAAATGTTTATTATTACCATTTGTTGAGTCTCCCTATACAGCGCTTTGACCCAGAAGCCGCTTCGCGTGGGGTCAAACTTAAAAAGTAGAAAAAGCATATAAAATTATTTATTCTAATCATTAGTATGGCATAGTACTGTATCGTTTCAGATTGGAAGATTTTAAATGTTGAGCTTAAATCTTTTGCATTTGTGTGTGTTTTCCACAAAAAAATGACACTCTTTTGAAACTACCTGAGAATAGTTAAAGAATATACTAAACAGTGACACAATTTTTGGTTTTGGCAAAGGTGCAGTACGCAAGTTTGACACCCAGTGGTTGAACTAGGTATTGCACTCCTAGATCAAAACAAACTTAAGCGCAGGTCACCAGATTAAGGACAGGAGCGAGTGATTTAAACAGTGTTTTAAATAAAAGCAACAACACCCAATACAAGGAATATTTTCCATATTAAAAGGAGTTTTTGTTCTGACCAATACCTGGAATTATATATTAGAAATGGCTTGTATTTCTCATAGGTGGTACCTCTCATCTGCTTTATTCAGTGGTAAATGCTAATAATGTGAGTTTGAATGCCATTTTACATAACATTTATTGCCATATACTAAAAGCAGCAGCAGATTTAATATGTTATTATTATTAACAGGGTTAATATGCATTAAATAGATTATAAACTTTACCATTTTGTGAAATGAGTACATATTCTGTGCTTTTGAATGGCTGAATTTAAATTTCAATTGTGTTGCATCTGGTGCAAATTGCTCATAACTACTTATCTCGTAATGAAGCATGTTGTTAGGACATGGGGCTACAATGTAACCTGCTAACCTAATGTTTATGTTTGTAATATTTATATAATTTGCTAATAATTAACCTCATGTGGAATTTCTGCTACTGTCCATCGTAAGTTGCAATTTGGTCATGGTCATATGCTTTAACAGCCTTTCTGAATAAATGAATAATATAAGTGGTTTTCCACCAAGGCAACCCAGAGTGCTGAAATATAATTGGCTAAACTAACAGTGGGCAGGTTAAAAGAACCAAAAAAAAAGGCCGTGTTCCAGCATGGAAAACACATTTTCGTAGCAGAATATCTGACTTCAGCACTGTTTTTTAGATAAACAAGTGTTCACTTGGCATGTTTCTTAAATATCTGCAAACTAATTTTATGATTTAGAGGAGTCAAAAAATATACATACAGCACCTTTAACTATTTTATTCCATACCTAATTTTATAAAGGCTGCTTTTATTAGGTTTTAAATTAATAGGTTTCCAATGGTACTCATTCAAAACCTAGTTTGTGAATGAAGGCTTTTGCCATTCACTTGTCCTTTATCTCTGCTAATTCATGTTCTCTCCCCCTTTCTCTCTCTCTGCCAGGGGCTCACTCATCTTCACCAACACAAAGTCATCCACAGAGACATCAAAGGCCAGAACGTGCTGCTAACAGAGAACGCTGAGGTCAAACTAGGTGAGCTCGCGGCCCTCAGGCTCAAACAACTTTACATAGCATTGACAGTCCTCCCTGTGACTGCGCAGAGAAGCTTTCAAAGCAAAGGAATGGAAGGGAGAACAACACAGCAATGCTAATGCTCTGTTGTCCTTTAGCGACACCTCCTTTTACGAGGAAATCAACATTGACTGTAAGACAAAGTAGGCTGGATCAGAGGTAAATCAATTAGCCAGTGTGGGGTAAACAATTGATCATCCTTCAGTTGACAGCGCAGTTACTCCAGCAGATTTCATAAATATGCTTAAGGCTCAGTGCTGAAGGTTTGTGTTTGTAAAAGCAGCCCCCCATCTGCCCTGAGTACATTTGCTTTTTGTATCTTATCATATCGATGTGTTCAGTGTGAAGAGAAGCCAATTACCTGAAAGCACAGACAATCGCATGTCCTACTTATTTGAATTATCCCATAAATGTTTTCCATTTTTATGTAAATGGTAAATTAGCTTCTTATATCATGTTTACTACTTCATAGGAAGTCTTCTGTTTTAACAGTATGTGCGGCGCAAGCTTGAATTGTGGAATGTAGCCCTTCGCCCTGTAGCATAATGTAGCTCCATCTCATTTCAGAGACTGCTCTATTGCAGTTTGGCCACATATGCCATCGAGGATGTCTCATTTCAGAAAAACAGCTATCGTTTATGAGGTGGAAATTTTGGTTGTTTCATTTGTTATTAAGATTGCAATGGTTAAAGGGATAGCTGACCCAAAACCGAACATTTGCTCTCTGTTTACTCACCCTCAAGTGGTATTTTGAATAAAGCTGAAAACCTGTTACTTTTGACTTTCATAATAGAAAAAAGAAATACTATGGAAGTCTATGGTCAGAGGTTTCCAGTATACATCAAAATATCTGATCCTATGTTCAAAAAAGAAACTCAGGTTTGAATTAAATAAAGAGTGAGTAAATTATGACAGAATTTTCAGTTTTTGGAGAATTATGCCGTTAAGGGTCTTCCACACCAAATGTGTAAAAAAAATAAATAAATAAATGAATGAAAAAATAAATAGAGAGAAACAGTTGATTGTCTATACAGAATAATTATTCATTCATTAGAAGTGGTGCTGACCAGCATGTCTGTGACACTGCGACACGCAATCTAATCTTTTCTTTTGTGTTCCTTCATTTTTCCATTTAAAGGCGTTTTAAAGCCTTGTGCACAACAGGACGTTATCACTTGCGCCTATTTTAAGACATTTTCCAACATTCATTGTTTTCAAGAGGTTTTTACAGGCGACGAGTTGTATTTACAAATGTGCAAAATCACTTCATGACATTTGATGATGCTTAATGAATAACAGAAATACACCTGCACGCTGTGCAACTTTATGCTTTTGATGCTTTTTTTTGATGCTTTTCAGCACAAAAGTCGCTATGTTGTTTTGTACAAACACCTGGTTTGCAGGAAAAAATTACAAGCCATAGAAAGAAAATGTGTGTTAATTTTGTATTAGAGGCGCTAAATACCATAAGTGATTGTGAACTCTAATGATTTTGATAATGATAACAACATGCATATTTTTTTAAATAGTCACTAACTTGGTTTTGATACTAATGCAAATCTAATCTCTTCACAGATTGTGAACAAATAAATAATCTCACATGCGAATTAGGCGCACTTTATTACATTTTTAGAGCAGGTGACTGTACTATTAGTTACATAGTAACCAACTGGAAATAAGGCAAACATAACCAAGATAGCTGATTAGCCACATTGGTGTAATGTTTGCTACATTCCAGTTTAAAGTCAGAGTCCAAAACCACCTCAAGCAAGTGTGATTTTTAAAAAAAAATTTTTGTAAATTAAATGACTTTTATTTCATATTTGACATTTCCATTGTTTCTCCTGTGATACTGCAAAATGTGCATTAACACAAGTTGACTGAAACCCAGATATTGGTACTTTTTTAACAATAAAAATCCATAATCAATATTAAATTAAATTTAACCAAATTGAAGCCAGATAGATATATATATTATATATAGATAAATATATTTATATCTATATCTATGCATAAAAAACAGCTTAAACCAGCTTAAGCTGGTTGGCTTGGTTGAGCTGGTTGACCAGCCTGGCTTTAGAGGGTTTTTTGCCATTTCTAGGCTGGTTTCTAGCCCTTTCCAGCCTGGTCTTAGCTGGTCAGACTGAAAAATGAGTAGCCTAAACCAGCTAAAACCAGCTTGACCAGCCTAGTTTAAGCCGGACATAGCTGGTTTTGACTTAGCTCCCAGCCTGGCTAGGCTGGTCAAGCTGGTTTTAGCTGGTCATCTCCCACCCTGACCAGCTAAGACCAGGCTGGAAATGGCTAGTAGAAACCAGCCTGGAATGGCAGAAACCCCTCTAAAACCAGACTAGTTAAAACCAATCAACCAGCCTAGGCTGATTAAAGCTGTCTTTTTAGCAGGGCAAACTGATGACATTACCCAGCCCTACAAAAAACAGTAAACATGAACACCATAAAGAAACCTTAAAGACGCTTTCATCATTTTATCACATCACATTTTATAACATCTGGTTCATACATGAAGTTACGACAAGGAGATTGCTTTAAAACTTAGAAACAAGACTTCAGGGCCTCGACCGTGCTTGTCTTTGCTTCTTTTGTCCGCAGGGATAAGAAGTAATTGTTGGACTGGTTGTGTCTCTGTAGCTCTTATATAGCCTTTGTTTTACACTAATCAGACTGCTTTCCTCTCTCTGTGTGCTTCATCTGAACCCCAGTGGACTTCGGTGTGAGCGCACAGCTGGACCGAACCGTCAGCCGCAGGAACACTTTCATCGGCACCCCTTATTGGATGGCACCAGAGGTCATTGCTTGTGATGAGAATCCTGACGCCACATATGACTATAAGGTGAGCTTTATTCACTTGAACAAATACTGTCTCAAGTTTCCTGAATCATGAGAAAACACAGCTATGGAAATAATTGAGACACTTGGAATTTCTTTACTGTGGAATTATAGTTTTTACATTTTTTAAAATGTGATTAATTAAATGTGATTTAAAACTTTTATTTTGTTATGCAAACTACCAATGCAACCAATATTCAAATTATAGAATATTATATATATATATATATATATAGTTTTTACTTTTTTAAAACTAAAAATAAAGCTACATGTTTTTTTGAACATGTTTCTTCCTTTTTTCACTTTTGAAGAGTTAAGAAATCAGCTTTGGTGTAATAAATATGAAGTTTAATCACAACAAATAAAAAAATAGATATTTTGACCAACTGATTTATATTTTCCTAATTTCTGAATAACAATATTATTATTTGAACTGTAATCAGACCTTCAAAGAAGCATACATATTAACATTTTACTCAAACGCATGCTGTACCCATTAAATCCAGAAAACTTCCAAGTCGTACCATCATTTTTTTTCTATAGCTGTAAATGCATTTTGCTACTGCTGATGGAGATGCTGTTTGTTTCGCACCAGTCTGAAGTGATTTAGCTGGGAGGAGAGTATTGATCACAGCTTCTCAATTTCTCAATATGCGTGTGAGCGTATGCAATCAAAATCAAATAAACTCGCCTTGAAAACAATTTAGGCATCATTATCCACAAATCACTCACGCTAATACAGTGATCTGTGGCGCTGCTGGCAGCATCGATAAAGTCACAGTAACAAGACACGCTTTTCTTTCCTGTCCAAAGATATATTGCCGCCTTTCTTTCTAGCATTAGGATGTAGTTGCAGTGCGTTTTTGGAAATTCATTCTTAGGTTTTGCTTAAAGTTCAGATCAACTGTCAAATACCGAAGTAATTTTATTGCAGTGTAAAGTGTCATCTGTGCGCAGGGTTTTTACTCGCTGCTGCATTTATTCTGTCCTACCAGATTGCCTACTTGTCAAAGACAAACTGCTCAGCAGCACTGATAAAAGTGTCTTTTTCACATCATTGTTATTGGTTTGATATTTTTACATAATTGTTCTGTTTGTTTTATATTCATTATTTCTGTTTTAAATTTTTTTTCTGTTTATTAGTAATTTTTGGGAAGCATCTACCATAACAAAAAGAAGGGTTACATTGACTTTTTAAAAATTACAAAGTGATACATGTATGTACAATAGTTGACTTTTAAATGAGTTTTAAAAAAATAACTTAAAAAAAAGAAATAATGTATGTAGTTAAAATGGGGACTAGATTAGGTTATATCTACACATTGATCATTATTTAATCTATTTTTATGTCTATTTAATCATTAAAATTATTTATTTTGTTTTGTATCTATGATCAAAGTATTATTATTGTTTTTCTTTTTAATCTGAGGTTTTCAATTCTCTTTAATTAAACGTTCAGAAAAATGCTACATGGTCTTTATTATTATTATTATTATTATTATTATTATTATCATCATTAATATTTTGAGATTTTGACATTATTTTGTGTGTTTTATGTTAATTTTTTCATTTTTTATTGTTTTTTCTGTTCATTAATAATATTTGGGAAGCATCTACCATGACAAAAATAAGAGTTACATTAACTTATAAAAAAATTAAATAAATAATGTATGTAGTTAAAATGGGGACTAAATTAGGTTGTAGCTTCACATTTATCCATATTAATCTATATATGTTTTGTCTATTTTATCATTAAAATTATTTATTTTGTTTTGTGTCTATGATTAAGGTATTATTTTTAATCTGAGGTTTTCAATTATCTTTGATTGGACTTTCAAAAATATTTGAATATTACATGAGCTTTATTATTATTATTATTATTATTATTATTATTATTATTATTATTAATAATAATTTTTTTAGATGTTAACATTATTGTCCATTATTGTTTGTAATTTCCCCCCTGTTTATTACTATTATTTACATTTGGGAAGCATCTATTATGACAAAAGTATGAGTTACATTTAATTTTTAGGAATTAAAAAAGATATGTATCAATTAAATATAGTAACAAAATTAGTTTATATCTTCACATTTATCTATATTTCATCTATATATGTTTTGTCTATTTAATCATTACAATAATGTATTTTGTATGTATAATCAAAGTATTATTATTGTTTTTTCTTTTTTTTACAGATTCACTTTTTTTTTTTTACAGATGTTGACATTATAGTTTTAATTGTTTTATATTTATTATTTCAGTTTTTAATTTCTTTTCACTTTATTAGTAATATTTAGGAAGCGACTACCATGAATAAGGGTTACATTGACTTAAAAATGAAAACAAAAAACTAAACAAAAAATCTGTGTAGTTAAAATGGAGACCAAATTAGGTAATATCTTCACATTTATCTGTATGTTTTGTGTATTTAATCATTACATTTGATTTATTTATATTATTTTGTGGCAGTTCATTCTGCTGTGGCAACCCTGGATTAATAAAGGGACTAAGCCGAAAAGAAAATAAATGAATGAATGAATGAATATATTATTTTTTATCTATAATAAAATATATATTTTTTTCTTTTTAATCTGTGGTTTTGCCGAGAATACGAACCTTTTGTGAGAATGTGGGCAGTGCATTGTAATAATAGAAAGTAATTGAAAGTATTTCCTCTAAGGGAAGAAAGACTTTTTTTTTCTGTTTTCATCTCTCATTCACCTTTTGAAATGCAAGACGCTACAAGCCGGTTTCAGTGCAATGCACAGTGTGTTTGTACTATAATAAGAGTTCCAGAGAAACTGTCAGGCAGCCAGAACTTCCATGGAAGACAAACTGAAGATTATCACACAGGTTTCTTGTTTGCTCACTTGGGGTTACATTTGTCTCTAGAGAGAAACATTAAACAAGGGAATGTGGGACAGGTGAGTCACTGTGTCTACTTTACATTATAAAACTGATATCTCAGTCTGTGATCAGACGAATTGGCTTTTGAATTTAGTTGAGCCTTTGTATAGTCAGATTACTTGGTTTCAAATGGTTTTTATGTTAGAAAAATATATTTTTTATAAGAAACAGTCAATAAACATTTGAACTAAAATGATATATTTAATATATTGAGCTGTAAAATCGCTCTTGAAAATGATTGCAGGTTTTTTTGTCTTATGCGTGTACATGTTTTTTCTATAATAACAGCTATAATTATCCAAATTGATGCTTAGTGTTTGACGTGCTGTGTATGATAAAAAAGGCCCTAAATTCTATACTACTTTCTGTGACCGGCTTTTAAGAGGAGTTTTCCTTAATGACATGGGTTTAATGGTAGTACTGTTATACAGAAATACACACAAAACTTTCATTGCTTATTGCTTCATTTGAGATGTGTGTGCGTGTGTGACTGTGTGTATGTTTAGGACATTATTGCAGTTCTAATTTGACAGGCATTAGTATAAAGGGCAGCTGTTTAACTGACATTGATGAGCCTGAAGCAGTTATATCATCACCCTTAATCAAATTAGCTGGATGCATCCTGCAGATTAGCATGTCAAGGTCATTTTAAGGACTATATTTTATATATGCGCGTTTATACAGTATATAAACAGATTTCATTGATCGTTTATACAGTTTTTTTTTGTGTCATGTCTTACATGAATTTTCTTCTCTTCTTTAGAGTGACCTGTGGTCTTTGGGAATCACGGCCCTTGAAATGGCTGAAGGAGCTCCACGTAAGTAATATAACTCGTATAATAATATAATAATATAAGTAAATATGTAATATAATAAAAGTAATAATATAAGTAAATTATCAAACCTGCAGCTTATAAAATCATAACATTCACTTTAGGGATTACTCGATCTCAAACCCATTAAGGCAAACCTTCACTCAAAAGTCTGAATTTAACTAAATAAAACTCTAGTGATGCCTACAATGATTCTAAATCTTTCACCTCATTTATTTCAAACCAGTTTGGAATTTATTTCTTTAATTGAACTTAAAGAGAGATGTGGAAAAAATGTTGAAAACAGGTAGTCGTTGACATCCATTGTATGGGCGGCAATGGCTACTGGTTGCCAACATTCTTCGGAATAAAGATCACACTTTACAGTAAGATTTTATAAGATAATTTATTTTCTAAAATAATAATAATAATAATGAACAACACTTGTTTGCCACTTATTAATAGTAGTTCAACATTTATTAATGTGTTATTAAAAACCAAAATCATGCACGTCAACAATAATGAAGTTAATGTACCGTAAGTTAATATGAACTAACAACAAACAACTTTATTTTCATAAACTAACAATGACAAAGATTAATAAATACTGTAATAATGGTTGAGCATATTTTGACTGTTTTAAATAATGACTTCTAAAGTAATTTAAAAGAATGACTGTTTGAAATAATGGTTTACACTACACAGCAGTTGCCTTAAACTGCCGGCTATTTGCGGCCCTCCTTCTACCTCCCTCCAGTCCACAACTGATGTCAAAATATAGCGAGATTCAACCCACCAAAACATGTGTTTTTGAATCACTCTCATTATTGTGCAGTCGCACATAGAGTTGTTTCTGTCTGGGTACTGCAAGACTGCGTTCTACTGTCTTACGCTATCTGGTTAAGCACCTTTTGGTTAAGCAACAATTGATTGGCACAAAATTATTATTATTATGCCTATTTTTAAATTGTAGTATTTTCATAGCAATTGAAACTACCCTTTCAATATGAACAACAAGACAAAAAAGAAGTATTGACTGCATATACTTTGGGGAAGGATGACTGAGTGCATACATCAGGTTTCCTCTTTTTTTTTCTTGTGCTCGAATGTTAAAATGGCCCTCCTATGAATTGTCAGTCACTGATATGACCCCTCGCCAAATTGATTTTGAGACTTCTGCTACACAGCATTGTTGGTTTATATAAAATCAAACAAACATAATCCAGTTGCACTACTACACTTGATTTTGGTTTTATTGTAAAAACAAACAAACAACAAAACATTGTAATTGAGAATCAGAAAAACTTTGACAGACTTCAAAAAGTAAAGATGATTTAACATTCATAAATGTTTTATTTTGAAAACATTGTTTTAAATAAATTGCTTTTACACTTCCTATTTTCAGATATTTCATAATATATATTCATTTCTGTACTTTTTCCCATAAACCGACATGTCTACCATTTGGTAAAGGTTAATATTTTAGAAATTATGAAATGTGTTGAAAAAAGAAAAGCATTACGCGTGTTAACTAGCGACATTAGGAGTTAAGAAATCCAATCCAAAAACTTTTTTCTTGGTGGGGCAGTAAAAGGGATAAATTGTTCATTGTTTGTTTATGTTAGTAAATATATTAACTTTAATTATGTATTACAACCATATTGGAAAGCATTACAACTTTTTTTTCCCTTGAGGCTGAGCAAATAGTAATTAATTTGATCTATAATTTTAAATACCACAAAAAAAAAAAAAAAAACACCATTCTTTTGTATTTTTATTCACAACTCTATATACTCAAGCCAACAGGTATAAAAGCGTCCCATGTGTCAAGTCACAGTGCATTATGACATAATCCGAAGCATATGTGAATGTCTCAGACCTCTTCCATGCATCTGTTAGAGATATAAGAGCGGTTGTTCGCTCTGTCCTCAGCCTCTCTTAGGAAGGCTGTCTCACAGATGGCTGAGCACTGACGGAGAGCAGAAAGGGCAGGCAGACTAGAGTGATCTTGTCCTGGCTGGAGAGGCGAATAATCCAGTAGGAAGGTGGTAGTGCTTTGGCCAGGGGACAGAAATCTGCTGGGCAGTGCACTTGAGGACAAATCTGCCTTTTTTTTATTTTTTATTTTTTTATGTAGTCCATTGGAGAGATGACTCACCATTGTGATGGCTGACAGCAAATGGAAATGTGTGTGCTGGTGTGTGTTTTTGTTGGCACTGGCATATTGGCCCTCAGTATGTAGCAACAGATCTGTGTCCAAAAGTGACATTGCTGGTCAAACTCACCAAGACCCGACCGTCCTCTAGTTTGGACTGAGCTTGCCAATTCTACTGCCAGGCTGAAAGACGCTGTACCCTCAAACCGTGACCATTGCACCTGCCCATAATCTCTGATGTTTTGGCACCTGTGACTATTCAGGCCACGCAATCCTATCCCAGAGTAAATATTAGCTTCATATTTTGTTGATTTGTTGAAAGCCGGCTGGTGAAAATTGAGTTTTTAAACTCTTGTTAATGCTTGATATTGTGCATTGAGAGGATTTTATTGAGCTTATTTTATTGAGATTTTATCAAGCATTTAGATTGAGATAAGCTAAAAAAACAGCATGTGCAAGACTGTGTGTGAAATGAGAATTAGGTCATTTTTTGTATGTTGGTTCAGAAAAGCTCATCAACTGCTGTGGATATTTTAAATTTTATTTCAGTTCATGTTTTGTTCGCGTTTTTTATATATATTTTTCATTTTTTATTTTTTTTTATTTCAATTTTATTTTATTTGTTTATATTTTTATTTTTATTATTTTTTTATTTTTTATTTTTTATTTTATTACTTTATTTTATGTTTAGTTTTTATTTTATTTACTTTTATTTTTTTCTATTGTTTTATTTAAGTTTGTTCATGTTTTGTTCATGTTTTTAATAAATATATATTTGCCATTTTAAAATTGAGTTTGTTTACTATTTTATTCTATTTATTTATTTATTTTATTTTATTACTTTATTTTATTTTATGTTTAGTTTTTATTTTATTTACTTTTATTTTTTTTCTATTTTCTATTTAAGTTTGTTCATGTTTTGTTCATGTTTTTAATAAATATATTTGCCATTTTAAAATTGAGTTTGTTTACTATTTTATTCTATTTATTTATTTATTTTTAATACTTTATTTACTTTTTATTTTATTTTTGTATTTTATTTTGTTTTGATCAGGTTTTGTTTACGTTTTTAATAAATATATATTTCCATTTGTAAATTTTGTTTGTTTACTATTTTATTTTAATTATATTTTTATTTTTTTTATTATTTTTTGTATAAATTATATATATATATATATATATATATATATATATATATCCTGAGCAGTCAAGTTTGGCATCACATGAGGGAAAAATGTAATTTAGTTTTGTTTAATCGCACTCAGTAACCAGATTAAATTCAGTAACCAGTTTTTATTTATGTTTTTGACTTTGTGTCATGATGCTTCTTATAACAAAGTATTTCAGAGATGTTAACCATCAGCATACATGCTTTGTACATTTTTCCAGTGTTAACACTGTCCTTTCTTTCCCATACAGCCCTTTGTGAATTGCACCCAATGAGAGCCCTGTTTCTGATCCCCAGAAATGCTCCTCCCAGGCTCAAGTCCAAGAAGTGGTGAGTAGTCCCTCTCTCTCTGTTCAGAAAGGTCACAGGGACTGAAACCAGACCAGATCTCCCGATTCACTCTGTCCAATCTGCTATCAATCAAACAGTCTTGAGCGCTTCTTTACTGTTCACTTCATGTGTCACATGCTATCTTCATTTGTTCATCAGTCGCCTTAAGAAAGGTTGCTCGTCACGCTAGACATACAGGTTTTTGTTTAATAACAGATTTCTATTACAAAATTCCAAAACTTGAAAACTAAGTGCTGGGAAGCTTGCCAGACAAAACATGGAGTAAAAATAAAGCAAGCATGATAAGCCTGAAGTGTGACCCTCAAGCTCTTTCTCATACCTGCAGGACTAAGAGATTCCACTCGTTCATCGAAAGCTGTTTGGTAAAGAACCACAACATGAGGCCTGGTACAGATCAGCTCCTCAAACACCCCTTTATCCGGGACATGGCGAACGAGAGAACGATCCGCATCCAGTTGAAGGATCACATCGATCGCACCAGGAAGAAGAGAGGAGAGAGAGGTCAGCCTTGCCAACCTTATCAACTTTGCACACTTTATAGCTCTGTTTCCACCTGTTATTAGTGTTGTGCTAATTACTGAAAAATAGTAACTAGTTACAGTTACTAGTTACCTCATTCAAAAAGTAGCTCAATTACTTTATTGATTACTCACACTAAAAGTAATGCATTACTGTTATATATATAATTTTTGAGTTAGTTTTCCTAAAAACATTTTTTATTCTCCCATTAATGCCCTATAATGTCACTTTAGTGCTGCATGGAGAATAAACTGTCGATCAGCTTTACAGTTTTTTATTATAACTATTTTTAGGCATTCACCTTTATTGATAGGACAGTGGAGATCACAGACAGGAAAGTGTGGGGAGCAGAGATAGGGGAAGGATCGGCAAAGGACCTCGAGTCGGGAATCAAACTTGAGTCGATGCGAGCACATCGGTGCTATTTGTCGACGCACTAACCACTTACAGCTTCACAGTTTTAATTAATTTTCATTCTCACAACTAAAATACAAAAAAAACTTAAATAAAAAGACATTTTTAAACACTGATTTATGTAAGTCAGATCAGCAGCACAAAAATGAAAATATCACAAGGTGATAAACTAGCTGAATAATATATTCAGAAACAAAAAAGCAAAAACTAAAGTTCCTTCAGCATCATAAAAGTTTGAACTTAAACCTTAAACATGTTCCTTTACAGCTTGAGTATGAAACTAGTGATAATATACAACAAACACAAAACCTTTATGAAATAAATAAATGAAAGTAATCTAAATTATCAATTCAAATAAATTTGGTGAAACTCGGCACCAAAAAAGCTGTTATTGACATAAATGTTATGCATTCTAAACAAAACAAAAACATAACAGCTGCTCTAAAATGAAACTAACCACAAATTAAACGTGGTATGTCAGCAACATATGGAAAGTAAGCTGTGTATATTGAAAGTGCAAAATCTGCTGTTGTATACAGCTATAAAAATATGTTTAACCATAAAAAATAAATCACAGCATCTTTCTGAGCAATACAACCCTATACATTTAAATAACATGTTCTGAAACAACAGAAGTGTGTCAATGTGTCTACTAAACTAATCCATTTTGTTACACAGATAACAAATGTGTGCTTATTTTTTTGAAACAACAAGCATAGTAGTGTTAGCAATAGTAATTAATAATAGTAACATCAATAGTGTCCCGGTCACTCATTTGCGCACATTCAGTCTCTCACGTGCTTTCACTTTACTTCTGTCCAGTATGGCACCTCGTACACAACATGTCTCCTTTACAGTGGTTGATTGGCATCCACCAATCTCACAATGCATCGCTGCTGTAAACAGGAAGTTTATTTAATTCATTTACCAAGTAATGGATAAACACATCATACTGTAAAAAAGTTAATGTATTTAAAAATGTAATTAGTTACTGTCAAAATTAATGTCGTTACAGTAACACATTACTAGTAGCACATTATTGCCCAACATTGGCTATTAACATACATTTTCAGTGACTCTTTTTGTATTTACAGTACGTGTTTCTCAGTAGTGGAAGTTGTCATAGTTGGGTGAACTTAAGAGTGCAGTGAATGGAAGAGTACAACAAATAATTTTTTTTACAATCCTATTTGGTGAAATATTAAAAGAAAAACTCCACTATGGTGTTATCAAGAAGTTCAGAAAAAGCAAAAAAAATAGTGTGAGACTGATGACGGCAGCCAGAAGAGAGAACAACGTCAAATTTACTGTCCTGCCCCATACACTCTGCATTACAAATTCCTTACACAAGCAGTACTTTTTTTTTTTTTTTAATTTGATGAAAAGATGACATAATACATACATAAATCCATATAAATGTACGTACATTTAGTTTTTTTTTATCTAAATAACAAAAACTATTTAAGATGACCATTAAATGCATCAAAATAGTCTTGTTAAAAGGGTCTGTTGAGAGTAGAGAGTCTTTTTGTTTATGATACTGTGTGATTTTTCTAAAATAGTCCCTGAATTAATAATAAAAAAGACCCACAAAGCACTCCCAGATAAAATGATTGAATTGATTTATTGAAAAGAAGTGATTGAAAGTGTAAAGTTTACGCAAGTATAAAAATACAGTTAATATTTATGTAAAAACTCGCATCAAAACCTAAGCCACTAACACATCCACAGTAATTTAACACTAAATAACAGTATTAATGTCAGCCAGATTGTTTGTGTTCTTATTATTCTAGATACCAGCTTCTAATTTCAGCAGTTCTTTTTTGGCAAAAATACAAAGATTTAATCAAGATAAAGTTCTTTTTTTGTACTGCGTTTAAGGGTCAAAATAAGTTTGAAAAGATTAAGTGACTGTATATTGTTTTTGAACACTCTTAACACCCTCACTACAGTATAGGTGGGGTTGTAAATGGGTCATGCTAATCATACTTTCTAAACACAACAAAGGCAGCTGAGAGAGAATAAAAATTTCATAAACATCTAGTGCACAGCCTTCACACACCAGACGAGAAGGGCCTCGTATTTACATAATTTCAGTTTGTTTTTTTATTTTGTTTGAAATATACCAAGGTTCTTACACTGCTCGCCACAACCTATCATACACTTCTTTAACCCTTTAACTACCGTAACTGATTGATTGACCTTTTGTCTATAGCTTATCATTAACACAGAAAACTGAAATTTGTTTAGAGGGATGTCAAGAACTCAATTTAACCAAAGTTTTCTTTTTAGAGTGCGAGTTAAGTGATTAACATGGAGAAGTATACAATATAGTGAAACTTAAGTAATAAATGTTGACAGTAGTTTTAAGTTTTAAGGTGTGTCCTACAAAATTGAAGTCTAATTTTTCACAAAGGTTATGATTGATTAAAAAAAAAATTGTTCTTGTTCTCTCAGTGATATCTATTGTTCCCTTCTCATTTTATTTTATGACCTGAAGATGGTTATTGTTATCGTCAGTAGTAATGCTGTTGTTCTGTCTGTTGTTTATTGTTAAATGAACTAGTATATCCACTGTAAATGCTGAGTTCCACACAATTCCCTCATGTTGTTCCAACATAAATCGATTAAGTTAACTTGTTAGTTTTTGCAAATTTAAGTGGATTGAACTTGAAACAATTAAGCTATCCTAAAAAACTCAGCTCATTTGAAATTAGTAGTAGTTTGAACAAACAACAAATGTATTTTTTTTTTATGAAAATAAAGCTCTGCAAATATAGTAAGCATGTTTAACAACAATTCTAGTTATATTACTTGTTACGTACTTAATGTAGTCTACATGCTTCCCATGCCTCCTATTTGACTCTGTAAAGTGGCACTTAAATAAGAAAACAAAGTCTGTGAGACAAACGCATCTTAATCCCAGGAGTAAATCGGACATGGTCATTTGTTGTCAAGGTGTTCAAATTCAACATCTAATACCATTAACATGGAACAATCATGTGCAGCACATAACTGAAAAAAAGTCTTCTCCAGTTGCTCTACATCTGGTGACGTTCATCACATTACACATCACCTCCATTCCCCATTTTCCATTTAGATTACATTTAGAAGCTTAAATTGATTCTTAAAGGTATATTATATTGGAGTTTAACAATATTGCCCCTTTCTAAATTGCCATTTTAACTTTGTCCTAAAATATAGGCTGAAAACAATGGATGTTATATAAAAGATACCAAAGTGATGGTCTATTTAGTTTTTACACACAGCCTTTTTTTTCTATAATGATGAATAATCTTTCAGCAAGTATCTGATATATTCACAGTACTGTATATATCAAGGGATATTTATGTGGCAAGATTGTTATTTTAAGAGAAAACCTTTCTTAAGAATAGGCATATTATTTAATGAAAGCATATTTTAAAACAATCTGCTTTGTCATCGCATAAAAGTTTCACATTATTACTAATATGTAGTTTTATCAAAAGTAATTTTGGTGTGCACAAAAATCTTACAGATCCCAAATGACATATATTTAGACTTTGAAGTTGTTGATCATCATCTTTGGAAAATGTTTTTCTCGTATTGTGTTTGTGCCATACTACTTGTGATAACTACCACTTGTCTGATATTCAGTTGAATATTGTTTGTCTCTGTAAAGCTAGGGTAGTACAGCTTGTGCAATTTTAAGTGTCATCGAGAGATGGCCATTAAATCTAAAAATCTGTTTGTGAATGCTGCTGCAAACCTTGAACATCCTACAGTAAAGTGCACTTCAGGGGGGAAAAAGCTACAAAATCATTGATTTTTGGCACTTTAAAAGCAGCCAGATGCTTTAAGGACACTGAATGTCAAGATACCTGTCAGGGATCCCATCAGGGAGGGCTTTGCATGTCTGAAATGTGACTGCTGAATGTTTTCACACCTACAGATGAGACGGAGTATGAGTACAGCGGGAGTGAAGAGGAGGAAGAGGCCATGCTTGAGATTGGAGAACCCAGGTAGAGCATGCATCAGATTTTTGGGGTTGTATTTGAGTTGTATTTAAGTATTTAAAGGAAAAAGGCTTGAAACCTTCATTTGTTTCCATGTAGCTCCATTATCAACATACCCGGCGAGTCGACTCTACGGCGGGATTTCCTGCGCCTGCAGGTGGCCAATAAGGAGCGTTCAGACGCCCTGCGTAGACAACAGCTTGAGCAGCAGCAGAACGAGGGACACAAACATCAACTGCTGGCAGAGAGGCAGAAACGCATCGAGGAACAGAAAGAACAGAGGCGCCGATTAGAAGAGGTAAACATCTAGAGATGATTCTTCCTGATGTTATTCGATCACCTATGAGTGAGCACAACCCTAGTTATTCGAGACTTCTGGCCTCATTTACTTCCATTGATTAAAGAAAAACAGCTTATGCTTTTTTTAATCTATAGTCATAAACACAATTGTTTGTTGAGCAAGTAGTTCAATGGTGTTTGTTATTCCTAGTCATTTCCAAATAGGCCAATAAATCAGAAGTCAAAATTGCAGAAAAGAGCTTACTTTCACATTGAGGAAACCGAGACGGGCCGTTGACGTGCCCACCTGCTTTCAAAGATGATATAATGAATAAACCGCTAGCAAAAGATTTGGGGGTTTTGATTTGGGGTTCCAGTGTTTATGAAAATGGTTTGTGTCAATATGTTGATCCACAGTACCAACTGAAACTATGTTTATTTAGGATTAGGGCTTTCAGTGCTTCCCACACATACACTTTACTTGGGTGGGCCGCCCAGGAATAATAACTGCCAAACAAGTATATTTAGTGACTTTATTTTTGCTATTTTGATCATCCTTTTACACTTTTTTTGTATCCACCCAATATAAACAAACATCTTCGAGTGATTAAGTAGTGGAAAATCTTCTGTCCTTTACCCATTTCATACTGCTCGTTCTGTGTGCACCAGAACTGTCAACACTCACACAGACAGACCCACAGAGACCCGCACCTTTTTGCATCTGGCCAGGGTTTCTAAACCTGCTAAAGTGTCCGGGATTTGGTTTTGCTTTCGTTTTCTAAGCTGTCATTAATTTTAGCACAGAGAGAGATATTAAAATAATTAATTCTATAATCTAAACGACTCAGAAAACCATTATTAAATACTCAGAGAGGCAAAATTACATCTAAATTGGCTGCAGAATATTTGTACACCATTAGAAATGGGTATTGAACTCATTTGTCTTATTTAAATAATCTAAACGTTTGTTTATTGTAAATATTATCATTTTTAGAGATATTGTCTTTTTTATTCATTTTTACTATCATTTATGTCTCATTTGCTGTATATTTTATTAATTTGATAATGGTAATATATTACATACTTGAAACATCTTAAATGCTTTGGCAATACTGTACAAAATGTCATGCCAAAAAAGCGACCTGAACATAAATGAGAAATAGAGAGAAGCAGATTTGACCTGTCAGTGGGTGCACATGGCTCCTGAATAGCTTAAAATAGAAATAGTGGATTTTAAAAATGTATTTCAATAGTCTTTAACATTAACCCATTGAAAAAGAAAAAAGTTTAAAGCAGACAATAATAAAAATAGTGTTAAAAATCTAATTATATTTTGTTTGTCGCATAGAGTTAACTATTTATGTGCTGTTGGTAAAAGGTGTGTTTAATCCAGACACCACTGCAAGCATATTTCAAACCTGTGAGAAGCACTGGCTTTCTTTTAGTGCATCATTCCCTCATAGCTAAATAACGGTTAGAGGGGTGTGGTTAAGAATATTGTGGCTGAAGCCGACAAACTGACCGTCACTCCAAATATGGAAGCAAATGGTCAGACTGATTAAACATTACCAAAACCTTACAAATATAATGTGCACTAGCAAAATAAACAATGTAAATTTTGATTTGACACAGACTCAGATAGTTATGTTGACCTTCCAATGTAACCTCTAAACAAGTCAAATCATGTAATGTTGTTTGATTTTTGTGAGATGTTTGTTACTGATAAAGACATGCCGTTCTATAAGCGGCTTTGCCGTAGGCTTCTAGAACTCTTATAACAGCTCTAGGTATGAGACAGAGTGAGTATGAATTAACTGTCTGTGTTTACACAAGCTGTAGTCTCAAACCCTTATTATAGTTTTTGTAACTTCAGCTCCACTGAGCTCATATAAATGGCACTTTTCTTTATATAAATCCATAAATAAGTGTAAAAGTTATGTGTGGTGTAGAAAACCCTCTATATATGGATAATCACTGAAAGTCCAGCACTGCTGTTCTCCAACAAGTAATATCTTTAACACCTGCCTGAGTGTAGCTTGTGGCTAAGGGTTATTTTAAGAAATTGATGCATTGTGCGATGCAGGAAACACAACATGCTGATGATAAGCTTGTTTTCTTTGAATCATACACACATTCAGTACATACATATTTTTTTTTCCTGACAGTTAAGCAGAAAGTGTCTTAAAATAAAAAGTAGTAAAATTTTAAATCATGTCAACTATGTTATCTATGTGTTTATATATATATATATATATATATATATATATATATATATATATATATATATATATATATATATATGTATGTATATATGTATGTATGTATATATATATATAAATATATGTATATATATATATATATATATATATGTATGTATGTATATGTATGTATGTATGTATATGTATGTATATATGTATGTATGTATATATGTATGTTTGTATATATGTATGTATATATATATATGTATGTATATATGTATGTATATATATATATGTATGTAAATATGTATATATAAATATATGTATGTATGTATATATGTATATATATATGTATGTATGTATGTAGGTATGTAGGTAGGTAGGTAGGTAGGTAGGTAGGTAGGTAGGTAGGTAGGTAGGTAGGTAGGTAGGTAGGTAGGTAGATAGATAGATTTTTGCTACTACTGTTTACTGTGTTTTTTATATTTTATATGTATGTTCTTTTTTTAATGTAAACTTTATAACTGCTAACTGCTTTGGCAATATATTTGTAACATCTGTCAAGCCAATAAAGCAATTATTGAATTGAATATGTATAGTTATATATATAGTTCACCCCAAAATTAAAATTTGCTCACTCTCGAGTAATTCTAAACCTTTCTGAGTTTATTTCAAGTCAATGACTTGACCATTAACATGGTATGAAAAAAAATACTATGCAGGCTTTCAACTTTCTTCAAAATATCTTTTTTTGTGCATTGTGTATTTTTCTTTTGTGTTTCTGAAGATACAATTACAGAAAAAATGCACACAAACACATACACAAAATATGAGTCTCAAAATATGGTTGCAATGTGATAATTGAGCCCATTATGCATTAGCATTTTATGTTTTTCAAAAAACCTCCCCTGCTGAATTTCACCAGAGCTTTACCACAGATTTAGGTAGAGAAAAAGAAAAGGAAGTGCTTACTTTTCAGCTGCTACACTGTTTTAATATTAAGTCACAACAGGTTCTTCATTTGCATAACGTTGTGTGTCACAGCAACAGCGACGGGAACGTGAAGCAAGAAAACAGCAGGAGCAAAGACATCGCTATGAGGAGCTCCGGCGAGAGGAGGAGAGGAGACAGGCTGAAAGAGAGCAGGTACGTACCGTACACAAACACACACACACACAGAGGTTTGTTTTTGTGAGCTGTGAGGACATATACTGTACAAATTGTTCTTTCTATGCCCTATCCCTAAATCCAACCCTTACAGGAAAATGTCTACAGTTACTTTCTGAAAAAAAAGTATGATTTATAAGCTTTTTGACATTAGCATTTTTCACATAAATCACCATCTCCTTGTACAGGGTTTTCACGGGGTCTTAAAAAGCCTTAAAATGTCTAAAATTTAAAAAACTATTTTTTTGGCCTTAAATTTACTGACATATTGTGTTATGTGTCATTTTTAACAGGTCTTAATTTTCCTCTGTCCAAGTAAAGTTACACAATCAGGCTGACACCCATCCAATTACCAAAACTGTCTAAATAAAACCTTTTTTTTTTTAAATATTTAAATTTATGTTTAAGTTTTTTATTGCAAAGAGATACAATTTACAATAGCTGTTAGAATTTTATATTTTTTGTTAATAATTTCCAAATGAATTCCCTAATTCCCAGGGAAAGACAACTGAAAACAATTACACAGTTCCTCATAATAATAACAGATATATATCCCTTTACGTTATCTTCCACTCATACAAAAACTCTTTACAGAAATAAGGGCGAGTAGACATAATATTTTTAAATGGGCATGAAACTTAAGGATTTATTACAGAAACGCATTGGTTGAATAGGAGTTATAGTCAATCAATTTGCACCAAACGCCAACAAACGTATATTTTTGATTATTTATGTAACTATAAATGAATCTCCACAATAAAAATGCTTTTAATATAACAAAATTGTATATAATTTATAATTTAATATAATATTTTTGTAATTTTTTTTGTCAAAAAGAAATATTATTTTGAAAAAAAGCATATACAACTAGAGTTTTCTTGTTTTTACACATTAATTGCTAAGAAAAAATGACATTTGGTGGCAAAAAAAAAATCCACTAGAAACCATTAGAAGCATTAGACAGAGTGTCCACGGGATCTTAAAAAGTATTAAAAGTTAATAATTATGAGAAAATTAAGTCCCTTAAAGGGTATTGAAAAGTCTTAATCAGATTTTTTACAAGGTCTGCAATTTTGTTCAAGCGTTGTCTAAAGTGTTTGACTCCAAAAAAGCATACATATATTTATTTTCCTCAATCCACTCGATTGGTTCGGGCTGGGGCACGTCTGGCCAAGCTCCTTCTTCCGGGTGCTGTCATGTAATTTGCAACAAACGTGGAAAGGTGATGTGATGCTCTGCACATGTAGCAATAACAAGGCGAAACAGATGGCAAAATAGGAAAATGTAAGTTGAACTCCTGGTTGAAGAAAGACGAGTTTAAACAGTGGCTGAAGCCTGTCGCTGAAAACAACCACGTAATTTATTCTTCCGAGCTTATCTGAGTTCTGTTGCATGGTTGTGCTCCATTGATTTATTTAACTACAACTGTTTATTAAGTAAAGTAAAGTGGAAAATGAAGTTTTGATACTGATTACAACTTGAAGTGGCGTTGAGGTCTTAAAATAGTCTGAGAAGGTCTTTAAAAAGTCTTAAAAAGGTATTGAAATTACCTTTAGGATTTCTGCATATACCCTGTTACTTTTTAGCCCTGTATAAGTCTAAAATTTCATTCATAATGGTCTTAAAAGTCTTAAATTTGACCTAATGAAACCATCAGATACCCTGTTGTGATACCTGTGTAATATTCATGTCATTGTACACATTTGTGTCCTGATTTGTTACATACACACAGCCCTAGACCAGCTACGCACACTCACAGCCCCAACCAACTACACACTCAATTAATGAAACCTAATTGTTGTTAAAGTAGCCCAGTGAACGGCACCATAACGAAAAGATTCTGTGGAGAGCCAGATAAGACACGGGAAATGAGTGCATTGCACTGCTGCTTTTCTCTTTTATCTGCTCCCGGATGATTGACCATCTAACTGGAGAGTGTGTGCGCGACCTTGAACTATTCCCCCTCACATCCCGTGATGTATGAAGGGATGGCTGAGTCACTGACTTGATAAATAGATGAGAATATCTGTGCCTTTCTTTCTTGCTTTGGTTCATTCATTGGTGTGGGTGAGGTTAATTACCTCTCAGAGCCGTCGCTACATTTCTAAGGATGGCTCGGTTAATGGCTGCTGTTTTCCAGAGCTCTGACCCTTGAGCTGAAAAGGTTTTTCCATCATCGTAGTCTCGCAGTCGCTCTTGAGGATGAGGCGATTACACTCCCGTCTCTTGCTCGCACTATCAATATCCTCTCCCACCTATTTTTGTTCTTCCATTCGCGCTGTTTCAGGTGTGCTGATGTACAAACTCCCACTGTGCACTTTCCTTCTCCCTCCACACGTTCACACCTTCTCTTAGCTCATCGCACCATCGGCTCTGTTCTTTCTCTCGTCTCCCACGCGTTCAACAGGTCTACGCCACTTCATCAAATAGTGTACCTGGTTTTTCACTTTGTATCTTTCTCTCTTTTTTAACACCACCTCTTCTCTAGATATGAGCCTTTCTGTCTATTATTATTCTGTCTGTCATTCTAGCTGGCATACTGACTTGCTATTGTTTCAGTCAATCAGAGTCTTTATTGTCATTGTACAAAATGTACAAAACGTTTGCCCTTCCCTTCAGTGCAGTCCTAATTGTCTAAAACAACAACAATAATAACAAGAGATAAAAAGGTAAAAAGGCAACAATAATTATAAAAGTAGTAACAATACAATGTTAGAAGTGGATATAAAGTGGCAAGTGTGTTTTCTAGCAGCTTTTAAGTTTAAAAGTGAGTAGAATGTTGGCCAGAAAGGCATACAATGTAATGTCTGTTTGTATAAAGTGACAAGTGCATTTTCTAGAAGCTTTCAAGTTAAAAAGTGAGTGAGATTAAAAATAGGGGAAGATTTTAGCCAGAAACACACACAATTTAATCTCCAGTCATTATTCCTAGAGCCCTGGGAGATGTACTATTTTTAGTCTGTTTGTTTTGGCTTTTATGGTCCTGTATGGTCTCCCTCTTTTTTAAAATAAACTATGGGTTTACAACAACAACAACAACAAAAAATAAATAAATAAATAAATAAATAAATAAATAAATAAATAAATAATTATTGTAGTTAGGCCACAAATTAACCATTGTTTTGCAAAAATTTTAAGGACAATGTCATGCAAAATGTTGTATTACGTTATTAATTACTTATCCTCATGTTGTTAGAAATGCCTGAGACCTCTGATCATCTTTAAAACATAAGTTAACATTTTTCAAATGAAATATAAGAGCTCTCTCATACTCCACAGACAGCAGTGGTTCTGAGAATTCCAGAAAAGGAGCCAAAAACATTGTCAAAACACTGCATGTGATTTCAAGAAACTTTTTTTTTTTTTTTTTTGGCAAAATATGTGTTTTTTGCAAAGCAAAAGTTTTCATGGAGCTTCATATGATTATATTTGAACCACTGGAGTGACATAAAATGTTTTGGAAAGGTTCCATTTTGGTCTTGAAGCATCTCAGGAGCATTGTAGTCTAAAGAGAATAAGAAAGCTCTTGGATTTCATCTAAAATATTTTAATTTGTTTAACAAAGATGAACGAAGGTTTCAGGCAATTGGAACAACATGAGAGTGAGTAATTAACAATGTAATTAATATTTTTGTGAGAAATAATCCTTTAACCTTTGTATATGTAGTAAAACTGTGGCTATATTATTGCTTAGCTTTCATTTGACTTATTGATTAAATTACTGTTGTCTAATTAGCTATAGTTCTTTTATAGTACTAGCTATCTATTTTATAGTAACTAGCTATGGAACTATCAATCTAGATTTTTAATTAGCTAGGTATCGTTTAGCTTTCTGTGGGTGTTTTTAAAAACCCATCTATTGGTCTATTTGTCAAGATATTGTCTTTTCTGGGTCAGTCTATTAACCTATTGATTGAGCTACCAATTTTTGATCTATAGTTCTAGGTAGCTCTGCTGTATTTTATATCTACAATTCAAAGACTTTTATCCCTCTTTTAAATATGTGATGTTATCCACACCGGGTGTTTAGGAAAATCAAAAAAAGGCTCATGTGTTTCTGCATGAAGTGAAGACTAAGGTCAAATAACTTTAAGTAACAATTCTCACCATTAACTACTGACTCACTACTGGGACCAGACAGAATCTGCTGAGATTTTCTCCTGCGGATTTATGCGTAATGATTTTGGTAGTATCACAATCAAAAATCTAATATATGAAATTAAAAATAATACCCTTTTAACTTTAATGTTTAACAAAGCAAGTCTTTTATAGGCCTATAATAGATCTACTAAAAGACAGAAAATATTACTTTAGAAACTGTATTGTAAATAAGTCATGTGAACATTTTCATATTAGTCAATAATATTACTGAAATTAATTTAAAATGTGAATAAATATGAATGTACACACATTTACACAAGTAAATATATACGATAGACTCAATGATGGCTTAAAATCTACAAACTTCTGCACGTGCAGATTCTGTGTGGGTCTACTTATTCCCTAACGTAATAAGGATATTAACTCTTTATTAGTACTGAAAAAGTGCTATAAATTGTATTCTACATCTCTAATCCTACCCAATACCTAAACCTAAATACTAGCTCACTAACTATTATAAAGCAGCTAATTAAAAGCGTATTAGGTTTGTTTGGCTTGTAGGTTTGTTAACAGCATGAGCTGTACCCTAAAATGATCTGTGACCAACATTTCTACTTCCTGTCCATCTGCCATCTATTGTCTTATCTAGCTAACTAACTATCGTTAAGTCTGTGGTTCTATCTATCTCTCTGTCTGTTGTTCAAGCGATCATTCTGTCATTCTAATGCATCACTCTCACTCCTTAGTCTTACGTTCACCCTGAATCTTGTAGAAACTCTGAAAAACTTGCTTTTCTGTGTTTTTCCTGTCTTTTCCTTTGCGGCTGGTCAGGAGTATATCCGTCGTCAGTTGGAGGAGGAACAGAGACAACTCGAGATCCTACAACAACAGCTCTTGCAAGAGCAGGCGCTCCTACTGGTAACAGAGAGAAGACACTCATCTTGTTGTGCACGCCCCAATCCCTCTCCCGCATCTCCGCTTCTGCGTTGACTTTTACTGCATCTCTCTGTTGATCTTCAGACCTCATTTTGTGTTGTTACAGAATCACAATTATGTTTTTATACTTCATTAATGTGTTGCAGTCGTTGTTTCTGTGATATTTGTGAGAAATATCAGCTTTTAAAAGAACAAACATGATGGGCCGATCAAGGAATGAGATATACTGTATATTGTAATAGAGCATAGCTCAAACATAACTGTGCCATTGTTTGTGCAGGATATTAGTACAGTACACAATATAACTTGATTCAGATCTGTAGAGATGAACTTGTGTTTATTTATGATACATCACGCATATTCATTATAATGAATGATCTACAAACATTACTACACAGACAACAAAATAAGAAGTTGGTATTTGTTCACGGCCTACAGTAATGATCAAGTTACAAGGCAGGTGAAAGCAGAACACACCTTTTTTTTATCAGTACCAAATTAATACATTTGTTTCTGTGAAATCCCTGCATGCCTTGGTGCTTTTTAAGAGAAAATGGGAGAGGTGCAGATTGTGGCAGGTGTTCTCTTGTGTTTTCTGCTCTCATGAGAGATTTGAAGTATAGAGGAGGGCAGAAAGATCTCATTGAAGCCACCAGGGAGTAAAAAGCTGTGGTGAAGACTTTCTTTTCCAAGTAGATCTGCTATTAAGTTCTAGATACAAGATCACTTTTTAAAGAGACAAGTTTCATCTGGATTACCTTACCACTACTAGCCTATTTAACTGCCATTAAGGCAAATCATATGCTTGGCTTTGAATAAAGGTACATCAGGGATTGTAATTGTGTACCTGTTTGTTTTAAGCTGCAAATACCCCATAACGATCCAGCATGTGCATGTTTTGTGTATGTTTGTGCGCCTGTGTATGGTACTTGTGCTTTGTGGGCGAGTGTGTTCGAATCCTTCATTGCTTGTTCTTTGTGTGAGATCTCAGAACGGTTATTAACATCTTGTTCACGCCATCTTTTTGTGTCATTAGGAGTATAAACGTAAACAGGTGGAGGAACAAAGACAGGCGGATAGATTGCAGAGGCAGCTCCAGCAAGAAAGAGCTTACCTCGTCTCTCTCCAACAACAGCAACAGCAGCAACAACAAGACTCCAGACCTGAAGAGAAGAAGCAACTTTACCATTACAAAGATGCTGTCAACCCCAGCGACAAACCAGCGTGGGCTAAAAAGGTGAGCAGTTCTGAAATTAGATAGAATTTTTCTCCTTTTTTCAGGATTGCAGTGCTACTATATTCTAGGGGTGAAGTGACAAATCTGAGTGATTCTGACTGGCTGTGAACACGCTACAACTCCACGGAGCTGCACTCTGTGCCTGGTCCAAAATCCTGCTCCTCATTGGTGCACATTAAATATTTAATATCTTCCGATGGACTTGACACACTTTTTCACGTTCTGTGCTGGCAGACAAATTGCTTGTCAATGGAGACGCATTGCGCCTGGTTAGGAAGCTGTGTTACGCTGCAGAAATGTTTTCCAGCACATTTTTCAGGGTCACCAGCCTGGAAATGTTTACTGCAAGTTCAACAACACTCATGCTGGTTCAGCATAATGAAACCATACAGATTAACTCTTGTTTCATCTCAGCGCATCAGCAAAATGGATATGGATAATGAAGCATACTAAAGGAAAGGAAACAGTATATAATATATTTAATATGTAATGTGACATAATTGAGTCTCTTTCTTTTTGATCATCATTCAGCAAAATCTATTGTTTTTGTTTACCATGATAAGTGCACAATACAAGACCAATATTATAATTGAATATTTAAATTTCACAGATTAAAAGAGACAAAGACTGTACATGGAAGACTGTAACGGAATTTATATAGTGTTTCATGTATGGTGCAAATCAGTGTATTTTGCCATGTCAGAATGACTCGTATTACTAATTTTTACTGAACATCAGACAGATTTTTTGGACTTATTGGCTGCTAATTTGTAGTATCAGTATAATTTTACATAAAAAGGTTCATGCTGATCCAAACCGATAAATGGCATTGCAACTTAACAGCATAGTGTTATTAAGTACAGACGGCGACTATAATGCTAGCTAATGAACTATTGCACTTTTACCACAATAGTTGATGTTCAACAGTGTATCAAAAATTTTGTGTTTTACTACAAACAAACAACTTTGCAAGGCTTTTTCGCAACAGCAAATGGCAATGATCTTGTATTGTGTCCTTTGTCCAGTGCTGTGTCCCAATTTGCTTATACTATGCCCTAAAAGTATGTACTTTTTGTGAAGGAAAAATATATACTTTTGAGTGTGTAATTAAAGAGCGCAAGCTTTAGGACATAATACTTCCTTATTAACAGACCATTTGTGTTGCTTAATTGCGAGCCTTGTCAATTATCTACACATCATCCACATTTCTGTCATATGTAACTCCCTACCTTACTGGAGAAGCAGCAGCAGGTTAATCTCCCATTCACGGGTCTTTCATGCAGAGAAATCTCCTTAGGTCTTTGGATAATTATGCATTCAGACGTTAATGTCCAAACACTTCTTTCAATAAGTTCAGTATTGTTGTTATAACACAGAAAACACAATTTAAATATTTTCCAGTTGGCTAGATATTAATTAACAGTCATACAAACATCTTTACCGAAGCCTACTACTTGACGGTTGGTCTCCATCATGTTTGTAGTTCGTTTACACTTTTCACCCACATTAGTTCAAATTGAGTTCCCGTCCAACATGCAATGTATTGCCGGCAGGATCAGCGGTTAGAGTATGGACGCTTCTTGACTTAAATTTTTTTTTACTGGAAATAGTAAACCAAATCGGAAAACTTTGGCTTACTCTTTTCAACATACTATGATTTGGGACATACAAATTTTATTTTCAAATACTATTTAGGATGGATAGTATGCAAATTAAGACGCAGCACTGGTGTTTTTGACTTTTTGTCAACTTTACTATGTTTAACAAAATTTTCTTGACTCACTGTTTCAGATCCATGGACCGCCCCAGATAAAGATCCAACCCAGCAACCGCAAGCAGTCCACACCCCTCTACTATAAGTTGGACAACCTAGGGATCCCCATAGGCCGCGCTATACTGAATCCCTCAATTAATCAAAGTGTCATGCAGCCTTTAAAGCCGCAGAAGCAGAACCTGATACAGCGACAATCGATTTCACCACCCCCCCAATACAGTGCAAAAAAAATTAGTATGGGACCTCGCCCAGGCTTTTCCCGTCCTCCTTATAAGCGGGTAACTCGAATGATCACACCCATAGTTGTAAAATCTAGCAGGCCTGTATTTCAAGTAGAAACAGACAATGAACTGTCCCCTGAAAGTGAAAAGGTAGACATGCTTTCCCAGTCTAGCCCAGAGTATTCCTTAAGAGAAGCTATGCCGAAACAGAAGCGTTCACACTCTATCCCAGGCAAGAACCTCCTTATGGTGCCGCAATGGGAGTGGGAGGTGCCTCTTAAAAAGTTTGGTTCAGATGAACCGGTTCATATGAATCGATGCTCTTCTGCTCAGGACTTGTCTTCATCACGTTTAGATTCTCCCATCTGGCGTGCTAAATCTTGTGAACGCATCAGCAATTTGCAACGTCGGGGTTCTAAAAATTCTGAAATAGCTAGGCCACTCTGGTCTTTGTTGCGCTGGATGGGTCTGTCTCCTCGAGGCTCACCTAGAGGAGGAAGCCCAGTCTCCTCTAGATCACCATCCCCGGGGAGCCGTCGCTCCTCTCAGATCAGTCCTGATTTGTCTCCCATTGGCTCCCCGTCATCCCCCGACTTTATGACAATCAGAGCCGCCAAATAAAGTGGTCTGCACTCATTGTAAATAGTTGTAAATAGCATATCCCGAATTGTAATTTTGAAAAGATTTATTTAACCCACAAAATAAAAGGTTACACCAATATGCAATTTTTTTTATTTACTGAAACCTGAGATGTACATAAATCATTCAGTTAGCCATATAACTCACGTTATCTATTTGTTCATGCATATGTTAAGCCACTCGCTTTTCCATCTTATAAGTGACATCATAAAAGCCCCTTTTTCATGTTTAACCCTGGTTCTGATTCTGAGCCCCATCAGATGGCTACTGTCCCACTTGGAAGACCTCTTTTTTTGTGTAAGCTGTAGCAATCAGTCCGGCCCATTGCTGGGTGCTTCTGGGCCCTTTGGTGATGGAGCTCCTCTTTTTTTTTCTCACAAGGTGGCATGTGGTGAACTCCTGTAATTTCAAAGCAAAAATTTACAACTTTTGAGAGAGGTTAAAAACTACAGGTTTAATATTTAGACGGAAAACTATTTTCCGTTATTGAAAGTGTTCAGACTTCTGGGCATACTCCTTGAAAGCTGAATCTGTTCCACAAGTTGTGTTTTTCTACAACAGTTCCTAATCAGACACAATGTGTAGCAAGAAACAGGACATTCATGTCAAATTCTACCCTTTCTTAATCTTAAATGCATGTCTTAATATTCAATTTAATTTAAGTTTATTTGTAAAGTGCTTTTTACAATAATTATTGTTTCAAAGTAGCATTACAAAAGGTGCACATTATTACATTATAAACAAATTAAGTTAAAGTTACAATCAAATATAAGTTATTATATACATCATAAATCTGCAATTTTATAGCAAATAGGTGATGTCTGTGTACATGGTAATAGCTGTGATTCACAGCAGTTTCACTTTCATTAAAAGAATACACTAAAGGTCTACTACACATTGTGCTTGGTTTGGATAACATTAGAAGCAAAAGTATCTTCTTAACCAATATAGTCAATGGTTTTAAATGACCAGTGGATCTAGTTGCTTTTTAGAATGCCTTTGATTAACCTGAGTTCTCTAGAACTGGGAACTCTAGAAACTATACTCATATCTTTGAGCAAGCTGCCTTCCATCTTCACACTTACCTCCCATTTCTTTTTGAATTTAACAAGCTTTTTCCCCTGTAGGCATTAGCATTTCTGAGACACTGAAATGGTTGACCAGTGTCTGTTTAGCTTTTTTAAATGATCTGTTGGTGCAAAGAAAAAGCCATCAGGCTGTAAGACACTGAAAGTCTACCAATTCTTTAGATGGCGAGACATATTTCACATCTCATGAACACATACGATTAATGTTATTGGTTACCTTAATGACTTTTTAAGATATTCAGTCTTATAGAACTTAAACCTTTTCATGAAGTTGCCAAGCAGTGTCTTATATATTGGCTTTTTATTTTGCATGAGCAGATTATTTATCCATTAAACCTAGTTGGAGTATTTTCTGTCCTTTCATCTCCAAAGGTCTTCAATCTCTCTGCTTGTAGAAGGTGCTGGTCTGCTCTAACCAATTGTTGTATGAATGACCTGATCGCCATGCAACGGCTAATTCAGCTTCTAGCTGAATAGATTGCTTTTCTCCTTCAGATGGTGGGATAGTTTCTACTGATTAACTTAAGCCATGTTTCCCAAACATGTCTTTTCTGGAGCATTTTCCAAGCCTTGCTAGTTCTCGCTTATTTGATGCTAAGTTAATCAGCACGGCCTGTTCTTAATTGGCTTTTTTTTTTTTTTTTTCCTCACAAAGGTTGAGGAGCGATCTAAACTGAACCGCCAGAGCTCTCCTGCCCTACAGCATAAAGTGGCCAATCGTATCTCTGACCCTTCCCTCCCGCCTCGCTCTGAGTCCTTCAGCAGTGGAGGAATGCAGCCAGCACGCACCCCTCCTATGCACCGCCCTGTGGAGCCCCAGGTAACATTTTTGGTGGTTGTTTAAAGCAGAATTTACCATTACTGAATAATTCTATCCACATAAAGGCCTCAAGACACTGATAATGGGTTTCTGCGCTAACTTTTTGTAAGGTTGTCATTTGGAAGAACCAAAGCTCATTGCGGAGTAGAGTTTAATTTAGCATAGTAGGACCTACAGTGACTTGACTATCTACAGCTATGGTCTTAAAACTCAATTCCTTAAGGGCCACAGCTCTGCATAGTTTTGGTCCTACCACCACCAACTTACACCTGCTCAATAGTCTATAGTTGTCTTGAACACCTGGATTAGTTGGATCAGCTGTGTTTGGTTAGAGTTGGAGCAAAACTGTGCAGAGCTGTGGCCCTCCAGGAATTGAGTTTGAGACCTATGATGTACAGTGATTTTCATTATCAAAAACAATTCATGAAAAACATACCCCTTCTTTCAGTTGTTGATTTTGTTGAATGCAGCACTTGATTTTACTTAAGTCCAGCTTATTCACTTCGACCAACCAGAAAAACGGTCCAGGGTGAAATTAATTCTCAGGGAACTGACCAGGTGCAAAAGCCCCCTATAGATGCTCATACACAGAAGCAGCAGTGATTGAAATGTTACATGACACTGCTGATGCTGTTGGCTGTTAAGATCAATCACAAATCACAAACATAACAAATGACTAGAAAGGTCATGGAAATGCGTTAGTGAAAGTGTGTCAGGATTCTGATCTCCGAAGTGCTTTCTTGCTCCTTTTAGATGGCTCATTTGGTTCCAGTGAGGTCCCATAGCTCCTCTATGTCAGTCTCGCAGTCTTTGCATGATCAATCTGCAAAGGGTGTTTCAGCCTTCCAGGAAAGCCTGGTGTCCAATCGACCAGAGATGCCTCGACAGAACTCCGACCCGACTTCAGAGATGCCCCCTCCTGCCCCTCGCATGGCCAGCCATGAGGAAAAACCTGACCGCAGTTCCCCCTGGCTGAGGGAAGACGCCGTTCCTCCCAAGGTCAGAATGTTACCACTAATGTCTTTTTATTTTCTCCGTCCAAAGGTTTATACCTGAAGTAAAAATATCTGACTGTTGTAATCACGCTATGATCCCTCGTCTCTGACGTTTGGTCATTTGTGTGTTTGATTAAAGTTGTCCGGTACTACCCAGGTGCCCCAGAGGACCACTTCTATCTCCCCTGCTCTTGCTAGGAAAAACTCTCCTGGAAACGGAGAGTCCAGTGGAGGGGGGCGGTCGGCCTCTCAGCTCATTCGCACCAGGTTAGCTCAGCTCCCGGTTAATGCACAAACCTGGGGATCTGCTCTGTGTTGATAACGCTTACTGTATCTTGATCTCTCCAGTAATCCAGACCTGAGGAGGACAGAGTTGTCTCTGGATGTGGCCCTGCAGAGAACCAGCAGCAACAGCTCCTCCAGCTCCAGCACACCCAGCTCTCAGGGTGGATCCCAGCCTGGATCCAGTGAGAGGAACCAGCCAAGAGGTGAGACTCTTTGCATTTGTGTGGAATTTAGATTTTTGATTTCTGTATTAGGTTAAGATTGCTCTTGGGACAGAAGAGCAATCCTTTCAAAGTATGCAGTACTTGAGTGCGAGTTCACTTTTGATTGACACATTTGTGGCACAAAGATCAATGGTTGCCCAGTTTTGCCGCTTCATTTCCCTCAAAGTTATACATAACTAGTTGTGGATATTTTTTAATTCCTTTCACACAATATCTCAATAGGTTTACCATTGTATCTAATGTGGGTATGGTTGTAACTGAAGTGGATTAAACATTTCTACACATACTAGCATACTAAAATGGATTAAATTTAGTTATTTCTTTATCATTATAATTCAGTTTTTTTTAAACAAAATATTTTAGTTTGTCTTTATTTTTGTGTATTGTTTACATTAGATCAGTGGCCAACTGATGCGTCATGTTTTTACGTTTCCCTTTCAGATATTTGAGTTTAAAAATGAGGCAAAAAAGTATATACATCATAATCTTTAAACAAATCCACATATTTGTATTAGACAAGTGTGAAATTAAGTTGAAAAAATATTATATTCTGAACCACATGTGAAATCAGACAGTGTTGCAGTAGCTTGAGTCCCATTTGACCTATATTTTTAGTGCTTTATCTTCTGCACACCATCATCCAGGAGAGACAAACAAGCTGCTGGAGAATCAGGACACAATTCAGGCCAGGTTCAAACCTGGGTTCCTGTGAGCAAACCTTTTGTTATGAGCCAGAACTGCCTACCCTACTGCTCCGACATGCTCATTTGGATCAAAGTGTGTGTGTAGGTGGTCATGGTATGTTGTGAGTGACTGGTTCAGACATTGCCCTCCCCAGAATGCCTCAGTTTGACATCCTCAATGGGACTAGTTGAGCTGGCTCTTTATTTTTTGTTTCGTTTCACTCTGTTCACCATGTCAGACGTGCAATACTACAGTCATCCTCTAGAGAGAGAGAAGTGGATGTATGGTTTGACATAGTGGATACATGGTTTGGACACTTGATCTGTTTACATATTTCATTCCAGTCCAGCAGTTGGTTTTGTAGGTAGCAGTTTTATACCATCTGGCCCATTTACATCTGGTGTTGAAGATTAGCATTTTTGATTTTTGCTAATAACAAGAAGATGATGCTAAATGTTAGTGTAAATGGGGTGTAAGGCATTTAGAGTTTGTCCACTTCTAGAAGTGATAGAAATCTCATTCAGTTGGATCGTTCATATTGTAAACACTCATGTCATGTGGTAGAATGTGTTTAAAAAGCTACAAAAAGACCACCCGTTCTCAACCTACATGATATTTCACTGTATTGTATCAAAACATACAGATTCATGCAATTGAAATTGTGTTTTCCATCCACCCCTTTTTACATTTGACTTTTTTGTTGATAATTCTTTGGATGTGTAAAATTATTTAATCACTTCCGGTACTGACTAATAAATTGTGTGACCTACACTACCTATTGTGTGACTACCGCCCTGCATTGTTAATAATATGGTTGGATCCTTCTATGTGTTCTCCAGGATCTGGTAAATCAGAGGGATCTCCAGTGGCATTACAGGAAACCTCCAAGCCCATTCAGGAGGAAGGCAGAGAGCTAAGCAAACCCAGTCGGCCTGCAGTAAGTTGCATCTCAATAACCTTCAAATATTATTTAGCGATTCTTTATTACCAAATTTGCAGTTCTTACTATTTATCGTTTTTCTGTTTTATCAAGCATTTTTTAAAGGTGCTTTTAGTTCTCTTAGGATGTCGATGCGACTTTCAAACAGTTCTAGACTAAACAACCTTGAGGCACAGATGCTGTTTTACGGTTGGAGGCCAAAATATTTCAGTCACTACATTGTTCAGCCTCTTGGCTAGTTTTCCCCTTGTGAATGATCAAACGATTTATAAAAGTCATATGTAAAGTGAACATTCTTGGCTGAAGCTGGCTGGACGCAGTTGCCCAGAAGTCGATATCTGCAATTACGTAGCAAAACAAATTGTGTTTTCCACAGTAAATATCTAAACATTCTTAAATAGAGAGGCATCAAGATGTGCATACTGCATAATCAATACGATAAGATTACACCTTACTGTATTTAGATTTTTCGTCTTGAAGAAGCTTACACATGGTGTGTTGATAAAGCATTGTGATTAATATTTGCACAGAGGACTAAAGCCGTGCAAAAAGTTTTGTAATTCGCTGCATTCAAAAGTTCAAGCTTGGTAAACTTTGACCTGAGAAATTGCATCATATGCCTCTGTAAGATCTATTGAAGATCAAATCATGACCTCTCTATACACAAATTTAAAATATAGACCAATCGCTATTTTTTTTAAATGTCTAATATTCATGTGTAATCCCACCCCTTATTTTTTAGCACCATATGACATCATTTTGCGTACTCAAACTGTGACCACAGTGTAAAGCTGTTTATGAATAACAATCTGTATTAACCAGTTCTAGCTGAAGCTGACTAGACCCACTTTAAAATGCACACACACCCACAACCATTAAAATAAGAGTCAAAGAACCAATAATTTTTTGTAAGGTTTCTTTAGATTTTTTTCGAGGAAACGTACACTTTGGCCCCCTTTACACTAATACATTTTACTTTTAAAGTGGTGTTTAGAATGAAAACGATCCACGTCCACACTGGTGTTTCACCTAGTGTTTCTGAAGAAATCTCCGTCCACACTATATCACTTAAAACGCACACCACATGACCACACACACACTCTCTCATGATGCGCTGTCAGCGGGTGCTTTAAGAATACCTCTGCAGTTGAGAGCAGCACACGTAGGACAGTTCATCAAGGATCTTCCACTGAATTTGATCTCACTATAGTTGTTAAATGTGATATTTAATTCATCTTGTCTCTATCTAATTACTTTGGTATTTTGAATTTATTACTTGTTCTCAGGTAACGTGTTTCAACTGAGTGCAAAGATAAGTTTATATATTAATGTAACCACTTACACTGTTTCTGCACATTTGACTGATTGCTTGCCTTTATTTCCTATATTGTATAAACTCATTGTACATTATACTTTTATAATGGCCATTATTGATTATTAAAACTGATATTCAGCAAAAGAGACAGGATATGTTTCGTATTTTTCGAAGAAAATGAAAGGAGGCAGTTATAGTAGCCTACACTTTTCCCTTTAAAGATTTACCCGATGTGTCCTCTGGAGTTTGTTTTTCATATCAAAACTTGCAAAGTCTGATCTTAAGGAAAGGATGCAAGACTGAACTTTATGCACTTATTATTGAAGAAAAAGCCAAATCAGATAGGTGAATGTCTGCAGCCACATGTCTGTTTTCAGATGTCTCCATTTCCCCTATCCACACTGACATGAAGCAGCATCGTTTTAAAACCAACACTGCCTTTTCAGCGTTTTCAAAACGCTCAGTTTTCGGGGGCCAAAAACTTCAGGGTAGTGTGGACAGAAGGCGTAACTGTAGCAAAACGTATGGATTTTAAAACTAAAACTTATTAGTGTAAACGGGGCATTGGCACATTAAAAAAGTTTTGAGCAGAGGACTAAAGCTGTCTATATAATTAGCTGACCAACAATCTGTATTACCAAGCTCCAGTGCTCTGTCTTTATGCATGTCTCTCCAGTGTATTCTCTCTGTGTCTACTCTGTTCTTTATCTGTCCTGTCACCTGGAGCTTAATCAGGTCTGAAGAGGGCTGGTAACATTCCCATCCATCTTTCTCTCAGTCGCTCTCAATCTAAAGGTTGTTTGGCAGAGGACTGTGGGAATTCCAGCCTGCTAATCTCAATAGCAACGCTGACTTGAGAAAAGCTTGTCCTCTTTCACCCTCTTAACTTTCTCACCAAGCTGGATTTGTCAATGGATTCTGTGTGGTGGTGTGTCATTCCCTCCCCAAAACTTGGCTCAGATTATTTTACCCTGGCGCAAATAACCCTAAATGTTTGTTAGGAGACTTGCCGTTTCCGTAGAAACTGGAGTTCCAGACTGGGCATTTTTATGTTGAGCCTAGCTGGGATTACAGGTCAAATGCAAACTGATTACTGATGACATTTGAAGGGGAGTGCCCAAACTACTCATTGTTTGAGCATTAACATCAACTGAAAAATTACAATGCTTGTTTCAACATAAATATTGCAATGTGATCATTTGCAATAATCACATCGCAGGATATGCAATTTTCAGTTTGTATTATAATTTATCATTTGCATGTGTTTTTGATGCCTATGATTGTATAATGTTTTAAATGCATTCAGGTATAAGAAATTGTACCTTTTTTGACCTTAACTATGATTAATTTTATTGAATTATTTTATTTTTATCATTCTGTAACTGTACTTGAATACTGTTCTCTGGCCATAAAATACTTTTTCAGCTGTATCTTTTTCTTGATTGTATTTATAGATTGTTATGCATGGAAATACTCACAACACCTGCAAATACAGAATTGCACTACAAATAGCAAAAGACCACAACAAAATTGTATCGGACCCCAAAAGGTTTCTAGATTGTTTATTAGATTTTATAGAGATGCATTTCCAATGTAGAATCATCCCAATTGATATAACATTAAGAATTCTTTCCAAAAATGTAGTAGTCATCTGCTGAAATCGTATTCATATCACAATATATATGACAAAATAAAAAAAATGTTACAATGTTAGAATTTTGTACTAAAATTCTTATGAGACCTGGGCATGACATTCTTTCTTGCACTAGGTGGTGAAAGAATTAGAACACACTAGGCGAATTGACCAATCAGAGTCCATTATTGGTTTCTGAGGGAGGGGTTTCATAGAATTCTACAAGTCTACAGTTTTTTTTTTTTTTTTTTATGAAAACTGAAACAGTTGTGTAGAACAAAACAAATAAAATTTAAAAAATAAATACATTTTATAGTTCACTCCATAAATAAAAATTATAATGACAATAATATTGTAAACTGTATGCTGTAAAAGTGCTCCAACTTTTTACCCCTGGTGGAGAAGTGTCTTGGGGATTTGTTCACAAGTGAGAAAACAATGGAACGTGAGATTTACAGGTGGATTAGTGAAGCGGTATCAGTCCGTTGTGGTAAAGAAGGAGCTGAGCCGAATAGCAAAGCTCACAATTTACCAGTCAATCTATGTTCCTACTCTCACCTATGGTCAAGAGCTTTTGGTCATGACCGAAAGGACAAAATCTAAGATACAAGCGGCCAAAATTAGTTTCCTTCATAGGGCGGCACGGCTAAATGTTCTAAAGGTTTAAAAAAAGAGCGGTCAATTTGCTTTTTTTTCCCCAGAGTTTTCCATTACATTTTAAAAAAAAATGTATATAAATATATATGACATTTTTCTCAACTTGTTTTATCGTTCACTTGGTTATTTTATTACAGCCCTGTCTTGGACTTTCGATTAAATCATCTTATGCTTGAGCAAAGCACAGATAAAGATTATTCACCTGCTGAGTAAGAATCAATCTTTACATTTAAATGACCTTAATCGCTAGTGTTGGGGGAGCTGCTTGGAAACTGTGCTTCAAGAGAGTTTTATGTAAAAATTTTTAAAGAACTTTTCATTATTGAACATTTCCATTAATATAACCATTCAAGAGAACCAAAGAGAATATGTGTATGTGTATGTGTGTGACATGCATGCATACAAACTGCACATACACATTTATATAAATTTGTTGGCAGTCACTTTGAATAGTCTGCCAAATTTGTAAAGGTTAAGAAAATATGTAGCATAGAATAATATTGCTGTAAAAACAACACTGTGCTCACTAGAGATATATTTATCTCTTTCCCCTGCTTTTAGGATCTGACTGCCCTGGCTAAAGAACTGAGGGAGCTGCGAATAGATGAGGTCAGTCGACCCCCTCTTAAACTCACAGACTACTCCTCTTCTAGTGAGGACTCTGATAGCAGTGAGGATGAGGATGGTACGGTGGGACACGACGGCACTGTGTCAGTCAGTGACATACCCAGGATCATGTAAGTTCATGTACATTTGTTTTCTCATTTCTCAAAATGATTTTCTTTCAAGGCCCAACATTTAGTCAATGTGCTTTTGAGCCCTGTTCCTTTTAGCCCTCTTTATCATTATTTATTCTAGTAACGTTAAACATAGGAGTGCTAAAATTATAATTGATCTTTTGATGTGAATAAGCAAAATCCCAAGTTTGTCATATTTGTCTTCCTCAGGCCATCCGTTCAAGGAAATAATGAGTCGTTCACGAGCAGCCATGATGATTCCCTCACTGACTCCTACAATGATGAGTCTAAAGATGGGACACTGAGGATGCGAGAGGTAAGATGCCATCAAATGTCACATTGGGTGCTATTTTAGATGCTGTGTGCACTTCTCTCTCGCTTCTCAAATGTTTCAATTTGAGTTTGTTATTCTGTGTAGAACAATGAGAGGCAACGCTTAGGCCATGGCGAGAGCAATGGCTTTGCAGGCCATGGAAACCTACCAGACCTCCTGCAGCAGAGCCACTCTCCATCCGGAACTCCAACAGGCCTCAATTCCCAAGACCTGGACTCTATGGATGAGGTAAATAACATTTTAGACTAAATAGGACTTGATAGATTTTGATAGCCCTTCTATCCTCCTTTCGTGATGCGTTTGTATTCTTAGACTCTCGAGAAATAATCACCATCAGTCATTTTGTCAGAACTCGTTGTCTGTTAAAGGCACAGTATGTAACTTTTGTCATAAGGTGGCTTGCATTCACAATAAACAAAGGTGTAGTTTCAATACACTTAACTGTGAAATCATGGGAGTTGTCGTTTTTATTACATCCTATGTAACTCCTGCAGAACTCCTGTTCATGGATGAGCTAAAGTCTACTAAAACGCACAACATATTAAGGCATCTTTTGGTGTTTCTTGATTTCTATAAAAACAAACCTGGAAATCGAGGATGTATGAAATCATTATCATTCCAACACAGGACTCAGTTTGTGTTACTAGTTAAAATAGCTTATTTCTCTGGATTTAAAGTCAGGCTGACAGCAAAATATCAGCCACTGTACTAGTGTTTTTGGATATTTTATTGAAAGAAATTGTAATTAATGTGCCTTTAAACACCATTTGTTTGATTTTATAATATTTCTCTTTATTTTGATACCCTGGGGAAGATTTGGGGATTTGGTTAAACCAAATTTAGTTCTGAAGATTTTGTTGAAAATAATGAATCTTAAACATCTGGAAGTAACTAAGCCTGGTACAGTCCTATCAACACGTGACATGACAAGATTCCAGCAACAAGCAAGTTGGCTGTCTGCACCAAACACAACATGACAGAAACATTTAAATACCAGCCAATGCACTCCCAATGAAATGGTAAAGGATTTCAATCTAATTAATACTTTTTAAACCTCTTTAACATTATCAATATGCTACTGTGTGACTGAAGTTGTTGAGCCACGGTTCTGATTTTCATTTTCAAACCGTCATTAAATTTAGTATCAGTTTTTATTTTGTTTTTAAGGTCTGAGGTGAACTATTAGCTGCTGTTTTCCGTAGTATGACAATAAATATCTCAAAAAAGTGTGTTCAAACTCGCACTGGTAGCATTTAACACTGAATCAAGCACATAATCTGTACTTGGTCACATAATCTGAGCTGGTCTTTGTCATAGTAGTATATGCTGTTCTTCTGCGGTTATGTTGCAGAAATTGAAAGCATTTTTAAAAATAGAAATTTCACACATTCCGGTCATAGATGGTTAGGACAAAAGAATCCTTCTAACATGGAAAAGATACATTTTATCGCATCGCAGCATCTCATCACATGTTGTTAGGACATAGTGTGATTTTAAACAATACAGCCATAGAATTTGGCTTGACGTTCTTTCTTTTCATTCATAAACTTTTGTACTTATTTACAGTGTTGGGGAAAGTTACTTTATCTCTTTCAGCACTTGCTGGATTTTTCATCTTTTTTTAAATAGAGGAGCTTTACAATAAAGAACTCACTGTATAACCTTTATTTAACTTAAAAAACAAAACAAAAAAAATCCTTGGAGAACTTTGTGACCCCAGAGCTTTACATGCCTTATATATAGATTAATAAAAGTTTGAAGCAATTTGTTTAATTTAGTACTAATTTAGTACTTTTTGTCTTATTAAAAAGTAAAACCACTGTTTTCAGACAATCCTTATTTCTTTTTTTTTACATGTTTTCAAAATAATGAGAATATTTCTATGCAGATATGCAAGGTTTTCCTGGATTCTCTCATTGCTTGCAGGATTTAACCTGATTGATTATTTTAATACAGCAATTTTTAAAAAGAGAATTAACTAAACTAAAAAGTAACTTGGGAGACGCAGTGGCGCAGTAGATAGTGCTGACGCCTCACAGCAAGAAGGTCGCTGGTTCGAGCCTCAACTGGGTCAGTTGGCATTATTGTGTGGAGTTTGCATGTTCTCTCTGCGTTCATGTGGGTTTCCTCTGGGTTCTTCGGTTTGAAAACAAAATGAATGAATGAAAAAAGTAGCTTGCATCACATTAAAAAAAAAAAAGTAAGTCAAATAATACTTAAGTTTGAGAATTAATGCGTTGCTTTACTCGTTACTTAAAATAATATTGATATGTAACCCATTACAAGTAACGCGTTACCCCAACACTGCTTATTAATACAACAAAATATTCTGCAGGCTGCAAACATTTTATGAATGCACTCAAAAACACTGGCTCCAACTGTTTTTAAAATGCTGGTAGGGAGAGAGTTAAGATTTTCATAGCCCTGTCAGAAGCATTATTTACTGATTCACGGTCGAATGTGAAAGTTTAAAATTTCCTGCTGAGTCATAGAAATCAATTTGTCTGTCCCATCTATTATCTTAACCGAGCGATTGCACTTCTGCAGTATTGTTAGCCCCAGGCTGTTTTTCTCTGAATGCCTGCTATTAAATCACTTCACTGGAGCTGATATGGTACATTTGTTGTGTTTTATCAGTTTGGTCTTGGCGGTGGTTCGAAAGCTTCTTTCACTCCTTTTGTGGACCCACGAGTGTATCAAACCTCCCCCACAGACGACAACGATGAGAGCTCAGCAGCCGGTAAATATACAAATCACAAAAACGCATCTTTTATCACCGCCTACAACAATAAAAGGACAAACATTTATGGAAAGTTCTACATTTGGGATGAAATGGGGTTTAAAATGGGTTTATTCGGAGCATTGAATTAGATAAAAGCATTTCAATATAATTTGGCGGTCTCCTGCTGAGTTTGGTTCTTGTCCAGGTTTCCAGTGATGAATGAAATGCTCCATCCTTCATATTGTATAATGTGTATTTTGAACTCTACAGCTATGTTTGCGAATGAGCTGTTGCGTCAAGAGCAGGCCAAACTGAATGAGGCCCGCAAGATCTCTGTGGTGAACGTCAACCCCACCAACATCAGACCTCACAGCGACACGCCAGAGATCCGCAAATACAAAAAACGCTTTAACTCCGAGATCTTGTGTGCTGCTCTATGGGGTACGTCAGTTTGTGTCTGATTATTTGATGCCCTTTTCGGGTGGTCTGCGTACATTGATGTAAACTTTCGTTTTTTTGCATGCCCAGGTGTTAACCTCTTGGTGGGCACTGAAAATGGTCTGATGCTGCTGGATCGTAGCGGTCAGGGCAAGGTTTATAACCTCATCACCCGCAGACGCTTCCAACAGATGGATGTGCTGGAGGGTCTAAATGTCCTGGTCACCATATCAGGTTTGTCTCATTATAAAAAGAGCTGTGTTAGGTCACCCAAGTTGATGTTTTAGAGTCATGTAGTAAGAATTAGGGCTGCACAGTATATAATTTCAGCATCAATATTGTAATGTGTGAATCTGCAATAGTCACATCACAGGATCTGCAATGTCAAGCTGGGATTATAGTTGATCAGCATTACCATTCAGGATGTGATTTGTGGAGTCATCGCAAAGTTTAACCATAAAAAAAAAGAGTGAAAGGTTTTCACTTGGATGTTTTTAAGACCTGTGACTGTTTATGATTTAAGCAAACTTAAATCAAAAGATTATAAATGTAAATAAATGAAAATGAATTGTATTTAATTATTTATACAATGTGGATTCTACACTATAGTGTTATTTTATCTATTGTTATAACATTTCTGCACATCAATTCTATTAGATTCCACAGAAAACCATACAATTAATTCGTATTTGTTTAAGTTTATTGTTCTTTATGCAGATACTCCTCTACAATCCCAATCAGTGTAAGCATATGAATTTATTCCAAATAAAGTTATATGTGATCTTGTGAACTTCATATTGTCATATATTCATCATATCCATGTATATTACGATACGCCTATTGTAATATCGCAGACAAACTAAATATCACAATATCAGTTTTGGCCAATATTGTGCAGGGCTAGTAAGCGGAGATTATTGTTCCTAATTTATTTAAAGGTATAGTTAAAATTTTTTCCAAAACTGTTTTTTTCTTATGTTGATCGCAAATGAAGACATTTTAAAAAATTGTATCTGGTTACCACTTACTATGACTTTTTTTTTTCTTTAATAGGGATATCAGTTTCTAACATTATTCAAAATATCTTCTTTTGTGTTAAACAGAAATAAGAAACCTTTATAAATATTTGGAACCACTTTTTTTCCATTTTTGGTTAAATGTGCATTTAGGGTTACTGAGGAAATGTCCTCAAACCAATATGACATAAAAGAAACTTCCCTCCCCCTAAAATGTTATTGAATCTGGTGGCATCTTTTTGGGATACACATATTTTGTTTTAAGCTAATGACATTAACATGTCTCATCATTATTTATTGCAGGGAAAAAAAATAAGCTCCGTGTGTACTACTTGTCATGGCTAAGAAACCGAATACTGCACAATGACCCGGAGGTGGAGAAGAAGCAGGGCTGGATCACTGTTGGTGAACTCGAAGGCTGCATCCACTATAAAGTTGGTATGTGAATTATATTTATAAAGGGTTGTGGCAGTGAGATTTTGTACCAATAAACACTTAAGCATTTAAGTTATTATTGAATCATATTTGAATAAATTAAGATACATCTTAATTAGGTTTTCAGTTAAATATTTTCAGAAAATATTAAGTGTGGTGTGATTTTTAACTTGTCAATATTGTTGCTTAAAAAAAAATGGACCCAACTTTTTAAAACATTTCAATATTAATTTTATTTCATAATTTTAGTAATGTTAGCAGTATATTTGACAATTGGATTAGCTGCAATTTATAGTAGTTGGTATTGTAAAGTAACAAAATACAAATACTCAAATTACTAACGAGTAGTTTTTCTGAGGAAGTGTACTTTACTAATTAGTTTAAAATGTGTCATGTTTAGTGCTGTATCGGCTGTACTTTTACTCCCCTATGTTCCTTCAACCTGTAGTTTTACTAATATTTTTATTATATTTGGCTAAGTAAAATAATTAGTCCTGTGATTCCTGTTCAATCAAATCATGAAAAATTGCATCACACTGAAGACATGGTCGCTTTATATATGCGCCAAACATGTACAGTGTGGAAGCATTAAAAAGAGACATAATCATTACAAGTAATGACAGAGAGACTGTTTAGATGATGATGATGATGATGTATATGGACTGAAATGGCATTAACCAATAACTAAATGCACTACAGAATGTTTCGTTTTCACACACATTGCATGTAAACGCATCAACCTTTCACAGTGTAATACTCATTCTCACTACGCCTTGATTACTTTTAAAAGGGTTATTTTTTACTCACACTTATATTTACAACAGACACTTTTAATCTATTTACACTACACTTTTAGGTGAGTACTGGTTCTTTTACCTACATTTATCAGTACTTTTTCTACCACTGATAGTAGCAGCATATTAGCCAAAGTGAGTCTGTATTTAGTTTATTTTCAATTGATGTATTAATAAAGTGTAATGCATACTTGTTTATTTCATGTTATATTATTTGATTTAAAATATTATGCATGAATATAAAAAGTAGCAGCTTGTAAGACCATGTTAGCCTACTTTTTGTGCACACTTCTATGATAAAGCAGTCAAACGATCTGGTCTTGGGCTGTTTCTTAATATGCATTCTTCAGCAGTTTTGCGTATTCCTGTTCTTGTGTAACTTCATCAAAAATCGCCAAAGTTCATTTTCAAAACTAAAGCCCGCAAGATCGAAAGATGCCTGAAAGTTCCTGGATGAGATAGAGACTTGAGCACCGAAGTTGCTGGAGAAGTCATTGTGACTGCATAAAGGAGGTGGAAAGTGCAGCATTTTATAGAGATTTATTAAGTTAAGAGATGGAACTTGATATGACATGGTGAAAGTAAGCATTACCATGAAAATCTTTATAGGCATAAACACACTAATGGTGTTTATTTGCGGAAATAAAGTTTGTATTAACATCTGATCTGGAAAGAATGATCTTCACAAGAATGCAAGTGCATTCTCTCTGTTCTTGGTATTGAGAAACAGCTTTGGTAGTGTTAGGGTGGTCTGAGGGTGTTAAATCAGAGACAGTACAGTAGGCTAATAGATACTAAATCTTGTAGATTGTCATTCTGGTTGCCTCTCAGTGCACAGAGAGGCCCAGCGGGACATGGTCTGCTTCCTTGTTATAAATATGATAGACTGCAACTGTGAGCTGCAGGTAACTGAACGCACGGTTTACTTTGTTTTCAGTGAAATACGAGAGAATCAAATTCCTGGTGATTGCACTGAAGAACTCGGTAGAGATTTACGCATGGGCCCCCAAGCCGTACCATAAATTCATGGCTTTCAAGGTATGGTGCTCTAAGAACATTTTCTCATCTCTCAGTTTTTCTCTGCATTTCTTACATGCTTGCTTTTCTGCCTATTTAGCCAGTTTGTGACAGAATCATTTGTAAAGGGTAAAAATGCCTTTGAGGTTTGCGTGCATTAACTGCCTGTTTATCCAATTGTTAAGTCTTGACATGCATCTCTTTCTGCCTGGCAGTCGTTCACAGAGCTGCAGCACAGACCTCAGCTGGTGGACCTCACAGTAGAAGAGGGTCAGAGGTTAAAGGTCATCTACGGCTCTAGTGTGGGCTTTCACGTCATCGATGTGGATTCCGGAAGCCCCTACGACATCTACATACCGTCACATGTAAGTGATGTGATTGTAAATATTATCAACTGAACAAAAACAGTAGTTTCATACTGAATAGTGCTGCAATTTTATTGTGAAAATAAAATCACTTGATAAACTAAATAATTAAGACATATAGGAAGTATTTACATGTGTTGACACTTTTCTGAGGTAGGTGAGAGAACTCAAAAGGGCGGCAAGTTAAGGAAATCTGTTCATATAAAAAGCATCAACAAATAGAGAAATAATTATAATCAGCTTGAAAACACTTGCGCACACAAATTCTCACAACACATGCAAATACAGAAATATGCTGCAAATAGCACAGATCACAACAAAAATGTGCCGGGGCACCATAATAAGTAACAAACCCAGCTGCTTCCTGTTTTGAGTGGTGTTTCAGGGATCTAAGAGGTGAGTTTTCTTTTTGTGTTTATTTATTTAAAACATTCTGATATTGTGTTTTTTATGGACTTTTAATTCTGGTAGTATGGACTTTATTTTGAATGTTATTACTCAATACAAAATAATTTTTACTTTCACATCATCAATGTGAATTCTGGAAGCTCCTATGACATCTTCATACCATCACATGTAGTAAGTGATGTGTTGTAAATGTTATAAAATGAACAAAAATAGTAGTTTCATACTAGGTAGTGCTGTGGTTTATTATAGAAAAAAATCACTTGATAAACTGAATATTTTTTTAATAAAGACATTAATAAAGTTCCCTGATGCAATGTGAAGATCTAAATGTATTTACATGTGTTGACACTTTTCTATGGTCTCCGTCAGAGCTCAAATGCGCTGCAAATTTAGAGAATGCATTCAAATAAAGAAAAAACATCTACAAATAGAGAAAACATTTTAATCAGCTTGACAACATTTGCGAACACAAATCTTGTGTTCGCAAATGTTGTCTAAGAGGGGAGTTTTACTTTTTTTCTGTTTGTTTATTTTAACGTCCTGATAATATGGTTAGTATGGACTTTATTTCAAATGTATTTACTCAATACAAAACAATTTTTACTTTCACATCAATGATGTGGATTCTGGAAGCCCCTATGACCTCTACATATCGTCACATGTAAGTGATGTGTTCGTAAATGTTAGTGCTGTGATTTTATTATGAAAAAAATAAAAAATAAATCACTTGGCAAACTGAATAATTAAAACATATAAGAAGTAACCTGATGCAACGTGAAGATCTAAATGTGTTTAGATGTGTTGACACTTTTCTGAGGGAGCTCAGAAAATATTTGAATCAGCTTGACAACACTTGCGCACACAGATTCTCACAACACATGCAAATACAAAAATAGGCTGCAAATAGAACAGATCACAACAAAAAATGTGCCGGGGACCATAATAAGTGATGAACCCGGCTGCTTACTGTTTAGAGTTAGTCAGGGATCTAAGAGGTGACTTAGTTTTTTTTCTGTTTGTTTATTTTAAACGTTCTGATAGTATGATATGTATGGACCTTTAATTATGGTAGTGTGGACTTGATTTCAAATGTAAAAACTTAAATATATAATTGCAATTACTCAATACAAAAAAATACATGTATGCGACCTTTCACACTGAGCCCAAAGAGACAAAGCAAACCAAAAACATAGCTGTTGACAAATTCAGAACTGACTGACTATGTTTACATGGACATCAGTAGTCGACATATTTGCCTTGTTCAGAATAAGGCAATAATATAATTAAAGTGTTTACACAAGTTGGTTTTTGAATGTTCCTTTCATGATCCTGTTTTACATGTTATAGCACATAGATCGATTAACGTCATTGTGTCACCATGCTATCCACATTCCTCTGGAGTTTCATGTAATTTCAGGTGTTTCGCTCTTAATTTTTCGACTTTACCTGCAGTTTGGCACTTTCACTTTCATTCAGGAACATTTCATGTGTGCCCCCCGTGACAAACAACATAATGGAAGCGATTATGAACTGCTGGAAGAGTGCAAATATAATTTGATACAGCACACCTTATATGAAAAAAAATCCGTATTTCATGATACTTGTGTCAAATAGCTGTGTGTGTATGGACTATCCTGTTACAAATTGCGGTGAAACGTCCTACATGATGTAATAGTCTGATTAATGTGTTTACATGTCTGTACTGCACTTAAAGACAGCAACTAAAATCTAAACACTCCACATGTCTCAATTCCATTTCTGATTAGTCTGATTATTAATCATATTAAATTAATCAAAAATTGCTGTTTATGTGATACTCTTAATCAGAGTATTGTCTTAAGCATATTAAAATAGGTTTATTGGTGTTCATGTAAACATATTGCAAATTTGCATCTCATAAAATGCTTTTCTTGATTTTACACCAGAAACACAAACTACCATGTTTCCAGTTTAATAAAATATTAAACTAACCATTGATTCATATTCTCTTGGCAATTTACTCAAATGTTAACGAATAAAAAAGATCTGTTCTCCAGAAAACTCAGAAAACATAGAAAACTTGTGTTTTTTTTTCATTGTGATTGATCATGTACGTTGTGAATAGAGGTTAATTGTTTTGGTTTAGGAGCATCAAACATTTACTCACTTTAATCATGCTCAGCCTAAACAGACTTTTGTCTTGTGGGAAGTTAATATTGAATTTCGACAGTTTTGCCACAATCCCCAGTTAATTTGTTTTCCTGATACAACACAAATAATTGTATAACTACAAATGAAACATGAATGCACCTGTTTAGACCTGTGTTCATCTCACCGATAACAGGCTGTGGTTTGGCATCTGGAAAAACACAATTTAGCTGTGCTTCTGGTTAGGGGATCCAGTTACAGGCAACATCCTCTCAATTGGTTCAGATGTTCCCTTGGCAGTGTTGCTCTTGGGGGTTGTAGTCTAATCTTGGTGAAATAACATGTGCCTCCACATGTTATGTTCCCTTCACGGCATTTGAAAGTGTGAAAAGCGATTTCAGGAAGGCAGAAGCTATTTTTAGACCAATTCATGAAGAAGCGGTTAAAATAATGAGCTGAAATTGTAATGATATTCATCAAATGAGAAATAATGTTCTATCTGTCTAATAATGTGTTTAAGCGGAAATATGCTTAAATATATGTGCCAAAATTAGTTGAGCAATTTATTGCATTTTTTCCTTGTGTACATTTTTAAAAAATAAAGCTTCTTTAGTGACATTGATAGTTCAATGATGAACATTTGATGTCTGTGGAACAAATATTATTTAAATTCAAAAAGGTTCTTTAAATTAGTAGTTTATCTTCAGATAATAAAAAAAATGCTTATGAATTTTTCATTAAAAATTTTATTCATTTTTAATGAATTTTTAATGAACCAAAGAAGTTCTTATATGACACCAATGCAAATACTTCTTTTAATGTTTCTTTTTTTGTTTTTTGTTTTGTTAATAGTGCACTTTTGCAGTACATTCCCTTAAATTCCCAGTAAACATTAATGAACAAGATTGGAAAATGTGGCCCTCTACTGGTCTCCTTTAGCACTGCAGCCTGTAACATCTTTTTTTCTTCCTTAGATTCAGAGCACTGTGACTCCTCATGCCATCGTGGTGCTTCCGAAGACTGATGGCATGGAGATGCTGCTGTGTTATGAAGATGAGGGCGTTTATGTCAATACCTACGGCAGAATCACCAAGGACGTTGTCTTGCAGTGGGGAGAGATGCCCACCTCTGTTGGTAAGTCTGCCACAATGACATATGTCATACTGTAGTTGGTGCTATATTTGTTTTAGGACTTACTTGCAGTCATTTAAAAAACTATGTTTTATAAAGCAGGATTTAAAGCTTGATTTAGGCGATGCAGTGGCACAGTAGGTGGTGCTATCGCCTCACAGCAAGAAGGTCGCTGATTCGAACCTCGGCTCAGTTGGCTTTCTGTGTGGAATTTGCATGTTCTCCCTGCGTTCGGGTAGTCCGGTTTCCCTCAAAGTCCAAAGACATGTGGTACAGGTGAATTGGGTAGGCTAAATTGTCCGCAGTTTGAGTGCATGTGTGTGTGTGGCTGTTTCCCAGAAATGGGAAAAGTTATATGCATAAGAGATGGGTAATTTATATGAATAAATTAGACTTGGACATGCTATGTTATGTCCACATGCCTCCTCATTCATTTCACTTTTTGTGTGTCGTGTTTGAGCTTGCTCAATGAGCATGAGCAAATGTGTCATGGTTTTATAGTGGTGTTTAGAGTATATTGCAATTAGTTTTTATTTCACATGACTTTTCAGAGCTCAAAATGAAGGATTTACCAAAATCTGGAGGAGCTCTTGAAAGCAGCAGGACTGTGGGTGCATAAGCATAATTTTTTGTCTAGTCTATTTGAAAGAGAAGCGATCACAGTTGCGTTTCCAGACACGGTTGCTTCATGAAAGAAAACAGGAGCGCGCACGCATTTTAAACGGTCACGCGATTCTCTTCAGCTGTTATTTTTGTCAGTCATGCTGCTTCAAGATTTTAAGATGGCAACTGCACGCATATTGGGTCATCCTTATAGTCGAAACCTGTTTTTAAGAAAACTACAATTTAAAAGTTATTTTCAATCAGCCAAAGTGGCTAGTGGGAGTGTCCATCTAACCCGCCAAAGCTGAAATCTACCCGCATTTAGCGGGTGTTAATGTCAAGCAGTGGTTCTCAACCATGTTCCTGGAGGACCAACAACACTGCACATATCTATGGCTGCGTCCGAAATCGCGTACTACTCGCCTACAAACTCTGAAAACTGAACTGACACTGTTTCAATTTACTATAATCTTCTATGTTAAGCTGCTTTGACACAATCTACATTGTAAAAGTGCTATAGAAATAAAACTGAATTGAATTGAATCGAGTAGGTACTTCATTTGAATTTAAATTTACTAAACGACCATTAGAAAAGTACACTTTATATAGTAGTAATGTGAGTGGTATAAATGGAGCTCGGACGTATACATCCGCCATTTATCATTATCGCGTGACCTACTTGCATCAGTTGCGTTGCATCACTCCCATTTATGAATTCTCCCACATGGCATCATGGGATAGCATAGAATCAAGGGGATACATACTTAATAATCTTTATGAAAGTAGTTGGACATTCTGATACTCCATGCATTCTGTTTTCCAGAACTGGTTTTAGTGTGTGATTTCGGACCCAGCCATTGTTTCCTTACCCAAACACACCCAATTCAGATCCTCAGCTCAATAGCAGAGACTACTCGATCTGCAAAAGGTGTGGGAGGTTAATGAAGCATGCAAAACATGTAGTGCTGGTGGTTGTCCAGGAACATGGTTGAGAACTACTGGATTAAAGCATATTTTTTTAACTAGAATTCCAAAATTAGCCAGCAATAGGATACTATGTTTAATTATATATTTATTAGTATAACATCCATCTGCCATGTTGTTGATTAGATATTAACATATTTAGATGAGTCTCTTGTGACCACTTGGGTTCAGATTTTATTGAGAGACTTCTGTCTTTTTGGTCAGGTTTTAATGAGAAGCACACTTACTAGTAGGAAGAAAGACAGCTGGATACTTTTTACCTTTAAATTTGAATATATAAATGAGCTCACATATTGCTGTATAATGTAACAATGGACCTATTTGAGTGTGTTTCTGTACCCTTCACTGCTGTGGAAGAGAAAACAACCATATTGACCATTGAATGACTCTTTATTCTATTCATCAAGTCAGCTAGAGAATATGTAGCGTATTGTCTGTATTGACAGATATGACCATGATCCACGGTCGCAGTGGCACTGAGGTCCAATCGGCCTCTATTGCAGTGTGCGTTTGTGTTAGCTTGCTCTGCTAGCAGCACATGGGCAGGGCTTGAGGGATCTGCCAGCGACAGTAGTGCATCGAAACAACAAAGGGCTGCTTCACATCCTCTGCCTTATGGGAAAAGATAAAAGTAGTTCACCCAAAGTTCAAAAACAATCCAACTTGGCTTCAGCTTCGCTCATATTTTGAGAAGTATGAATGTAGGTGTGTGTGTCTGTGTGTGTGAGAGAGAGCTTTTTGACTAACATGAGCTGGAGGATTTTGGGCTTTTGGCAGACTTTATCATATATAATAATCTCAGTGGGGGAAGTGTTTGGGCAGAGCTCCTCACGTTTGGCAAGCTGTAATGATTATTTGTGTTGCTCGCGGACAGAATTATTCCGTTTTGCGCCATTCCTATGCAATGCTCACTAATCGTCATGTTGGCTTACTGTTTATAAAGAAGTCATGGAAGACATTCCAGGGAGGTCACAATGGGCTATAAGCACAGCTAGAGTTATTCAGTCAATGATGAACTTCCAGTGAAAGGTTTATGTGACTATTTTCAATTTCATAAGGTTCCTATTACACTATCAATGTTGTAATGTATTTAAAAAATAATCAGTTAAATAGACTAAACCATCCATTTGGTTGTTAATGAGATGAAAAGCCAATTAAAAGCAGGCTCTGTCTAGCAGCAGGCTAGCGCAGAAACTGATTGAAAATACTGTGGTAAAATTAATTTCCATATTTTAAAGACATGGTGTGGTAAAATATAATTTAATGCAGTGCTTCATGTTTGGTCGGAGACCCACTTTATATTATCTCTCAGCCAGGCAGTGAAGATCGCCGTTTTTTGTTTTTTTTTAATCAGATCTTAAACATGGCGATTTGTATGGGATGACAATTCACCGGAAGCCGTTGGGTTGGCTGACTGAAATTAAAAGTCAGTGTGCATATACCTCATTTGCTTTTTGTAGAAAGAAAAGTGAGCATTTTATTAAAAACGTAGTAGTTTTTGAAGCGATGTATTTTATATTATACGTAGTATTAGAATCGTAATTTACAGTACATGACCAACCGAGACAATTTCTAAAAATGTCAATAGAGGCCATTTTATTATACTTTCAACATCAAAGTTCTAAATAAATTTTAAAAAGGCTTATTAATCCCAACCTATGTGTAGATTTGTGTGTCTGTGTGTGTGCATATGCGTATAGGTATAGCTATACCTAGGGCCACATGGAATCTGCCGACATTTTTTTTGCTATTTCTGCTGAGAATTTCGGTAAAAGTCTGTGGATTTCTGCGGAATTATTTTGGGAGTATCATAACTAAAACCTTAATATATGAAATAAAAAAATAGTATCTTTTTAACTTTTATTTCATGTCTAAAATGCAAATCCAATTAGATTCACTTTATTTGGTAAATAAAGCAAGTTTGTCATATAATATATCTAGTAAAAGACAGAAAATGTTACTGTACAAACTGCATTGTACATAAATCAGATGAACATTTTCACATTAGTCAATGATATTACTGAAATTAATAAAAAAATGGAAAACATATGAATTTACACATTTACTCAAGTAAATAAACAGAATTTAAAATGATGGGCTAAAAATCTGCAGAAAATCTGCGGAATTCTTATGTGTATATATATATATATATATATATGTAATAAGATGTATATTATGATATATAAGCTTTTTATGTAGTATATTTAATATTAAACAGAAAAGATTAATATTGAAACTTTTGCAACTTCTATTTGAGTAATAAATTAGCTCTGGCATTGATTTTTACGGTCACACTTTACAATGGTTTCATTAGTTTTACAAGGTTTCATTAGTGCATTATTAACATCCAAATTCATGCTTGTTGAATCTTAGTTTATGCACCGTGAGTGAAAATGAACTTTTAATGGTGCATACATACAAAAAAACTCATATCTTTAGTAGTTTTTAAAACAATGTATAACATATTATACATGGTTTTAGCAGTGTAATTTACTGTGCATGACCAACCAAGACAATTTCTCATTTCAGACTTACAAAATGGAAACCGTAGATTTGTGTGTCTGTGCGTGTGCGTACAGGTATAGCTACTGTACACCTAAAAATGTCTCACTTATTTAGTGAAATAAAAAAACAACATGATATACATCATGACATAGAAGCTTTTTATGTAGTATTTTGCTTGAATAAATACAGCTTTACAGTGTTAAACAGAAAAGATTATATTAAAACTTTTGCAACTTTAGTTTGTGCTGTAAATTAGCTCTTGACTTGATTTTTACTGGCATACATTACAATGGAATCATTAGTTTTTCAAGGTTTCATTAGTGCATTATTAACATCCAAATTTATGCTTGTTAAATATTAGTTAATGCACAGTGAGTTTAGATGAACTTTTTATGGTCCATACAGGGTGACAAAAACCTGAGATTTTTAGTAGTTTTAGAAATGATCTATTATATATCATACCTGGTAATAGAATCATAATTTATAGTACATGACCAACAGAGGCAATTTCTCATTTCAGACTTTTAAAAATGTCAATAGAGGCCATTTTATTATACTTTCAACATCAAAATTGTAAATAAATTCAAAACGCATAATAATCACAAACTATGGGAAACCGAAGATTTGTGTGTGTGTGTGTGTGTGTGTGTGTGTGTGTGTGTGTGTGTGTGTGTGTGTACAGGCATATTTATACCTAAAACGTTCCCACTTACATAGTGAAATATGAAAACAACCCAATAGTGAAGACATTTTATTTAAAAATGCTTGTAAATAGACCAGAATTTTTTTTATTAGTATCTCATTATTGGCAAATTTTTGTTAGCGTTTAGGGGTAGGCCATAGAAAGCACCATTAATCTTATATAAAAACAACGGACGTCTAAGTGATGTCTTCTCTAAAACAGTAGATAAATATGTGTGTGTCTGTATAGTGATTTGATTTTAACAATATATATTTTTTCTAAGCAGCTTTACAGAAAATCATAATTGTAATGTTAGGGTTTGTTGTTTTTGATGCACGAGCTTAATGTAATATTCTGTTTTGCAGCTTATATTCATTCCAACCAGATCATGGGCTGGGGAGAGAAAGCCATTGAGATCCGCTCTGTGGAAACTGGTCACCTGGATGGGGTTTTCATGCACAAGAGAGCTCAGAGACTCAAGTTCTTGTGTGAGAGGAACGACAAGGTTAGACTCTTCACAGTCCTTATCCAGTAGCCTAATATTGTTGTAGATCAGTGGTTGCCAAACTTTATGCTGTGTGCACCCCATTCTAAAATTTGACCTCCTTAGCACCTCCTTCTCCGATTAAACTCCTCATTTTTAACCACGGGGCTATTGTGATGCAGACGTGAAACCGCGAGATGAGTGTACATAGGTTGTAAATTACTATTTGTAATGTGATTTATTTTTTGTTTTCTCTCTCAGTGAATTTCTTTTCTCTTAAAAATTTGGCATGTGAAGTTTACCCAAGATAAATGCATAAAAATCACAAAAGACAAAATTTTCCGCCATTACAAACATTCTCTCGCGCACCCCTGGTGGTCAGACTGTGCACCCCAGTTTGGGAACCGCTGTTGTAGATGATCACCAAAGGGTCTAGCATACTTTTAGTGAAGGTCTTTTTCATTCCTCACTTCAGGTAAAAGATTCAAATACCCAAGCAACAATAAAGCAAACTTTCCTCTCACCGAAAACATCCTGATAATACCCACACTGCTGAGATATGTAAATGTGTATGTGTAAATAAATATGTGCTTCTTGCTGTCCTCTCAACAACAAAATGAAAAAAAATACAGCGACAGTAGTGAGAGGATAGCGTCTGACCATTGCGATTTGGATTCATTTGCACAAGTTCTGCATTTTTGCACTTTAGTCAAATTATATTTAAAGCTCTTCATGCAGTGTTTTGTGTTAGTGAAAGCAGCTTTACAATATTAAACATAATATATTAAATTTAAACTTTAACAACTTCAGTTTGCACAATAAATTAGCCAAATTTGTTCATTTTACAGTCGCACTTTACAATAAGATTTCATTAGTGTGCTATGATCAACTGTAACTAAAATGAACAAGTAATAAATGTCTTGTTCATTGTTTGTTAACATTAGTAAATGCTTTAACTAATACAAGCTTATTGTAAAGTGTTCCCATTTTTACATCATCAACGGATTTAAATTAATTCGGCATTAACAAAGGCAGGGCCTCAAAGCTATAAGTATGATCTTATTCAGCATCTCTCATCCTACCCAAAACCTCAACCCAACTTCTACATTACTTACTATTAATGAGCAGCTAATTAGTAGTTTATTAAGCCAGTAGTGTTAGTGAATGGTTTGTTAACACCAGGAATTGTGACCTAAGCTAAAGTGTTACCAAAATGTCATACCAGTTTCCATTTCACTCAAAGTACTATAAATTGGGGCCAGTCATGTTTTGTTTTTTCCTACACAAGTTGCGTCTAAATTGCTGTTTAGGTATATTTACAGACCATTTACTAAACTCTAAAAACTGTTTAGTTACAAACTTGTTTGAAAAATGTTCTGTTCTGCAAAAGCAAGAAATGCATCCAGGTTTAAAACGACCAAAGTGTTTTTATCTTAGAAAATATGAAATGTGTTTCATGCAACAATCAGAATCTTAAAGTGGCAGTGTGTGCTGGTAAATGTCAAATGAGTAATACATTAGGTTATTTATACATTCACTTGGTTCAAACGACTGATTCATTCAGCCATACAGTAAGCTTTTCTTTATAGGAATGACCCCTTGATTCATTAGTTCTCCTGATTTGTTCAAAATGCACATTTATTTTGAATGCAGTGTGACAATCAGAGAAACAACAGCTCTATTGTGGGTCTTAACTCTTTATTTACTGATCTATAGTGTAAAATCAATATCTCATTTCTATGCAGGCTATAAAAGTCAAGAGGTTACAGCAAAAATGCCCCATGTGAATTTGTTTCATATTTGTATTATACAATGTAGTTACACAACATGAAATGAGATATGAGAATTTCACACGAGGTCTGTTTTTTGCTATAATATCTTGACTTTCATAGCCATTTAACTGTATTCTCCGAGTCATTTTGATAGTAAATAATCTGTAATGAATATAATTGCCTTTAACGGGGTGTCCGCAGGGTCTTAAAAACTATTAAAAACTGATAAATAAATGTAGAGAAATGTAGGGTCCTTAAAGTATTAAAAAGTCTTAAATGCTATTTGGCATGTGTGGCGAGGGGGTGTGGCCGAGAGCCGTGGGAACGGGGTGAGGCCACCGCGTGAGTGGATACACGTGCGGTGCGCACCTGCCTCGGATCCCACGGAAGGAGCTCTGGACCATAAAAGGAGGACCGATGGCAGAGGAAGCCGAGAGAGGACCGGCCCGGGCATATTGTTTTACTTTTGCTTTCAGTTTGTTTTGGTTTAAATGGCAGTCTCCGTGAGGAGCTGCCGTCATTATTATTAATAAATATTTTAAACCTGCGTCGGTTCTCCGCCTCCTTTTTCCCGGCGGCCAAAGGGCCGTAAACTTCATTACAGTGGTGCCGAAGCCCGGGAGAAGGAGGGACGCGTTGTCCAGATGCCCTCGCCGCTGAGAGAGGGGGCGAGTGTTCGGGAGTTAACCCGAGTGGGGGAGAAACCCGTTCGTCTGCCCAGAGTGCCGGGGCGGCCTGAGGCTGGCGAGGAAAGGATCTGCCTGCTGCCGTCTCCCAGCATAGGGAGGAGCAGGGGACGCGGGGCTCACCACCGGAAGGGAAAGAGCTGAAGGGAGCCATTCCACAGAACCCGGGGGAGTCGCCGCGATCCGCCATGATGCCAGAGCCTGCATCCATCCACCGAAGCGGGAGCGGAGCAGGAGACCAGAAATGCCGCCAGCCAGCCAGGAAAACCGCCGCCGGACGCCAGAAGACGGACGGGTGGATAGATTCCTCCACAGGGCTCCCAGCACGTCGTCGCATCTCTCAGCTGGTGGAGGACCGAGTGGCAGCGTGTCTGGAGAACCGAACCCCAATTTTTTTTTTTCTTTTTCCTCTCTCCCCTTTCTCGGTCTACTCTGTCTTTCCTCCTTTTTTTTCCATCTCCTTTTCTCTCGGCCCGTCTCATATAGGTCTCGCGGGTGCTGTGGCGCCAAACCCCCCCCCCCCCGGAGTATGCACAGCCACGGGGTGCCCCCGGCCTGTGATGGGAGATGGGGGTATGTGGCGAGGGGGCGTGGCCGAGAGCCGTGGGAACAGGGTGAGGCCACCGCGTGAGTGGATACACGTGCGGTGCGCACCTGCCTCGGATCCCACGGAAGGAGCTCTGGACCATAAAAGGAGGACCGATGGCAGAGGAAGCCGAGAGAGGACCGGCCCGGGCATATTGTTTTACTTTTGCTTTCAGTTTGACGGCAGTCTCCGCGAGGAGCTGCCGTCCGTTTGTTTTGGTTTAAATGGCAGTCTCCGTGAGGAGCTGCCGTCATTATTATTAATAAATATTTTAAACCTGCGTCGGTTCTCCGCCTCCTTTTTCCCGGCGGCCAAAGGGCCGTAAACTTCATTACAGCATGGTTTCCAATTTTATATAATTTTTGATTGATTATCCAATATATAGTCAAATGCTAAAGTTTGCCTGAATTAAATCTGCAAATTTCAGGACGCTGTGTAGTTTATAAAATCAAAGATGTCCTTCTAGAATTGACATCATGCTGCTTCGTTTACTGCAGTAACCAAGGCAACACCAGTATTTCTGCAGTTCTGTAGGCGCCGAGCTGCTGAATTAGCTAGATGTAATAGATTTTTATTCAGTATATAAATAATGTTTTAGTTTTGGTGGCTTGAGAAAGACAACATACAGTTACACTACATAAGCGTATTATTCTTCCGTCTTCATCTGAGACTAATTTCTATATGCATCTCCTCCTAGATCATTCATACTGCAAACACCAAACTTACACCAAACCTCCAAACTGATCTGACTCGGGTTGCTATATCTTTACCACCTGATCCATCTTACGGTTTTCCGAAAACTGACCCGGAAATTTCTGAAAAAGTCTCATTGACTTAGCATTGGACCAAACTTTATGGCCTCATAACTTTCCGGCAGGCTGTCATACAGACTTAAGGTTATGCTCATTTAACTCAGACTACCAATCTGCCAATCACTGATGACCTTTCAACTTACTAGCCACACCCTAGCAATTACTTACGGCACCTTAGCAACTGTCCAATAGACCTCCATTGTAAAAAGCTGCCAGTGACTTCACATTGGACATTTAAACATCATAATTCATACTAACAACATACTAACAAACATACTAATCATACTAGCAACATGCTAATTCATACTATAAACTAATTCATACTAAATTCAAGCTAACATGCTAGTTTATACAAGAAACATGCTAGCAACATGCTAATTCATACTAGAACCATGCTAAAAACATGCTAATTTATGCTAGGACCATAGTAATTTATGTTAGCAACTTCCTAGCAACCACTCAGAACACCCTAGCAACCTTCTAGCAAGAAACATGCCAATCCATACTAGAAATCTGCTAACCTATTTGAAGTTATCTATCTATGTCAACGGGTTCAAACTTATTAAAAACTTCTTCAATTATTACTAACCATTTTGTCTACGAACTTTTCTAGTTTTGGATTAGTTCTTACATTAATATTTAGTAAATAAACTGTAGGTAAAATCTCTCCAGTGTTTCCGGTTGAAACCCAAAGTGGTTATAAGGTCTTAAAATGTATGGAAAGAGTTTTGAAAAAGGTCTTAATGCATTGACTTTCACTCTCTGATTGTATATACTGTGTTCAGTTTGAACACATTTGTTCTATAATTATTTAATGAAAGCCTTAGTAAATATTGTTTATCCAAAACCACACAGTTCATTTTTTGACATCTTTTTTAATTCCGCAGGTGTTCTTCGCCTCAGTGCGGTCAGGTGGCAGCAGTCAAGTGTTCTTCATGACCCTGAATAGGAACTCTCTGATGAACTGGTGAAGCTCCTGCACAAGCAACACTGTGGAGTCTTTCTCCTCGTCAGCATTGCATCTGTGAGCGCACGGTACATTGACACTTTGGTCTGAAAAAGATTAACAAATTATTATAGAGACTCTGGAGGATCGAACCCGGAGACGTGGGTCTGTCCTGTAAGCAGAGAGCACTGGCTCATGGAGGTGCTGTATCTGACGTCACCTGCAGTGGCGCGCAGCTCCCAAAAGAGGGCGCCGATTAACTTGAACTCGGTTTTAGACCTTATTTGTGGCCTCTGGTAAAAAAAGTTGAAAAAGCCTGTCCTTTTTAGGATCCTCCCCGTTTCCGTTTCCAATCCCTGGTTACCCCTATTGGCTTTCAGTTTCCTGCTGAGTTTTTAGTCAATTGCATGATTGTAAAGAAATGGGCGGTATTTAAAACGTGAGGATAACATTAGCAAAGCACTCAGGCTAAGACCAAGCTTTAGTCTCTTGATGTTTCACTTTAAGATATTGGCAAACATTTCTGCCACTTACACAAGTATCCGTGATGCCCGTTGATTTTATTTTTGTGTCCGGTTTCTGACGTACTTAAAAGAAACAAACAAACACTGGTGCTCATTTGTATATTGTCGACAAGATCCATATACTGTACATTTATCCAAAGTACTGTATTTCGAAGTATGGTTCAGTTTGTTTTATAGCTTTGAGGTCGGAAAGCTGATTATGATTGGATCTTTAAGTTGCGAACCATGTTTTTTTTTTTTTTAACGTCTTTTTTGGTCCTTTTTTGGAATGTTTGAAACAGGAACATGAACGTTACCTGAGTGAAATCCACAGTAGCCACACGCTTCCCTTCACTGGTTGCATGTTTTGTAGACACTGGATGTGTATGTCGGAGCAACATGATATCTGAAATCAAGAAATGAAAAAATAATAAAAAATAAGGATAAAAGCACCTGTATTTCAGTGACCATTGAGAATTGATGAGGACTTCTGTTTTATTCTAGTGCCGAGCACAAATTTAAACGTGAAATCAAGCATTAGAAACACACAATTTTCTATTTTTTTTGTTTCTAATACTTATAATTTGTAGCCTGTAAGTCTCTTTTTTTGATCACTGTTTGCTTGCAGTTATATTTTGCAGTGTTTAATCAGTCAAATTAACCCGGGGCTTAAAACATTCCACAATGGGAAAAGAGTCTTTACAATGACAGTGATGCTCTAAATTCATGATTTATAAATGTAAAAGAAATCAACTCTTTCCCTCTTGGTACAAAACTACAACAGATATTAAACACAATGTATTGTTCATTAGATTATTAGTATTATTATATTTTTATTGCTTTTTTTTTGTATGTTTGCCTGCTGGGCTCTCAGTTGGACGCTTTAGATGTTCTCAAAGTCACTTGATGTTTGCACACTATATAGATATTTATATTTCTTTCACATCTCTTACATAGCAGAAGAAGATATTTTAACGGTGAGGGAATGAGAGGTTTTTAGCAATAATGTCCTGCTGATGTATGTATGCGTGTATGTATGCTGTGTGAAACACTGTGTTCAGCCAGTGAAGATCCTCACTGCGCTCTTTTAATTGACTACATGATTTGACACTCAAGAATGGTTACTTAATGTTTCTGTCTTAATACGTTTTTAATGATCGTCGTTCTTTCCGAAGCTCTAAACAAGATTTTCGGTTCTTTTACAGTGATACAAGCACTATGTCCTCCCTTTTCTTTTCCTTTCTCTCCCTTTTTTTTAATTATTATTGTTGGTGTTGTTGTTTTTTTGGTTTGTTTTTAATTTTATTTTATGATAAGAAAAAAGAATAAAACAAATAAGTACCTTTTTTGACTGGTGTTGGTGTCCCTCCTTCTGTTTACGCAGAGCTCGTGAAATCTGCAGTATCTCTGAGAACTTTGCTCTGATAGATGTAATACATTAACTCTTGGTGTTCAAGCACATACAAACAAAATCTTTTAACATTGTTTAAAAAAAAATCAGTGCTGCCGACACAAAACATCATTAATATATTAAAATGATATAAGACATATCGATCATATTCAAAGCAGTAAATAATAATCTACAGGAAGATGGTTTTCCTGAAGCTCTCTATAAACAGCGCTAAAACATAATTAGCAGGGCAGAAGGTCTGATCCCAGCACACATGTTCGGCATGTTCTCACAGTGACAGGATTGATCATTTACTGAGGATTGGGAAAGCGGCAGAGAACCTTGGAGCCACTATTAATGTCCAGGAGCGCCGTTTGCTGGCACTTCATGCAAAATGGAGAAGGTAAATTGATTTTGTTTGCTTGAATTCAAATGAATTATGAATTGCTGTTTAGTTCGAGTTTCAATTAGCAGTAGGCTGATCATGTAAATGATGTGTCTCATTGATATTCGTTTAAGCTTTGCATGTTAAATTTACTCTGGTATGAATGAAAGATAGTGATTGCGGTTGTTATTCACTCTGATTACATGGTGATACTAGGTTTATTATTAACATTGCTGAGATTTGCCATAATAAGCAGCCATTTGGTTGTAAATCTAAAAATAATGAACTGCAAAATTGACCGGAGTATAGATTATTCTTTTGGTTTAGAATCTAAAACTGCTGACTTAGGCAAATTGTGGAAAACAACACTATTTTAAGGTGTTTTTACTGTGTAACTACACTGAAAACAATTTTTTGTTGAATTGTCCTAAATTTTTTTAGGTAAGTGGTTGAAAGCTATGTATATGGGCTGAATTAAAAAAAAAAAAAAAGTTAAATGATATTAAATTTAAATAGTTTGCTTACATTTACTTCCTTAATAAATGTAGTAAATCCAATCAATCATTTACATGTATGTAACCTGTTTACTATTTGGTTAATAATGTTAGTTGCATGTGTTTATTGATAATTAATTGTGATTACTATAAGAAGTATGAAACCTGTAACAAGGAGGGCTTATGGTGTTTCTTAATACTTGAAGAAATGCAGCAGGTTAAAGGTGTCTTTTTAAAATGTAGTATAAGCTGCATAGTGCTAGTCTGAGTTTTTATGACTGTTTATTTACATAAGAGTATATTTACATGGGTGATGTATTTACATAATGTGTACGGTGCTGTTAAATGAGCATTATTTGAGATATTCAGACTATGACGAGGTATTATTGACACAATTTAACTTCATTTCAAATATGATCGACATTCATTTTGTAACAGCTCCACAATTGCACGGAGTAATGTGTTAATACAGGTATATTTGATTTATGTTTGTTGTGCCTAAATTGTTATTAGTTTAAATGGTCAAATGCTTATAAAAATTAATTAGCACAACTTTATTAGAATGTATTTGTTAATGTTTTAGAATGTAGAATGTCCTTATTGTTAATAATCGCTGAGCAGCACAGCATTGATTAACCGTGGTTAATGTTCATTAATAAAGATCATTGTGCTCATGTTAGTTTACAGTGCATTAACTGATGTTAACAGATGATTTTTGTTTACATTTTTTTGTATTTGCATTCATTTATTGTAGTTAAAACACATAAATTATGCAAAATCCATAATCCTATACTACAGTATGTAGGCTACATGTTGTTGATTAGTGTTGCTCAGAGCTTAAATATCTTCTAAAAATGTGGTCAATGCTGAAATTGTCATGAACTAATCCTAGTGAATTTAAAAGACATTGTTTTATTATATTGAAACTTTAATGTCAAGTAATGTTAAGAAAATAAAACCTTATTTTATTGAATGGGTCTTTAACTATTAGTATGTACTGTGCATAAAAAAAAGATATATGTACCATCTATCTACTTGTATTCATGTTGCGTCCCAAAACGGGATGAAATTAAAGATCATACCATAAATACCTCAAAGAGGGTTGATTGTATGGGTAATTGGCGAATTGTAAAGTCATCAGAGCTCAAACGTCTAATTACATGTGTAATTATTTAGAGTTTTATAAAATTGAAACATGCTACATTTGTATGTTTTATCAAGATTAAGATTTTTTTTTGTACATGACACTTACCTCATATAAATCAGGCCCTCCTTCAGTAACATATCAATAATAATAAAAAATATAGAGTCATCATAACTGCAATTTGTTGAGCCGTTACCATTAGATACTGTTTTGTTGAGCTTTCGCTTACTGAAGGGCATTTTTCCCGCTACAATTATTTGACGCGCATGCGCGTGAGAAACCTTGAGACTTCTTGTCAGGATGATCATGTGAAATGGAAACATTTGCTTGAATTTGTAACATTTGCAGGTAAGTACAGAACCTTAAAACGCATCTGACAGGAGGGAAGATGCAAAGGTTTTCATATGGTTTAAACGCGTTTTGCTTAATAGGCCTATTTATTTTTTATTTTATATTAAGCAGTCCTGGATTAAACATTTGGCAGTTCTGAGGAAAAAAGAGAGGAGAAATGCGCTATTCTTTAGCGATGTTTTTATGCCTCGCATTTATGTGGTTCCAAATTGAGATTTGCTTAAACGTTCAATAGAAAAAAAGAAAATATAATGAGGTAAAATGCTGTTATCTTTATTCATGTTTTATTTTTGGCGGGAAGCTTCCATTAGGTCATATTTCTGCCACATTTTTAGTTCGCAAAAATTTTTTCAAGAACACTTTAGTTTCATTCGTTACATAATGTATTGAACTAGCTATTGTAGTAAACAAAGTATATAATATATTTATACCCAAAAACGAAATTTTATCACAATTTAATTCGCTCACCCTCAAGTGCTTACAAACTCCTTTTGAACAAAAAAGAAGATATTTTAAAAAATGTTGGTAGTCTGCAGACCTTTAAATCCACAAGCCTATTTTCTTTTCCTGTTTATGGTATCAGTTTGACAGAATTGTGGGTTTTGAGTAAGCTGTCCTTTAAGTCCACACAAGTGTCCACACTCGGTCCTGGAGGGCCAGTGTCCTGGAGAGTTTAGCTCCAACCCTAATTAAACACACACAAACAAGCTAATCAAGCTCTTACTAGGTATACTAGAAACGTCCAGGCAGGTGTGTTGAAGCAAGCTGGAGCTAAAGTCAGCAGGACACCGGCCCTCCAGGACTGACTTTGGACACCCCTGCTTTAAGTAATGTTGCAACTTCCAATTTTAAAAAGACATATTTGTAGTTATATGTTGGAATTAACATCAACTAAAGTTATTTTTGATTGTTTATGTTGTTTAGTTGACTAATATTAGATGAAACCCTGCTACAAAGTGTTATTCAATTTTCTTTCATTCATGTAAAGACTTCTGACTAAGAATAAGATACTGTATGTACTTTTGCATTTTAATGAATGCATTTTATAACCTTTTGTTATTTTAGCAGAACAACCTGAACATATCAAGAGCAAATCAACGACACAATAAATGTGTGTGTTTTCATGTCTGGCAGCAGTTAACAGGCACGCTCGCTCTGGCGGTGTTCACAGCTGCTCTCGGCTCTCTGCAGATGGGATACAGCTTGGGCGTCATCAATGCCCCACAGAAGGTCACTCATCACACCATCTTTCCAACCTTCACAACTGCATTCTGAGCTAGAATGATATGCATTTATCTCCTCGAGATTACACAACTAAGGCACTATTGTTGGCTATCATTATTAGGATGTGATTTAGTCATAGCAGTGTGTCATCTGTGTTATAGGTCATTGAGCGGCACTACGCAAGATCTCTCGGTGTCTATAATGAAGATCTGGCCCGTAGTGAAGGGGGAAATGGCACAGAGCATGAAAAGCCCACCGATCCATCAGTTGTCATGTACTGGTCTTTATCCGTCGCCATCTTCTCTGTCGGAGGCATGTTGTCCTCCTTTCTAGTGAGCTTTGTTGGCGACTTCCGTGGAAGGTGGAGTATCTGTGAACTTGTAATATATAATTTGTGATTAGATAAAACTGGAAAGGCTCAAAGGCAATTAAATGCAATAAATAGTTTCAGTTATACCATAAATTAGTACTCTGTAACTGAATTTCTCAAAAAAACACTCATCATTTTCACATGCAATGAGTTTAAAAAGCAAAGCTAGAACTCATCTAACTAAATAACTTTGAGATCATGGTACGTCCTAATGAATATTTAAATTGAATTTATCAATGGAAATGGGGGGAAATCAGAGAGGACATACTAAATATTACATGACAATCACCTGCTATTAGGTTTTAAAAAAATACAAGTATTTTCAGTTGTAAATGTTATGATGGATTAATAATTTAATTAGCACAACTATCTCCTTCAATTTATCAATATCATTATTATATCATAATTATTGTCTACTCACTACATCTAAAATACATCAACAGTGAAGGGTCCAGTCATTCATATGCAGTTAAATGGATATAAATATTATTTTATTCATGAAAAAACGTTGTTTTATCAAAATTACAACATTTCATGACATCTCAAATCAAGGTAAGGTTCCTTTTTCAAAGAGACATTCATGTTTTATAACATTTCAGAGGTGTGTCCCCATTTTATCTGAACAACGTCAGATACATTTATTAAAATTTAATAAAATATAAACTCTGTAGGTTTGTGAAAGAAATGCCTAATATGTCAACAACATCAGGTTTTCTTAAACCTGTGTGAATTATGGGGAAAAAGCTTTTGAAATAATAATATACCCATTGTTTATTGTGTTTATTTTAAAACATTAATTGATTGATTCAATAAATTTGATCATTAAAATGACTACAAATTCAGGTTTCATCACCACTGTTAGATTCATATTTTGATAATAATTCATTTTGCTATTTTATATTTGTGGAATATTTGTTGGTTGGTCACATGTTTGTAATTGGCTGCTATTATGAGGATGTGTAAAATGCTGTTTAATGTCTGATAATGTTAACAGTAAGTAATATCATGGGAAAAAACATGTTTTGGTAGGTTGTATTAAGGCTCAATAGGTTAAAATTTTTTCTTCATTTTATTTTTGCACCCTGTTTTGTCCCACTTCTCAATTTTTAATGACATTAAATTATTACTGTTATCTAAGTGTATTTTTTATGCAACACCTAAATTGATTCTAAATATGGTAAGTTAGGTGACCACAATTTTATTTTTTATTAAAAAAAAGCACCAATATATGTTGTCCATATTCACTGAGAAATGGATAAAATGTTAATATTAAAAGTGCAATCATTTATGCTTTAGACAGAATTGAGCTTTATAAGTTTAGATACATTCAGTTGTGACTCATTTGTGGCCCTGTCTGTGTAATATTGATTTTGCAGGATCAAAGGCATGCTGGCTATAAATGTCCTGGCCATAACAGCAGGACTACTCATGGGCCTGGCTAAGATGGGCACACCTCACCTCATGGTGATAGCGGGACGTGCTATAATGGGATTGTACTGTGGTAAGAAGAAAGAAATTAGCCTTTTTTTATTTATTAATTTATTAGCCACATGAAATGCAGTGCTGTGAATGAAAGATTCATCATTATTTCTCCAGTTTTCAGTGTCTTAAAATCTTTTAGAGCTCATTTTGGTGACTTAAAAGGTTCAACACATTTATTTAAAATTAAATTACAAAAATCTCACTCTTGTTCAGTTTTACATGTCTTTAAAACATGGAAATAAATCACGGTTCACAAAAATATAACACAGCAATTTTTTTCGGAATTTTTGCATTTATATTTTAAAGCAGTACATCACCCTTCGCCACCACAACCATGGCATTAATAATAATACTAATAATAATAGTAATAATAATAATAATAAAATACATATTGTTCCAGACTTGTTCCATATTTGTTCAGTCTATTATCATTTAACATGAAGGGCTTGGCAACATCTAAAGAAGGATTATACAAAAGAGGTGCATCAAAAAAAAAGGTCATCATCTTGAATCACAAAACCTTCCGTATATATCAATGTTATCAGTGAGGGAATACATTATATCATATTTGCTATATGATTTCTGAATTGTACGTGTCACTGAAATGATGCTAAACATTCAGTTTTGCCATCACAGGAATAAATTTCTCAATAAAAAATGCATTCAAATGGAAAACATTTATTTTGAAATAAAATAAATGTTTAAATATTACTTGTACTTTGAATAAATAAATGTAGCATTAGTGAGCTGAAGAGACTTTGGTCTAGTAATAGTTTAAATGCAATGTAGCACACACAAGAGTTGTAGAACAAACTTTCAAATATTTTTATACAATACTTCAAGATTAAAATAACCTTGGGTAGTTTATGTTTTAGATATAGCACTGACTGTTTTGACAGTATTAGCATTGGCATTTGTTTTGCCAACAGTATACATTTCCTTACCAAATAAATCACTATGTGATACAATAAGATCCATTGATTCATAGGCAGTCATGTGCATAATTTCTGAATGAATCAGCTGAATGCTTTATAAATTCAGACTATTGATCACTTGTTGCCACCTATAAATGAAGGGGTGATACCTTCAGAAAGAGTAAACAGCATCATATTTAACCGTTCATATTTTATGCAGGTTTGTTTGGAGTCTTAGATTTCCAACTAAAAGAATATGAAACTTCACATGCTTCAGTTATCTGTCTGTGTACACGTATATTTGGTAAATGTGAGATATGTGCTGCAGGTCTGTCATCTGGCCTGGTGCCGCTCTACATTGGAGAGATTTCTCCAGTGAAGTACAGAGGGGCTATGGGAGCGCTCCACCAGCTGGCTATTGTCATTGGCATCCTTATTAGTCAAGTGAGTGCCACTTCAGTAATCCACAAATAAAGTACATAAGGGTTCAAGGTGAGATCTGAATAATAACTGAATGTTTGATTGTATTACATAACAGAACAATCTCCTGAAACAATTTCTATAAACATCGATGCATTTTAATATTAAACATCAATGCATTTACACTTTATTAATAACATGTTTGACATGTTTTACCTTTAGAACTGCCCTAAAGGGTTAGTTCACCCAAAAAGGTATTCTACAGTAGGTGTGTATGACTTTCTATTTTCTGATGAATCCATTTGGAGATATCATCACCTTAGAATTCTAAGGTTCTATCTGACATTTTTGTCAAAATTAAGTTATTGATATATTCTTATTAAATGACAATTTATTTACAATATGGGGGGGGGGGGGGTTATAAGCTGTTTACATTTTAAGACTTTTTATTTAAAAAAAATGTTACACACATACTGTTTGCTATGGAATGCAAAATATTTGAAGCTCGATATCTCAAAATCAATCAGAATGATAAATTATAACACTTTAGAATGGCAGGTGTTCAGTTACAAGGGGCACCGCTGAGAGGGGGGGGGGGGTTGGGGGGGGGGGGTAAAGTTAGGACGATTCAAAGGGTCCCATACATTCAGGGGGCCCCCAGAGACATTATCAACGGTCAGTGCAACCCCCTTGACCACCCATTCCTCACACACAGCTCCAGGTGGGGGGTTAATGGTGGCCTTCTGTCTAATTAATGCATTTTTGGTCATTAAAATATCCATATTTAAAAACCTATAAACACTTTCCCATCCCTTTTTCTAACTGTAAACGTGTGTACTATAACCCAGCAACGGTTTTCTGTGTTGAAAAGAAGTCTAACAGACATCTAAAGTTAGACATCTTTACTAAAACAAGGCTAAATTTGGGCTGTTAGTGAATATCTAATAGACATCTAATAAAAGTTAAATAATGGACTATTCAATGAATAGAAAGGATTGAATGACCACACACGTGAAGACAGTCTAATCTGTCTATTTGATGACTAGACTAGCTTTGGACTAATGTTTTTCCTAACTAATAACTCCCAAATTTAGTCTTGTTTTATCCAAGACATCTGTTTAACCTCTACCACACGCATTATGATAAATCTAAAAAAAAATATTGGACTGTTTTTCTTTTCTTAAAATGGCTTAACTTGAAGTGCTGTAAAAAAAAAAAATCTTTATTTAAGGTACTTTATGAAATGTTGCCATATGGCAACAATGTCCAACAATGGATCTAACTTAGAAATTTCAAGTTTAAAACTTTCCTTATAATTAATAATTTTGTTGTTTGAAATTATTTAATTGGTGTTGCAGTATTATAAGCTTTACCACAGAACTTATAAATGGCACCTTATACATATTTTACAACAACTCATATTCCAACAGCCTTTATTTATTCTATTATTTTTTGCTTAATATTATTGAAAACAACATACTGTAAATCATGTATACAACATACAGTAAATATAAATATTTTCTCCATAAAATATGATAAAGTAATAACAAGTCTAGTATATCCAGATGCATGAGAATAATGTAGCTACTGGCTAACAATATTTATATATTGTACTATATATTATACTACGCCTGTCTTATCTGCCTCTGAGCTAACTTACCTGAACTGTCTCTATCTAATTTCCAGTCTGCATCATTCTCATGGTCTCTGAAACTTATCTCATCCTCACTTTCCTCTGCAGGAAGAGCCAGTTCTGACCTTTTCTTGTTTCATTTACCATAGAACATGGTGGTGCTCGCTAATATTCATATTCCCTGTATTCATATCTATTCAAAAGTAGTATTACTATTAAAACTAGATTTTATCCATAATGCAAATGCCATTAACAATAATAATAATATTATTAAAATAATAATATAATAATAATAATAATCAACATTATATCACTAGCATTCATGTTGTTTTTGTTACAACTTAAAATTTCACAGCTGACTTTGCTAGCTAGCTAACCCATTGCAATATTGCATGTTCCACTATTGCACAGTGTTGCTATTTGGTAACACACACATTTTACCAATTTACAAAAAAATTATTTGATAAAAAAATTTTGAGTTGTGAATATGTCATTATAACTTACTGGAGGTAATGTTTTCAGAATTTTTATGGATCTGATATAATTTGATCCTTTGTTTTTATTTACATTTGCATTTAGCAACTACTCACAATAAACGCCAGTCTGTCAGAAATTGCGCTACAAAAAACATCATGTCATGTGACTTAACAAAAGCACATAATTGGCTACACAAAGGTCTTCTCTTTCCAGCAAAAGAAATTCAATGTTGGTCTTAAAGAAACAGTGGCAGGAAAATAACATAAGTGTAATGTTGCCATATGGTTACACCATGCAGTAGAGGGTTAAACATCTTCATAATGTTTTTTCGGCTCTAGAAGTTGTAAGTAGTGTGCAGGTGTCCTTGTTGTCTGCAGGTCATTGGTCTGGATTTCCTGCTGGGAAATGATTACATGTGGCATATATTGCTGGGTCTTTCTGGAGCTCCTGCCATCCTGCAGAGTCTGCTACTGCTGGTGTGTCCAGAGAGCCCTCGATATCTCTACATTAAACAAGGAAAAGTGGAAGACGCCTGCAAGAGTATGTGCCAAAAGCCTTCTCACTCCTTTTTCTTGGTACTTACGCATGCTTTTTGTATTTATAGAGAGAGCGTTTTAGTACAATGTTAAAAACAAAGGTCATGTTAGGGTCAGTACAGAGACAAGTTTATAGAATAAATTCACAACATAATAATATAATACAATCTTAAAAGCTGGGTTATCATAACATATGGTTGGGTGTAGGGTTGTAACGGTATGAATTTTTTACGGTATGATAATCGTCTAAAACAATACCACGGTTTGACGGTTTCGCGGTATACGGTATGTTACAAATGTTACAAAATAATAGAACAGTGAAGCAAATTTGACTTTTTCCAAATAATATATTTTCAGTTACTATAAACAACACCACTTACAATGAACAAATAAAAAAATAAGAAAATAATAATTAATGTGTCAAAGTCCAAATAAAGTCCAAATAAACATGGTGCAAATCCTCAGTAAAAAAATAGATATAAATATTTACTATACTATAAATAGTTACATAAAGAAACTAGATTCAATATGGAACATCCGTAGGTTTTATGTGCCAGCATGGATATGGTTGTCTGTGGATATGGATTTGGATATGGTTATCTGCAATGCAGACAAACAGCTGCACCTTCATTTGCGTCTTTTGAAAACAGCAAGAGCGGCAGTTCGTCTTTGCTGTGTCACTGTTTTGTCATGTTTCTGTGCTGCTCTGCATGCAAAAGTACTTAGTATGAGAATTATTTCATGCAAAACTTTTTTTTTGCGTTTTATTTAGCCGCGCATAAATGTACAGCCTATCTCTCATTCTGTGTTGTTCAAAAAGCTCGTTTTTGGTCCACAAACAAAAGCGAAACCTATGCTTATTGGTTGTGATATAGCGAGTTTGAACCAATCTGGGCATGGAGGAGGGACAATGCATCAATGTATTGTGTCTGGTTTGTCCGGAGACACAGTGACGAGCGTTTCTTTGTCAAATCAGCGTTGTCAAATTTTGATGACGTAACCGCACTGATTCCGGAGCCTCTGGAGCCGTGAATGTTATGTGATACAGCACTAAAAAGCTGAGATTCTCTTCTTTATGCCAATCTTTGAATTGTATGAATCGGATCAGCGGATCAAAAGTTATTAAACATTTAAGAGCAATACTTATTTTTAGCAGCGGGCGGCTGTCTCGGTCTTTAAGGGTTAAAACCGTTGATATGCAATTGTTCATGGTATGATAATCGTGCACGTTCAAATCGTGGTAAACCGTCATACCGGTATATTGTTACAACCCTAGTTGGGTGGAGTATGGAAAAAATTAGGTTACTTTTTAATTACACTTAAACTGTTTATCCAATGGTTGAGTTTGTTCAAAATTGACCCAACATTGGGTTACGACAACTCTGCAGTTTTTAGATTGTATAGTTTTAAAATGAAGTAAAAATGAAAATAATGATGTTTTTGGAAGTCATGAAAGAAAGCAAAGTGAAGTCAAAGTGTAGACCACTATCTGCTGTTACTTATTGCCCAAAACAGGCAATTTCCTGATTGTCTGTCTTGTTCTTTTTCCTTAATGAATTTAATTTCCTACTGCTCATAACCGCTGCTTGGTACTAATAATAACTCTGTGCTGATCTACCAGAATAATATGTTTGTACTGTAAGTAAATACCAACATTTGATAATCAGTCTAAATCCTCCACATCTACTGTAGTTTCTGCATTTATGAAGCCGCTTTTCCTATTGCATATGCTATATTGTATAAATATATGACATGCATTAACATATTGGCCAAAGAGCGGGAATGATCAGGGCAAGTTATATACCAACAAAACAATGTGAGAAAATACAACAAATTTGTGGTATACTTTTGAATTGGGTAACAATGGCAAAAAATAAGTTCACCAAAACATAAGGGGTTCTTTGCCTCCACATTGTCCATTTAGAGTCTATTAACACTGCAAGCCAAGATCATCTCTTATGGCTCATTTCTACTGACTAGTACAGTTCGGGACAGTACAGATCACCTTTGTTAGGCTTGCATTTCCACTACCAAAGGTACCCTTTTGGTGGGCGTGGTGTATGACAGAAAGTTTCAGTCAATGTCATTTTCGCTCGAGAAAATGTCTACAGTAAAGCTGTACGGGTCTTTTGCATATCATATGAGAAGCACTTCTCACAAAACAGATGCTGTATACACATAAATACATCTGTATAAATGTTTATTACTAACTTTTCTATGAACAGGATTTAATTATAACTGCAGATCAATGACAGTTATCAGATTATCAAATAGCCTACTGTAATGTCTGCAATTATATAAAATATATAAATGCAGCATATATGAACGCATACAGACCCTTACAGTCTCTGATATGTTACCAACTACAGAAAAACTACACACAGCATACATTTAGTCCTTATTTAGGTTCAAAAACAACACAAAATGTAGCCCACAGTCAGAGCAAACCTATCTGTGTCTGTAGTCTTAAGCAGCACATGTAGCCTCTATTGGAGAGTCAGTCTATCATTCTGAGTTCATATTAGCCCAAAAGGGGATGATAATAATAGTTAAACATGACAGTTTGTTCATGTTTGCTGAAAAAATAATGTACTTTTTTTTTTCTGGCTTCTCCTTTGTTTTTTCGCGGGTCACTCTCGCGTTTGTCAGTATCTTGACAGGATCGGGTTTCAAAAGCACTTCAATAATCAAGCGAACGTTGTTATCATCAGTTCAAGAAAGTTGTCATTTCAGATATAGAAGCGCGGCGAGCGCAAGCAAGAAAGTGAAACCACTCTCGCTTCAGATTGGCTCATAAAAAACGAGGGGCCCAGGGTAAATCTGCTCTTCTTCTTGGCTTTGTGGCTGTTCATCAAGACGATGACAAGGTTTGTTTGAGCCCGGGTCGACCATGGCTCGTTATTATATGTATTTACGATGTAATCTTCTCGCCTGTGGTGAAATCTGGCGTAAATATGGCAGTTCTTTTGTTTTCATTCTGGCTTGTTACGTAAGCGAATTAAGTTTTTCTGTAAACCAATAGCATTCAGCTGCGCATCTAGCTCCGCCTTTTGGTACCTTTTCTCGTGTTAGGTACCCTTTCAAAAGGGTGGTGAAAAAGTGGTACGGTTTGGTTCGGTACGCCTTTTGACAGTGGAAACGGCCATAAAAGCGTACCAAATCCAATCGTACCGTACCACTTAGTGGAAACGGGCCATCATGTACTGTGAATAAGTATCTTTACACCTACTTGTGTCCACAGGGCTTTATAAAAATTACAGAGATCATACAAAAAATGATGGTCGAGTCTTTTGTCTTTCTGCTAGGTCTGAAGCGGCTAAAGGGAGATTATGACACCTCTAAGGACATTGCCGAAATGAAGGCAGAAAAGGAGGAGGCCATGAAAGAAGCCAAAATGTCCATCTTGAGACTGCTTCGCTCCTCTGTGTACCGCCAGCAGCTCTTTGTGGCCCTCATGATGCATTTCTCTCAGCAGTTCTCTGGGATCAATGCGGTACGCTCATTCTAACTTTATACACATATTCAAGTAAAAAAACATTGTGATTGATATTTTTTCTAAATCTTTAACTAATCTAGATGTGTTTTATTACCCACATTCTAAAAATAATTTCACTTAACATTACTGATTTTTTTTTTTTTTCATTAATTTAAACTAATTCCACCTTTTTACTTGCATTTTGTTGAAAAGTACCTTTTGGTTGACATTTTCTAACTCTTTAATGGATGTTCAAATGGCGTTTATACTAACATTCATTTGTTTTTCTTCAAGATGTCTTATTAATTTATGCTCTGTCTATCTTTCTACTCAGCTTCTAGTTTTAAAAACATTTTTATTGACTTTTTGTATTTCTCTAAATCTTTTATTAATACATGCTAATTCCATCTTCGTACTCATATTCTATTGGAAAAAGAAACCTTTTGGATGACATTTATTTTTCTACCTTTATTTTATTTATGCTCACTCCACCTTAATGCTCACATTTTCATAAAACAAAAATTGAAATTTTTTTTCTTTTTTTTCTTTCAGTCATTTATGCTCACTCTACCTTCATACTCATTCTCATGGCAAAAATTTTGACATTTAAGGCTTTTTTCATTTATGCTCATTCTACCTTTATACTCGCATTCTTATGATTTTTTTGGGGGGGAACATTTTTTGTTTCTAGATTTTTAATCTGATTTTAATTTTAACATTTAATTCTCAATCTCCCTTTATACCCACAATCTAAAAACACGTTTTGATTGAGTTTTTCTAGATATTTTATTAATTTATGCTTATTCCACATTATAAGTCTCAATCTGTTAAAAATAACATGACATTTTTGGAGTTGTTTAGTCTACATTTATAATCACATTCACATGAAAAAAGTTTGATCTATATTTTTTATCTTTCAACTGTGCTCAATCTGCCTTTATATTCACATTCTAATTTAAGAACCCTTTTGATGGGCATTTTTTCTCGATCTTGTATTGATTTACACTCATTTACTTTTATACTTGCATTCTGTTAAAAGAAAACCATTTCACTTGACATTATTATAAAAAAGTTCTGGATCTTTAATTAATCTTCTCACCTACACACTCATATTATAAAAAAAAATCTTTTGATTGACTTATTGTTTGTAGATATTATTGACAAAAAAACATTAAATTTTTGTTTGACTTATTTTTCTGTCTTTAATTAATCAATGCTCAATTTACCATTATGCTCACATTCCTATGAAAAAAATGACTGCGATTTATTTCTAGCTCTCTTACAGTTAAAGTCTATTATTTATTATTTTATATATATTATGTTAAACAGAAATTGGGTGAAAAAATAAACAAGGGGGTTAATAATTCAGGGGGGCTAATAATTCTGACTTCAACTGTAGTCATTTGTGCTCATTCCACCTTTATACTCATTCTCATAACAAAGTTATTGACATTTAAGTTTTTTTTTTCTACTTTTACGAACATTCTTGTTTTTAGATATTCAATGTAAACTTGATCGTCCTTTATACTCACATTCTAATAATTAAAAAATATATAGATGTTTTTGTTTTTTCTATCTAATCTTTTAGTAATTGTTTGCTTATTTTTCATTTATATGTCTCATTCTGTTGAAAAAAAAAATTGACATATTTGGATTTTTTCAGTCTACCTTTTTATAAAATTCTCAAATATACAGTTGAAGTCAGAATTGTTAGCCCCCCTGAATTATTAGACTTGTTTATTTTTTACCCAATTTCTGTTTAATGGAGAAACAATTTTTCCAACACATTTCTAATCATAATAGTTTTAATAAGTCATTTCTAATAAATGATTTCTTTTATCTTTGCCAAGATGACAGTAAATAATATTTGACTAGATATTTTTAAAGACACTTCCATACAGCTTAAAGTGGCATTTAAAGGCTTAACTAGGTTAATTAGGTTAACTAGGCAGGTTACGGTAATTAGGCGAGGTATTGTATAACGATGGTTTGTTCTGTAGACTATCAGAAAAATATATAACTTAAAGGGGCTAATAATTTTGACCTTAAAATGCCTTTTAAAAAATTAAAAACTTTTTTTATTCTAGCTAAAATAAAACAAATAAGACTTTCTCCGAAGGAAAAGAAAATTATCACACATACTGTGAAAATTTCATTGCTCTGTTAAACATAAATATATATATTAGATATTTCATGTGCCTAATCTGCCTCTATTAGATCTTTCATCTCTATACTCTATTCTTAACCTCTATACTCACATTTAAATTTTTTCTAGATCTTGTAGTAATTTATGCGCATTATACTTTTATATTTGGATTTTGTTGAAAGACAAAACATTTCACTTGACATTATTATGATATGATCATAATAGATTTTTCTCAGTCTGCCTACATGCTCATATTTTATTTAAAAAAATAAGTTTGATAGACTAGATATTACTTTGATTATTGCATTTAATTGACAAAAAATTATATTTCTATTGACATTTATGGACAACAGTAATGTTTGATCTTGTCTTTCTATTTTTTTCCTCTAGATCTATTACTTTACGCTCAATCTACCTTTATACTCTCTTACAATCTACCTTTATAATTCTCTTTTAAAAAAACATTTTGATTGCCGCTTTATGAACAAAACTAATATTTATCTTGTCTTTGTGTTTTTCTCCCTTTAGATCTTTTATTACTCGACTTCAATCTTTCAGACGGCGGGGGTCGGTCAGCCTGTGTATGCCACTATCGGAGTGGGAGTTGTAAACATCATTTTCACCCTTGTGTCGGTAAACAGGCACTAATTTAAAGACAAACACTGGCTGCTGAGAAACAGGCTCTCGTATCTTGGAAACAGCAGAGAGTTTGCTGCCTCACAGCTCTTACTTCCCTTAATGCTTTTTGACAGTAACTCCAGACTTACATTGTAGATAATTCCGACTCGGTTGAGACAACAAAATTTAGTTCTTCAGACAACAAATTGCATGGCAGATTCAAAGTTATTAGCACTGGATCAAAGTATGTGCGTTATTCAGGGTAGATTTATACAAATCCATGCTGACATTATCATGTGTAACATACTATATTAAATGCACACCCTGCCCCAATAAGACACCTCAGCATGAATCTTGTGAACGGATTATATAATAAGCTCTAATAACCGCTGGATCTGAGGTCTGTCTTCACTTGCTTTACAGGGCTGGGGAGCAGCCATATGTTGGCGGTGGGGACTTTGCAGTGTTTACCTCTGTTAGTTCAAGGGCAGCCTGAAAGAGAAAACAGTTCTGAGTAATGAGTCAAGAGCTGCTCTAAATCAAATAATCCATTCAGAAGCGCTTTGATCAATCCGGTGCGTAAAAGTAGTATGACAGAAGTCATGCAATTTGTTTTAACCCTAAAGAAATAAATAAATAGTATTTTTCTTAAAATGTATATGATAAAAATATATATATATTTACAAGAGATAAAGACTGAAGTCTGATTAAAAACTGTTTAATAAAAATAAATAAAAAGGAAGACTCCATAAATGCTGCTATGTTGTAGTCATATGACCAGCCTAATACTATTGATATTATCTTGGTAACCAGGGGCTGAATTGTAATAATATGAATAAATAATTTTGATTAAAATAAATATTTATAAAAATGAAATGGGAGACATAAATGTATGTAGATTATTATTATTATTATTTAACAGTAAGTTAATATATTAAATATTTTGGATTACCAGTTGTTTGATTAATAAACAAAAGAGCATTAATATATGATGAAATAATGAACGATAATACAATAAACATTGTTGCAAATGTAAAAAATGAATAATAAAAAGTATATATTTTATATAAATATAAATATTTACAAATATTATCATTATTGTTAAGCTGTTTTATTATAATATTTTATTAGTACTATTAGTAATAAATTAATAATAGCAATAAATTAGTAATAACATTTTCTATAATATTAAATAATATTAGTAATATTAATTTAATATTATTTAAATATTATATATTTAAATTCACAAAAATATCCAAATCTGCTAGAAAAAAAACTAATGAAATAGGAAATTACTATTATTAATAATCATTATTATTATCAAAATAGTGAACACTAGATAACTAAACTATATTTTATAAATAAATGATATTACAATGCAAATTTATATCCAGTATTGCATATGTTGGTTCTACAACCACTAGATGTCAGTATATACCAAACGAAAGTGCTCTTTTATTAGCATACAAAAAACCCCGTAGATGTGATTTTTGTCATGCTTGAGCAGCCTCTTTCACTCATTCATGTGTCTGCATGTGTAGGTGTTGATGGTGGACAGAGCGGGCAGAAGAACCCTCACTCTGGTCGGGTTGGGAGGAATGTGCTGCTGTGCTGTGGCCATGACCGTGGGACTCGCATTTCAAGTATGAATCGCTTTTGCCATATGGAAGGAAAACAGAATCCTTAAAACTTTTATTCATAGGACTGCAAAACAGTGCAGTTAATGCAATTTTATGAAGACAGTTTTACCAGAATAGCTCTGTTTGGAAAGAACTCTATTATTATGATTTGGGGGACTTTGTAGGGTAGCACATCTGCATAAAATATAATAACTACATCACAAGCATAAATGCAATACAGCAAAGATACACATAAAATAAAAAGTGCTTTATCGTTTTCTTGTGATTCATGTACATAAATTGAATAATCAAATGTAAAATAATAATGTGTAGTCTTCATAATATAGATAATTAAACACAGTGAATCTTTCTTTAGAGCGATAATGTTATAATCTCATTCTCAAATTCTTTACACTCACTTTAAATGCTTAAAACGCTTGCAGATTATAAACTTTCACTCCATTATTATGGTTCAAATTTGCAATGACTCCACAAATCACACGTGTTCTTGTGTCTTGTTAACTACATTGCAGGTCCTATGAAATGACCTTGCGATGTTGTTGCTGAACCGATATATTATCAAGCAGTAGATTAGAGATAGTTGGACTGAACCACTGGTGTCTGTTACAAATCTTACCTTTTCTGCCTCTCAGGGCGCTTACTCGTGGATGAGTTACGTCAGCATGGTGGCCATATTCATGTTCGTGTCCTTCTTTGAGATCGGACCTGGACCAATCCCATGGTTTATTGTGGCGGAGATCTTCAGCCAAGGGCCACGTCCAGCAGCTATTGCATTAGCTGGGTTTTGCAACTGGACATGCAATTTCATTGTTGGCATGTTTTTCCCTTATTTAGTGGTAAATTGACTTCTTCACAATTGTGCTTACATCTTGATAACTGCTTCTGAAGAAGCTAAATACAGAGCTGAAAGTATACAGAGAAAACAAGCCTACAATTAGCTTTATATGATACATTTTTAAAAGCAATATAACCTATTTCCGTTCATACATTTTAATACCCCTTTAAACTTAAAAAAAGAAAAAATCTCAAAGATTTGAGGATGATCTATTTTTATATACAAGACATGGATAAACTTTGATGGAAACAAGTATAAAAGTATCAATTTCTTAATTAAAGCAGATTAAATCTTTACTCAGCAGATTATGTGATTGGATTACCAGACATACCAGTGCACATCAATCTCAATATTCAGCATCTTAAATCATTTGTTGACATAATTTGGTTCAAGCATTTGCGAATGACTAAGTTATAAAGTAAAATCCACACAAAACTGTCTCATAAGACAGGGCAGGATAGGTTATTGAGTGTCATTTTTGCTCTGAGGCGCAATCCGTTTTACAAAAACGATTTCGTAATCTTCTTTTAAAACAAAAGTATACTATCTGTCTTCCTTTTTATGTACTTTTACAAAATATACTTTATGTACAAAAATATACATAAATATTTTATTTAAAATTACAGGTAAAATGATACTGAGTGCCAAATTTGGATGAAGATATGTTCAAAAAAGTCAAATTAAAAGGATTAAAATTACTCACTATTTACTCAACCTCAAATGGTTATAAACCTTCATGAGTTTCTGTTGAGCACTAAAGAAGATATTTTGAAGAAAGATAGAAGCCTGTAACCATTGACTTTCATTGTAGGAAAAACAAATATACGAAAGTCTCTCCTCCAAATATCTTCTTTTGTGTTCAACAACAGAAAGTCCAATAGGTTTGGAACAAGTGAGAGGTAAGTAAACCATGACAGAATTTCCATTTTTGAGTGAATTATTCCTTTAAGTTTACTTTATTTGGGTTGTAAGTTATGTTTTTAACTAAGTAGATTATTATATTTATTCATATAGTTTAACTTCCTGTCTGAAAAGACTTATATTTTAGTATATTTAAAGTGTACAATTTGTAGGCTACATAAATATTACAATATAATATGTTTTGTTAACTTAAATAAAACTTACAAGTGCACTCGCAGTATTAAAATTGACAATTTATTAGTTTACTGAAAGTATATTTCAAAGTGTACTTTCTTTTTTTTTCATGTAAATACCACATTGTACTCTTGTAGTGCATTATGTAACATTAAATTCACAATGTAGATTAAAGTTTACTCTACAGTACCTATACAATCTCTCTAAGCACTCTTAAAATACTTTAGGATACTGTTAGAATTAAAAATGGGTCAATTTAGTATCTAGTAGGATTGAAGTGCATTAACAACTATTGTGTTAGTATACATACATTTTTTAGTAATTAAGTCACAAGTGAACACATGATATAGAAACAGTGATTTACTATCAAATGATTTGTGCTACATCAAGTTTAATGGCATTTAAGGATAAAGTTGCCACTTTGGATGGAAACAGATCTATAGATTTATCTTTCACGGCATATTTTGTCCCACAATTCTATTTTAAACCCATTAAAACTGATTATATCATTGCAATTGAGGAATGTTTGCTACAGTGACTAAATATTAGCGTAGTTACTGTATTACAATGTCTCTATATATATTTTGTACCTCATTAATAAACTAGTTTGCTGCCACAGAAATATGCTTAAATAGTTATGAGTAAATTGTGTAGACATGCAATTAGATGAATCAGTAAAGAAGCAATATATTGTATTGTAAATATATCAAAGATAACACAGAATACACAAAAATTTTGTTTACAAAAAAATAAAGAGATCTGAGAAGTTATTTAGAGATAAGAATAAGTAATTCTCACTTTGCTTTGTTCCTTAGAGTCTCTGTGGAAGCTATGTCTTCATCGTTTTTGCCGTACTCCTGTTCGGTTTCACCCTTTTTATCTACTTCCGTGTACCTGAAACAAAAGGGAAGACTTTTGAGGAGATAGCAGCTGTTTTCCACCGAAAACATGGAGGAGTTCCCCCTTCCAAACCTCAAGAAGAGGCTGAGATGGTGCAGCTCAAGGGATCCTCGGAGGCCTGATGAGGACTGTCATTTTATGAAAAAACTAAGAAACAAACCAAAAACATTGTTACTGCTATCACAGAGCCCAGGTGTTATGACAGAACTGGTCTGCTGTATATTTCACAGAGAGCTGACATGAAATCATTGGTCTAAAAGCACGAAAAGAGATTAACTAAACACAACAGGATAATTGTGGAAGATGGTGCACAGTATATCGTCATGCACTGACATTGGTGCAGCTGAAGTTGAATTTATAGATGATTAAGTGTTATTTTTATATTCCTTAAGCTGTTTATCTTAAAGATATTTTAAATACATCGCAGTGTAAAATGATTCACGTGATATTGATGGTGACTAATTTAATGTAATTTATTCTTTTAATTCAATACTATTTTGTGTCACATACAGTTGAAGTCAAAATAATTATCCCCCCTATTTATTTTTCCCCAATTTCTGTTTAACGGTGAGCAGATTTTTTTTCAACACATTCATAAACATAATAGTTTTAATTACTCATTTCTAATAACTGATTTATTTTATATTTGCCATGTAGACAGTAAATAATATTTTACTAGATATTTTTACTAGACACTTCCGTACAGCTTCAAGTGACATTAAAAGGCTTAACTAGGTTAATTAGGTTAACTAGGCAGGCTACGGTAATTAGGCAAGTTATTGTATAACGATTTGTTCTGTAGACCATCAAAAAAATATAGCTTAAAGGGGCTATTAAAATTTACCTTAAAATGTTTTTTTTTTTTTTTTTTAAACTGCTTTTATTGTAGCCAAAATAAAACATATAAGACTTTCTCTAGAAGAAAAGAATGATCAGACATACTGTGAAAATTTCCTCGCTCTCATTTTGGAAATATTTAAAAACCAAAAAAATGTGTAAAAATTAATGGGGGCTAATAATTCTATTTTTAACTGTATATGACACAAACGAAGATTATACAAAATTTATACATTAAATATTCCATGTGAGTGATATGATACTTGAAATTAACTATTGAAGTGCTGTAACAGCTGAAGTAAATTATTCTAATTATTCAACTACCTAAGCTAGATATCTAAAAAAATAATCTGAAGACGATTTGAAAATATTTTTTGTACATTTGATGCTATTGAAATTCTTGAAGTGTTATATTTAATACATATAGAATAAATAAATAAAAATTGAAAATTCAGTGGTGAGCCCTAAAGCCCTAAATTTGTGTTGTCATTTCATGTGTTTTTCAATTATATATACCATACAAAAGTTTGATTAGTGTCAAAGTACCTGGAAAGCGTCTGCAAATTGCAGTATATTACTATTTACCTAACATTTGATTTAAGGTTGATTAGTGTTTTGAAATGAGTCTCCTCAAATATTTTTTTTAATTATGCAAGAAAGAATATTTACAAACATATAATAAGAACAAAGAGAAAAAGAAGGGTTACATAAATAAAATTCCAGCAAATTAAACAAGTTTAAATGTTTTTCTCCAAGAAAAAGTTTTACATGCAATATATGTATTAGTCTTTTAAGGAGATGATTTATAAATCAAAATACTTTTTGAAAATACAAAGTAAAGTTTTTTTTTTTTTTTTTTTTTTGAAAATGTACATTTATGGATGTAAAATTTAGCCAGAAAAGCAATAAATTAATAATAAATTTACTATGAGAAGGATCTTAGCTCAGAGAGTAAGCAAAAAATTAATTTTTGGGGGAAATACAAAAGTTTGGAAATGAGAGTTTATTTATGAAATTGGAAAGGTCAACCCAAAACACTTTACAGTAAGTGCACTGCAACAATGAAGGATTTAGTATTTCATAATATTGAGCACAAAATAAGCATTTAGAGGAAATATTGTTATTAAATTTAGCTAGTTTAGTTTTTATTAGGTAACAGTTATACATAATTTTAATTGAGACCTCGATAGCGTTATAAAAATATAAATAAACTTTTTTTTTTTCAGAAGAAGCCAAAACTGTTCCTAATCGATGTTATCAAATATATTATTCCAAGATCTCTTCGAACATTTAAACAGTAAATAGTGTTACGTATGACGTAATCAAAACAGTGATACTTTATATCTTGCCTTTGCCTTAGATGTTTTAGAAATCCTTCTTGGTGCTTAAGAAACAAATAATATCCCATACCATCATTTTGGCAACTGAAACGCAATATTGGCGTTTATTAAACTATAAAGCAAAAAAGAGAAAATGTTGACTAACATACTCTCATTATCCATTTCAGTATTGTCAGGTCAGGAGAAGTTGCCACGTGTTTTCAGTAATAAATGTACTTTTTTATCAAAATATTTTTACAAAATTTCTTTACCAAAACAAATGCTTTGGGGTTTTAATACGATGACTTCAACCTTTGTACAATTTCATGAATGGTTTTGGGTTTCATAATAAGTGTCCCGCTTAAATTTGCCACTGCGCAGCTGAAGCAGTTTCTCCTCGTGCATGTGAAACTCGTTGCAGTAAAGGTGCACGCACGCGCATGCGCAGGTCTCTCCGTCTTTTGTTGGAAGGGAATGACTGGCGTTTTTAATGCTCTCCGCTCCAGCATCGCTACATTTCTAGTCGAATCCTCTGAATAAAGTACAGAGGCCGGATTCAACTCTTGAAGAGGATTTGGTGATTGAAGACGGTGTGCCGAAGCGGTCGATTGTGTGATCAGAGCGTTTGGGTGTGGAGTTGTTTTATTTTTTTCCATGTGTGTCAAGCTGATGCAAAGCTAACGTTAGACGGCCTGACAAAAGTTCTAGGTTCAGATTAACATCTCCGCTTACTTCGTAATAAATGACGGGCCAAAAAATAGGTTTTGTTCTCGAACTAAAGCGACGTTTATAGGTTTTATGAAATAATAAAGATCGTTTCAATGAATCGGGCAACTCCGTAGCGTTAGTTCCGGTTAACTTTGTGTGCCGCTGGAAAGTGAGTCATTCATCCAGCTAAACTCTCTTAGACGACTCGATTCAACGTAAACGAGTTTGTAACGAATAGATTTGTTTATATTTACAAGAACGTTAGTAATTGCGTGTATTTATGCGTGTACTTCGTCAACGTTTTTGTTACGCTAGCCTGTTATAGCTCTTCAGCTAGGTCACATGTGTTAGCCTTCAACTTGCTCTGTTAAATCTATTCAACTTACAAGTTACCGGGCAAATTAATCATTTCTATAAACGCTTTGGTAACGTTAAGCAGCTAACTTAATGTTTTACCTCGCTTGACGAGATAGCCATTATGGTTTTTTTTACGAAAAACGTCGTTGTGGTTAATCCAAGCTAACTTGATAGTCAAAGTTTGTTTTTTTGTTTGTTTGTTTTTTTTTTTTACCTCAATTGTAAACGTTTTGGGAAAACTTGATATTTGTGTTTCACAGAGCAAAGGTGCTACAGGTTTGATACGACACGTGTATGAGCAAACGATGATTCATCCACATTTGAATGAAATCTTCCATTAGGAGCTCTAAAAACGTTCTGTTTTTGTAATTGCACTGTATGGCTTCTTTTCATTTTAAAACATGGTACCTTGGAATACAATGTACAAAAACATTATCTAACTTATGTCGAAGTACTATCATGGCAATACCTTCTGTTCTCCACTACATGTGCCATGTGCTCTTTCATGTGCAAGCACATGCTGGTGATAACACCATGTTTTCTCTGCACAGAAACTTCTTCGATAACCCATCATGGCTGATCTGGATACTGATTTCACCAGTGGAGATGCTGGAGCTTCCCTGACCTTTCCCATGCAGTGCAGTGCCCTGCGGAAGAACGGCTTTGTGGTGCTCAAGGGACGTCCATGCAAAATTGTGGAGATGTCTACCTCCAAGACTGGCAAGCATGGACATGCCAAGGTGTCGTATTAATAAACTTACTGCCAAAAGCTTTTGATCGAAGGCCAAAAGTCATGACCCATGCATATTATCAAACTTGTAATCATTATTAATACTTCATTTCATTGCCAGGTGCACATGGTTGGAATTGACATATTTACTGGAAAGAAAAATGAAGATATCTGTCCCTCCACCCACAACATGGACGTTCCTAACATCAAGAGACAGGATTACCAAGTGAGTTCTAACAAATTTAACAGTTTTTTTTAATTATTATTATTCCACAATGGAAGCATCTACATTTGATTTGCTGTGGCATTTTAAATAATGTGCTTTTTTCTCCCTGCTTTCCTATTGCAAAGTTGGTTGGCATTATCGATGGTTACCTTTCCCTTATGAAGGACAATGGAGACTTGCGTGATGACCTCAAGCTGCCTGAAGGCGATCTGGGCAAAGAAATAGAGAGCAAATTTGAATCTGGAGATGAATTTCTGGTTTGTAACTTTGCTTTCAGATTTATGTCTAACCTGAGCTAATTTTTAAAAAAAAAATTATTGAAGATATACTTAAGATTAAGACCATTTAAATCCTAGCAATCCTTTGTTGAAATAAAAACTGAGCATCTGTTTAAAAAGATGCTTTCATGTGTTTAATTCAAAAGTCATTTACATTCTAGAACTCATAATTTTAAGTTGTAAAGCCCAAATTTTCCCTAAATTTCTAACGCTTCTCTTGGAAATTCACAAAATAGCTGTGGCTTCAGAGGAATTTAATAGCATTAGGTAGTTCATTTATGTAATGTTATATTGCTTAAGCCTGCCTCATTGAAGACTAAAAAACACACCATTTAGATTGGAATTCTAATACTGCATATTCATTAAGATAACCATTATTGATGTACATGTGTATGAACTGCATATTAAATGTGTAAGAAGCAAGGAAACATTAGCTTCATCAACTTTTAATGTTTATTAGTTGACTTAATTCATTTAGCTTATCTATATATTTTTAGATACTTGACAGATACTTTAACAACAAAGTAAAATCTGCTTTATAAACTTGTACAGGTTTAAGTAAATTATTTGTTTCATGTGATTGTATTGCAATAACAGGGACATGGAAAGAAATAATGGTTGAGAACCAATTTTGATCAGCTTAGAGTGGCATTGGATCACCAAGGGGAAAAATATCACAGGAACCCTAAGTTGTATCATTTTGAGAGTTGCAAATGTCACATTTAGGTTTTTACATTAGAGGTGTTGGTCTTCACTTGGCATTTGAATACAATTCGGAGGGTAATCGTTCGTCAACTTTTATTTAGGCATCTATGCTATTTAGTCTATTTTATATTAAATACTATATTAATATAGTACATTTCTTTGTAAAGCTGTGCAATTTGGCCTAAAATCAAAAGCTCGATTAATTAAGCATTATTTTATTTTTAAATAGTTTTTGCTCTTATAGTTCACAGTTTCGTGCAGTAAATATGCTCAAATTGACAAGTGAGAAATTTTGGAATGAAGGGTGCATTACTTAATTTTAAAATAATTAAAACGCGCACACTATCTATAATCTGATTATTTATTGAAGATCATAACTGAAGGACTGAAATTAAAACGCATTGCCTGAAACCAACAGTCACTATTTTTTTTCTTATAAAAAGTGAAAATAAGCTCAATTTAGTGAACAAAATAATTTTCAATGTTTTTCATTTTAAAAGTAGATAATAAGCAGCTTCTCTTCTAAATAAAAAAAACTGTTGTATATGTTGTAAATAATATTTTAAACAGTGCATTTCTTGAATCTTCTGTAAACGAATATTTTAATGTAAATAATAATTTTATTATGGAAAATACACCATCTCAAAGCGTCTCTTGTGCAGCTTCCAGGCATTGTCAATGTAGTGCAAACATGTGACATGTAGTTACATTTTGTGAGGTGTGCAGTTATGCAAAGGCTGCGCCGGATCACACCTGTTTGTTTGACGCAGAAGTTTAAATCAGCCCTAACAGAGCGGTAGAGCCTAATTGAAAAAAATTATTATAGGTTCTGAATTTCGATTAACTGCGCAGCCGTAGTACTTTGTTGCTTATGTTTGTAATTAAAATAAGGTGCAAATAACCAACTGTTAAACATGAATTAGTCTATTTCTTCAATAAATGCATAATCATAGTCATTATAATGTAATGTGAAAATTATATCTGGTTTATAGTTTATAATTATTTGCTTTAGCTAAAGCTATTAAAAGGATTCAGTGAACTTCAGTGTGTGATTTTAATAATAATAATGATGATGATGATTAACCTTAATGGCACAGATAAGCACATTATGTGACCCTAGACCACAAAACGTACCCAATGTTCCAAATCTAAAAATCCTGTCATTTAATCATCCTTATTCTAGACCGGTTTAAGTTTTTCATCTGTTAAACAAAGAGATTCGTAAGAATTTTGAAAGCAGCAGCCATTGACTTCCATAGTATTTTTCTATCCAACTATGGATGTTGATGGCTGCTGGTCCCTTGTTTTATTTATGAATTTTCTTTTACTCTATTGTTAAATATCCCACGCGGATTTAGATTGTAAGACTGAAAGTTCATTTGCTGTTTTTGTCTCTTGTCTAGGTCTCTGTTTTGGCTGCCATGGGGGAAGAGTGTCCCATCGCCATCAAGCCCATGAGCTCATAATGAACCGAAGCTGACCAGCTGGTTGAGTGAGGGCCTCCATACCACAAATATTACATTTTAGTTCTTAAAAAAACAAAAAGTCACCAAAGCCACAGCCTTCACACACACCACCCAGAATTGGTTCTGTTAAACAGTAAAGATGCTGGACCTTTTGACCCGTCTCATGAGGTTTTGTCTAATCAGCATAATTCCACATCACCAAGGGTTTCCTGCACGCTTGTTATTTTGCCCCCTGTTCATTCCATTTTCATTATTCCAATGCACTTTTACCATTCATTATTAAAGATGAGAATATTTTTTTTTAATTCTCGAATTATTGCAGAAACCTTTTTATCCATGCCGACGGGCCTTAAAACTGTTGCAGATCAGGCAGCAAACATAAGATTTACCTCTGTGAATGACACTGACTGGTTTGCCGGCGTTTGGTACATCAACGTTTGTGCCAAAGCCTGTGTGTCTCAGGTAGGCTAGGGTTTGTCTGACAGCTTGGCACTGATTGGGGCGACCGACAACTAGCAATCCTAAGGCAGAATATGGACTAAAACTTTTACTGACATTAAATCCAGACCAAATATTCTTTGTTTTTTGGGGAAGTAATCCTGTGTAGTTTGACTCCACTTGACGGTTTGAGCAGGTTTTTTTTTTTCTTTTTTAAGTTTACAGCATTTCCCCTCATCCATAATTAACATTTATTTTGGTAGTGACAGCAATAACCCAGCATTTTTATGTTTTGGTAGTAGTAAGGGAGAATGATTATAAGAAGGGCCGTTGAGCTTTACACTGGCTAACCTGCTGTAAGTCAGCAGTAATGGACGCCCTCTGTAACAAACTCTGTTTACAGTAGCTTTGCTATACAACAAATTTTTATTCCGCAGAAATTAGTTTATTTTTTTGTACTTGCACACAGACACAGTGTGCGCACTAAAGGGCTTTAGCATCAACACTTCTATATTCACTTCTTTCTGATATAAGAGTATTAGTAGTTTTTTTTCCCCCTATTACAGTTTACGATTGGCTTGTGTAGTATTTTGCCGTATAAAACTTTTAATTTACTCTTGAGATTCCATTTTTGATGTAGAGATGAGTTGCTTTTCTATCTTTGCATTTGGCTTTTCCTAGTGTTAGTTTTGATTTTTCCTTTTGGTAATTGTTTACTGTGCGATGGCTCAGCAAAATGAAAAGGCACTTGTTGGGCAGAATGTTTTTTTAGAGGTATTTTCATCACCTGTTTCGACTAGTTGATGTTATTGTAAAGTTAGCTCTCGTATAAACAGTAGCCGTAGATCTGAGAGCTCAAGTAGGTGGAAAGTGTTGTATGACTGTACAGTATTTCAGACGCATATCATACTCTGCGAGTCTCTCAGGTTTCCAGTGTTTGGTTATTTTGCTGTTTGTAGTATTGGTCCTAATTCTAAAATACCTCTCTATTTTTTTTTCTGCAAAACATGTATTCATACCTGCAAGAGAATCACATGCTTTTTTATTTGTCGCATGCATGTTATCGGTTCATTTCCTAAATTCAGCAGCTTGACTATCAGTGACGGGCAGAAAGAAGAAATGTGGGCTTTGTTACCATTTCAAACTGTGAGAAGGTGCTTTGTCAGACATGAAATGATCGAGAAATTATAGTGTTTGAGTTTTTCCACACAGCTAGTTGAATGAAGCGTAAGAAGCCACAGTTTTTGGATATGAGGGGAGCAATTATAATAAACTCAACTGAAAAACTAAAGCTTTTGTGTATTATTTTCAGACTTCACACTTTTTGCAAAAAGACTGGCTAGTCGCAAGAACTTTTTTGGCTCGTTTTAATCCGGGTTAATCTTTCTGTAAACTGTAATATTGTGGGAATATTATTACTGATGTATTGAAATGTATGCTCTACTTGGTGACCATTTTAAAATTTGTGTAATTCAATCCTGTGACGTTACAGCTCTGTTTTCAGCATTATAACTCCATGATCTTTAAGAAATTATTGTGGTGTTTTCCCCCAGATTCTGAATACTTTAAATAAATAAATAAATAAATAAATCTTATGTCAATCTTTTGCAACCAAATGTTGTCAATTTCTTCTTAATAGCAGTTAAATACGTTTTTAAATACAGTTTAAAAATGATTTCGTACTTAATTTGATTTTCCTTGTGTAGATCTGTCCTGTTACATTCACCAAATAAAACTCAACTATCAAAGGTGTTAATGGTCAATGTAGTAAAGAAATTGCCAATTTTAAAGTTCATCCTGTACAATGTCATGCACAATGTAATATTTAGATTCAGGGAACAAGCAGTGGGCAAAAAGGAAATAAATAAAAAAATGTTTAATCAACAAAATATATGTAGTTATCAGTGAGAATAAATATGCATGTGAATTAAGAGTCAGTTTCTAAAATAGTTTCTCATCCATTAATGGTGATTTGGCAAGAGGGTTTTGCTGAAGAAAAAAAATACCCGGCTTAAACCAGCCTAAACTGTTTTTAGCTGGTCAACTATCTTGGTTTTAGAGGGGTTTGGGCCATTCCATGCTGGTTTCCAGCTTGGTCTTAGCTGGTTGTTTTGAAAATGATCAACTAAAATCAGCTTGACTAGCCTAGTTTAAGATGGACATCGCTGGTGTTCGCTGGGAGTTTAGGCTGGTCATTTTCCAGCTATAAAACCATGCTGGCAATGGCCAAAACCCATCTCAAACCAGGCTGGTTTATGCTGCTTTTTTAGCAGGCACATTTCTACAACTAGTCCATAGCAGCGTTTTACTACAATGCAATGGCTGACTCATAACATTATTTAACCTTAATTCTTCACAAAAGATCGAAGTTACATTTAATGACATTCACATAAATAACAGTTCCATAATTGTAACCATGCATCAGTTTTAAATTGTGTCTGGTATTTTGTTAAACTTGCCAGTAAATGTGCCCTAATTCGATTTTTACCAGCTGTCCTTCATGTCTTAAGCCTGAAAAAAAGAAACATGAATTAAGAATTACACAAATGCTTCCTTCAGTCAACAAAACCGCCCTTTTAGCGTTAGCATAAGCTTATTAGCATGACTTTCGATTTACTTTAACCCTACCCCCAGTTTAAATATTTATTTTATACTTTATCCACTAGAGGTCAGCAAAGCATCGTACAACAATCGACCAGATCTCCAGAACCTGCTTTTGATTAAGAAATGGAGAGATATGAAAGATATCTTTTTTTTAGCCTTCCCTTTGTTTACATACGAGTCTGTTAACGCTAGCCCTCAGGCACTGCCAAATGGTTTCTATATAGAAAATGTGTTCTGCTATACATTTCAGAGACGGGTTGTGAAGTGAAGAGCTCTGTTTACATTTCTCTGTTCAGAAAGAAGAACGTACATTCTTGAGGCCAAAATTTAAGACGGAGATTCAATGCAGATGTAGATGCACTTTGTGTCCATATGGTCTTATATGTACATGTGTGTGTGAAGGAAAGAAAGGGGAAAAATTGTTCTACCACATGCATTAGTTTTAATGGCGCACAAATCCAGGGGTGATTCTTTTTGGTGCTCGCATGTAGCGATGCGCATTGCTTCCAGATGGAGAAGAATCTGTCATTTAGTTCTTGGTACTTGTTGAATTGTTGGAACATGCAGTGACAGAAGTTCTCACTCGTGAGGAGGATTGAATTTAATAGGGGGTGTATATGTGGTTTCTCCCTTTGAAAACAAATATGTGTTATAATAACTTGAGATGTGATGGTTTGTATGCATTATACCATGAACTTCAGATCTACGGCATCTGCACTGTGTTATGTAAACTGTCTGCTGCTCTAGAGTTGGATCTATAACTAAGCAGTCCCACGTTTTCTCTACTTTCACCTTTTGCGATAAAATTCTAGCAACAATTATTGAATTGCACTGGTAAAGTATAATTTCTGTAGTTCAGTTCTTCATTGCCAAAAAGTTTGATAATAAAAACTTGCATAGTATAGACTCGTGGACAGATCTCTTTTCTGACTGCATTTTGACTGATACTGTCCAAATGATTTTTTTTTTCTTTTCAGTTAATTTATTCATTATTTAGTTTGGGCTTCACGGTGGTGCAGTGGTAGGCACGTTCGCCTCACAGCAAGAAGGTCGCTGATTCGGTTTGCATTCCAGTGTGGAGTTTGCATGTTCTCCCTGTGTTGGCGTTGGTTTCCATTGGGTGCTCCGGTTTCTCCCAAAGTCCAAACATGTTTGGTATAAGTGAACTGAATAAACTAAATTGGCTGTAGTGTATGTGTATGAATGCAAGAGTGTATGGGTGTTTCCCTGTGCTGGGTTGTGACTGGAACATAAACTGGGCATAAAACATATGCTGGATAAGTTGGCGGTTCATTCCACTGTGGCAACCCTCTGATTAATAAAGGACTAAGCCGAAAAGAAAATGAATAAATGAATTTCACAAGTTGAAGACAAAATCGATGGCCCTTCCTGTGAATGTTTTGTTCTTTTTCAAATGTTTTCTAATGGAGCAAGTACATTTTTACAGTAGTTTCTATATTTTTTACTTCAAAGTATTTTTTTATTTTAGCTTGGCTGCAATTAAAACAGTTTTAAACATTTTAAATATATATAAAATACTGGATTTTTTTTGGATTGGTTACATAAACAAAACCACTGTTGTCCAATGGCTTAGTTAACCTTATGACTAGGGCCAGACAGAATCATTTTTTGAAATTTCTGTAGAGAATTTTGTGAAGTTATTTTGGGAGTATCACAGCTAAAAACTTAATATATGTAATAAATATAATGTATTTTAAAGTTGTTTTTAATGTTTGCAATGCAAATCCACCTAGATCCACTTATTTGGTAAACAAAGTCTCTCATATAAAAGATCTACTAAAAGATAGAATATATTATTTTACAAACTGTATTGTGAATAAATCATATGAATATATTCATGTTAGTCAATAACATTACTGAACTTTGATTAACATAACATTAGTCAATAACATTAATAAACTTTGGATCTGTGGAGTTCTGCATGCTCAGATTCAATGTGGGCCTACTTATAACTTAGTTATTCCTTTGAACAGCACTTTAAGCAGAATACCAGTATCCTGCAAAATAGCTATACAGATATTGTGTCTTCATGCCAAAGACAAAATTACCTAGAAAAGTGAAGTTCATTGAAAAAACTTTATGGTGGTTTGAGAAAGCCTTATCTGAAAATGTGAAGACGTATAAAAGTTTAAATAACTTAAGCAGTTTTAAAGTTTGAAACAGTTGGCATAGACAAATGACTACATGTATGTTAGCATGTTTCTTGTATAGATTGGCATGTTTCTTGCTAGGTGGTTGATTGGGGGTTCTCAGTGGTTGCTAAGGTGTTCTGAATGGTTGCTAAAGCGTTGCTACTGTGTTCTAAGTGGTTGCTAGGGCGTTACTAGGATGTTTTGACTGGTTGTTAAGGTGTTGCTAAGTGGTTGTTATGTGTTCGGAGGGGTTGCTAAGGTGTTCTAGGTAGTTGCTAAGATGTTGCTAGAGTGTTCTGAGTGGTTGCTAAGGCATTGCTATGTGGTTGCTAAGGCATTGCTATGGTGTTCTTGCTGGTTGCTAAGCATGTGCTAGGGGGTTTTGAGTGGTTGCTAGAATGTTTGCTAGGGTATTTTAGATGGTTACTAAGGTGTTGCTAGGCGGCTGCAAGTGTGTTCTAGGATGTTGCTAAGATGTTGTTAGGGTGTTCTGAGTGGTTGCCAAAGCATTGCTAGGCAGTTGTTAGGTTGTTCTGAGTAGTTGCTAAGGTGTTTCTATGTGGTTGCTATGGTGCTTTGAGTGGTTGCTAAGGTGTTGATAGGTAGTTGATAAGCAGTTGCTAGGGTATTCTGAGTGGTGTTGCCAGGGTGTTCCAGTTGTTGCTAAGGTGTTGAGTGGTTGCTAGGCAGTTGCTAAGACATTGATATGGTGTTGCTAGGTATTCTGAGTGGTTGCTAAGGCGTTAGTGTTCTAGGGTGTTGCTAGGGTGTTCTGAGTGGTTGCTAGGTGGTTGCTTAGGCATTGCTAGGCGGTTGCTATGGTGTTCTGAGTGGTTGCTAGGGTGTTGGGGCCAGACGGCTGGTCTGTACTCAAATGGCCTCCACAGTCACCAGATTTCAATCAATTAGAGCACCTTTGGGGATGTGGTGGCATGAAAGATTCATATCATGGATGTGCGGGTGACAAATCTGCAGCAACTGCGTGATGCTATCATGACAATATAGACCAAAACCTCTGAGGAATATTTCCAGTACCTTGTTGAATCTATGCCAGGAAGGATTAAGGCAGTTCTGAAGGCAAAACGGGGTCCAACTCGGTACTAGTAAAGTGTCCCTAATAAAGTGGCCGGTGAGTGTATCCAGTCATTTCATATTAGCTAAACATCTCACATTAGCATAACAGCCTATCAAAACTGCATGCTTTTAAATTATGAATGCATCAAATTGCACGTTTTTGTCTCTTTTTTTGTTTTCCACCTTGTTTTACCTCCATATTTATGTTTGTATCCATATTTTCAAGTTTTTGTCTCAACAAAACACACATGCACACATGCTTTTTTCATAAAATTTGTTTTGTCTAAAGGTTTAATACAACAGGTTTTCTGACTTTTATTTTATTGTTAGGCTTTGTAAGGGTCATTAACTTAACGGAGCAGATAAAAAACTCCCTGTTGTATATTCTGCTAGGGAACAATGCTGACCTTGCTCATGCTCTTTTAAGCCACCTGCCATTTGAGGTCTATTTACTTATGAG